TGTTACTCGGATTCTAGTTTGATAGTTAATTTGAGGAAATTAGGAATCTAAAAATCTTTCTTGACCCTCGAAATACCTCTGGAGCATATTTTAGCTCAATTTTATTTTGGAAAATTATTTGAGTTTGGGGAAAAACCGTGTAAATACATTAAGGTCTAACATTGTATAAGGTTTCGTCAATCAAATTCAAGTAATTATTCACCAATTCTTTATTAGCCTTATCCTTTATATTTTCATATTGTTTCTCAAAACACTTTAAACGCTTTTTGTATTCAATAAAATTTTCCGTTACTATTTCTTTACTGTCCTTCATGAAAACATCGTCCAATAGAATAATTGCAATTGCATGACCGATAATTGAACCAATTTGTGCAAATTTCATTGCCGGAGGCATGTCCTTAATAAAAAATGATTAGTGATTTTCAAGGGTATGGCCCGGTTTCCAAACCCGGGTCAGGCCCTTAGAGCTCTTCTTGGAGTTCCAAGAGAAAAATTTTTTTATAAAAATTACGTACCAATTTATAATTTGGAAAGTGGAGAGCTCCTGATAAAATATAAATTAAATTTTCGTCTACTACGGCTCCATATTTATTGTTAAATGAATAATGATAAAATTTTGCATAATTTGAAACCAATATGTTATCACTTCCTGCTTTAAATTGGAACATTGAAGAATCTCTCTCAAATGTACATTTAATTGTTTTTAATTCGATTTCATCAAAAGACATTTTTTCATTAAATTCGAAGCATCTTAATGAAACATGTAGTAATTAGAGTTCGAACCCGGGCCGGGCCCGGACCGGTTTTTTCCGGGCCCGGTGGCCCGGAACCGGGTATTTTTGAGAAAATCCGGTTTTTCCGGGCTAACCGGTTTTTCCGGTTTTATCCGGAAAAACCGGCCCGGGTGCGATTCTGAGTAAAAAAACCGGGTCCCGGGCCCGGTAATTTTTTGCCGGGCCCGGAGAGTCGCCTCCGGCGGTGAAAAAGAAAGAAAGCTGGCCCCTTGGCCTTCCAAAATTCTCAAAATTTTCGCCTGCGGCGCTTGAAAAGAAGAAAAGGGATTTTTATTGATATCAAATCAATAAAAAAGGGATTTTTATTGATTTGACTCTCGATATCCCTATCAGTGGATTTAAGCGAAAAGTCGGATTTAAAGATGAAATCGGAGGATTAAGGGGGATATTATTATATTTGGAATTACTATGAATCCCTTCAAATTCATAATCTTCTATATCCCTCCAAATCACTGATATCACATGGAGTCTTCCCAAATACTTCAAATCCACTTATTTTCCCAGACTACAAATTATTTCAAAAATTGCGGACTGCGGATTTTAAAATTAAAATTGCGGATTGCGGCTGCGGAAAATTTTTTTTCACTTGCGGACACCCCTGCTATATATCCTTTAGCGCATCTATCCTTTGATTCATCTATTCTTTAATCGATCCTTTGTATGTTTTCCTATCATTTGTATGTGTGATAAATTTTTTATGTTTTTAATAAATTTAGAAAAAACCGGGTCCGGGCCCGGGTCTGAAAAAATCCGGTTTTTCCGGGCTAACCGGTTTTTCCGGTTTTATCCGGAAAAACCGGTCCGGGTGCGATTTTGAGAAAAAAAACCGGGTCCCGGGCCCGGCATTTTGAAAAGTTCGAACTCTAGTAGTAATCGAGTAGTAATTTTGGATCAAAACCCAAAGTGATTGGATTCAAAATTTTATTTTCAAGGATCTCAACGTCCAAATCCCACAAATTTACTCGATTCGGATTTTGCTTCCCCAGGCTTTGCCGACTACGCTTTTTCTCTCGGGTTTGACCCCAACCCCCGAAAATTCAATTTTATCGTGTCCTAGTATTATCTTCTCAAATTCTAAGGTAGAATTCTATCAAGGATTCACTATAATTTCGATTAAAAATACAAACAAGAATTCCTTTTCCAATTCCTTATCATTCAAAATTTCTTCAAAATGGCCTATAACCATTTTCATATCATCCAATTTTTTAATCATTTTATTTTTCAATTGCCTTCCCAACCAAGAAGAATTATTTTCAATTAAAGTTTTCATAGATTCTTTTATCTTTAAAGCTATATCAGTTACATCTCTTTTTATATTGGATATATGTATTTTATTATAAGATACATAAATTCTATCCATAAAGGGTGTAAAATATTTAGCTGTTTGTTCCGTACAAAATTGTGTAAGTTCCTCTTCTGAGTAAATTCTAAATAAATAGATCAGTGATTTTTAATCTGTTAAAACAGTATTTCCTCTAATAAAAAGCCTAGTCAATCACCTTCCAAAGGAACATTTTATTAGAGAGGGTCAGTCAAATAGAGAGGAAGGCATTCGATTAGAAGGGGAATTTTATTAGAGAGGGAGGAATTCAATTAGAGGGGGTATTCAAAAAGAAGGGGAGCATTAAACGAGAGAGGGAAGAACTTCAAAAGGGATGTGGCATTCAATTAGGGAGTGAGAGGCATTCTATTATAGGAAATACGGTATGTAAATTACCCATGGTTGCCCATTAACGCCGCTGTATATTTTCTTATCAGCATCAACTCCAAATAATCCTGCATAATTTCCTTCTCGTTTATAATAGTCCAACTTAATTTTTCTAAAGCTACTGGACAATCTGGAACTAGCATTTTCTGGCTTGGTCCAAAACCAAGAATTTCTACCCAATTAATTGTTTCCGTTATTTTATTTATTTCACCCAACGTTTTTAATACAAATTTAGGCGACTTCGATTTAATTTCTTCGGCACATTCTTCTTTAAATTTTTTTAGATTATGCAAAATTCAGTTTTAAAAAAATAGGAGGACAAGTACAAGACAAGGCACACAAGGCACCTCTAAAATATCGTCCAGACAAACCACCATCCATTCAAAATAACGTCTGGACAGAACATCTTCCGGACATTTCATTGTTTTACTAAACACCGACAGACAAAATACCGTCTGGACAAAATACTCTAGACAGAACACCGTCTTTGCCAAAAGATTGTTAAACATGGTTTTTACATATACCGAATAAGATTTTGAACAGTTCGAGGAAGCTATGCATAAAATTCTGGATGGATAATAGAGGAATAAATGAAATTTCTGTAGCTAAAATATATACGAGATAATAAATAACCATTTATTTCTTTAGTAAATTTAATTATTTTTGCGTGATTGTTAATCCACTCATCAACGTTATTATTTAGTTTATTTTGGTTAATAAATTTTTGAAGAATTTTCTTTAAATTAACCGTATTTATCCCCTCATCTTCATCATTATTAAAAGCCAAAAATATACGGTAGTGATTAACAAAATTTATTTTTCCATGGATTTCCTTGTCTTTTCCAATGAAAAATATTGGATAACGAAATGGTTTCTAAAATTTATAGGAAAATTTATTTTTAGTTACAAAAGATGTCAAAGGGGATCAAGACTTTTAGTTAATCGAGAGAATTTTTTTGTTAACTTATATTTCGGTTATCGTTCTTGTGGGGGTGGGGAAGGGGCAAATTTTTATCAGCAGATTTTTTGATATTCTTTTTTAAGTTTTTAATGTTTGCTCCAACGAAAAAAATTTTTTTTAATTTATAACTCGGGAATATACAACCCAGCCCTACTAAAAACATACAATTCCATCTATTGGATGTGTTTCTTTTATCCATTCAGTATTTAACGTATAATTATCACCAAGCTTATTTCTCAACTTTAAAATTTTATCAAATAATGTTTCACTTATTTCTTTGCTTTCCTTTCTTCCTTCCAAATCTCTACATTTATCAAAATAATTGTAGACAGACGAGAAAAGAGGATTATTGTCTCGTTTAGTTGGAAATATATCTAATTTAAATTTTTTAAAAATTTATTTTTAACCAAGTTAAGAAACCTCTAATAAATATTTCTACGTCTTTGAAATTTTCCTTGTGTGCCAACTTTTCTATTCCACCCACAGGCAATCCTATAGTTTATTAAAATTTTAAGTTATTTTTTATTTTATTGGGGGCATAACTTTTACCAAAAATATTTTTAAGTGGATTTTTTGGAGGTATACCTTTAGGTATTTACTCCAGTATTATCCTGATTAATTATTTCTCATAGAGCGCTTCGGCGAGAAATTATAGGAAAATAGTCCTTAAATTAACATCAACATGCCTTCAAAAGATAGTAGAAATACTCGACTAACCTGTCGGTACTATACTTTCCAAATAACCATCACAAACAAAATTATAAAAATTTTTTGAGTGAGGATTAATTGAGTTGGTTAATTGAGGGTATTTTTGCTGCAAATCAACGCGGGCAAAATGATTGGATGGAAAGTTTATCAAAATTATTGAATAAAATAAAAGTAAATTTATTTTATTCTTCATCTAGCAAGTTTTCTTATATTTAAAAAAATAGGTAGGTATATTAAATTATAACCTCCCTCCCCCCTCTCCAATAAAGTCTTCGACCCGAGAAAAGCTTTGGAAACCTGGCTAAACCCTTTTTCTCAACCCGTTATATCCCTGCTTTGGATTGTGGTTGAATAAACACGAAAGGCTTATTTTTGAGAAATTACTGTATTTATTTGAGGATTAAAGCAGTGACTATTTAATAATTTTTATAAAATTATTTATTTTTAATATTTTAATTAAATTATAGGGGATTTTTAAAGAAAAAATTTTTTAAATTAAAATTCTAAATTAGTTGCCCAATATTCACGTGAAATATATGTACGTGAGTGTATTTGTTGGAGTAGTGCTTGGAGTCAAAAAGCTTCTAGCCCTTTCAGTTTATGCACTTTTAGTCCGCTCCTAGAATAGTGACGTTTTTCATTGATTTACTCACATAGAATTAGTCTATGGCCTACTTAAACATTATTACTAGCACGATGAATAATGCCTCTTTAAACATTGGCAAAAAATTTTAAATAGACCCCGGTAATAAATCTTTTTTTCAATTTTTATAAAAGTAATTGTTTATCTTTATGTTAAAGATTGATAAATTGTTAAAATTTATAAATATTTTTTAGACAAAACACTCTTTTACCTTTCTTCTCTATTCCCATGTGTCCCTTCAAGATAAAAGTACATTTTTTCCAAAATGCAGCTGACGCAGAAAAAAATGGGAACACTTTTCTTGACTTCAGTTTACAAACATAAAATGCAACATAAACGCTCTTGGGTTTAAAAAATATTTTATTTAAATGGCTACAAGGCCTGAGATGGAATTTCCTCCTTTCGATGTTTCCCTAAATGATTTGAAATCCCTTATGGAATTTTCCGGAAACGAAGCCAGAGAAAAGATTTATAATTATTATGGAGGTACAGAAGGCTTATGTAAACGATTACAGACCGATCCTAACAACGGAATTGCTGGGAATTTGGAAGAACTTAACAGGTTTGTGTTAGAATCATGTTAAGGTGGTAACTGAAATCACTAAATTCTTGTTTCAACAAAAAAGGGGCATAAAATGTGATGAAGCATTCTAAATAGCCCTGTCTTTACATACAAGTTTTGTATTTCAAAAAATTTTATTTTTAGGCGAAGAAATGTGTTTGGTACTAATCAAATTCCTGAACACCCTCCAAAATCATTTTTGAGTTTCATACTCAAGGCAAATTTAATAATACATGTTTAATTATTTAAAATAATATTTCAGAATACCCTCTGGAAAACCATAATTTTTTTATTAATATTCGAAATTGTTTTATACTTGTATGAACTTGAAGATGAACCTGAAGATGAATGTAATTAATTAGGTACTTACAGTGGCGGAAATTTACTTAGGGAAAGGGTAAACTCCATGTAACTCCGTTCATCTTTATCCGATCTGGCAGATCTATTCCATTAAATTCCGAAAAAAAATTTTTTATAATTATTTTTGAAAAATTTTGACCTTTTGTTGCTTCCGGGCTTAATATCTAAAGAAGTATCGATTGGTTTTTTAAAATTTAAAAAGAAATATAATGCTACGCTTACATAAAAAACGCAAGACGCCGGCGGAAGACGCTCGGCGACAAGACGCCGGCGGAAGACGCAGTTTCGTGCTTACATAAAATCGGCGTCTTCCGCTAAGCGGGAAGACGCAAAGCGTCAAAACGCTAGTTTTATGTAAGCACAAAACTGCGTCTTCCGCCGGCGTCAATTTTAAAAAATAGCTTAATTCCTATCTCAGTTGACATGTTTCAGCGTTTTTCAAAATTCTGATAATTTCGAGAACTTTTCGACCGGTCTAACAGGTACTACATTTTCGACTTTTCGGAGAAATTTTTTTGAAGTCTGTAAATTTTATATGTGATTCTCCTAAAGATTCTGAATACAATGTTAAAAACCGCATCCAAATCGGTCGAAATTCTACAGAGTTATGAATTTTTGAAAATCGAAAAAACACCCATTTTTGTCATTTTTGTCGATTTTTTTGCAAAAAATGGGTGTTTTTTCGATTTTCAAAAATTCATAACTCTGTAGAATTTCGACCGATTTGGATGCGGTTTTTAACATTGTATTCAGAATCTTTAGGAGAATCACATATAAAATTTACAGACTTCAAAAAAATTTCTCCGAAAAGTCGAAAATGTAGTACCTGTTAGACCGGTCGAAAAGTTCTCGAAATTATCAGAATTTTGAAAAACGCTGAAACATGTCAACTGAGATAGGAATTAAGCTATTTTTTAAAATTTAGATCTGCCAGATCGGATAAAGATGAACGGAGTTACATGGAGTTTACCCTTTCCCTAAGTAAATTTCCGCCACTGTAAGTCGTTTCCCCATCCCAGTCAGTATTTTTCTTGATGTACAAAATGGTCATTCATCTCTTCCTTGCATAATTTAACAAAATTTTCCTGTGATATCATTCAATAAGGCTGTACCCCGTCCCCGAAAGTCGGGGAAAATGAGATCATTAAATCAGTCACTTTTCCTAATATTTTTTGCTTGTTAAATGTTTCATAAACACGACATAAGTACCATTAATTAATTTAATTAATTATTATTTAAAATATAAATTAAGCTGACTATGATTATGAAAATTCTAAAATTAATGATGAATTAATTATATCAGGTTTATTCTTAATTTTTTTTTCTAAAAAGTTTTTGCTTAAAGAAATAGGACTTCTCATTTCATTCAACATAGTTCTTGTTATTAAAGCTTGCATTGATTACAAAGCTGAAAGGAAATTTAGAGGTTGTTGTTAAATTTTGAATACATAGATCATGTCCATATAATTAGTCAATTCCTCGTAATACACTAGCATATTTTTAATAAAAATTCAAATTTTACTATGGAGAGGCAGGCATATTGATAGGGATCTAGATTTATAGGGGACTAGTTGAGTGATTGCTTGATGATGGATTTGAGTTTGGTCTATAGGGAAAATCAACATAAATTTGCTAATACCCAAAATCACTTATTATTCCAAATATTTTAAGATTTACAAGGAAAAATAAATTGCCAAAACAAATTTGTTGTAGTACGTGATGGCCAGCAAATTAGTGTCATTGAAACAGAACTTGCAGTTGGTGATATTGTTTTAATTAAACATGGTTGTTTTTGTTTTAATATCAATTATTTGATTAATTATAGGGGATAGAATCCCAGCGGATGGTGTGATTATAGATAGTAATAAATTAAATATCGATGAATCACTTCATAATGGATCATCCGATAATGTTAAAAAATCAGTTGAAAGTTGTCCTGTGGTTTTTACTGGAACAAACGGTTAATTTTGTAAATAGGAACCTTGTTAATTTTACTAAACTTATCAGTTGTGGGAGGAGATGGCCGTATCCTCATAATTGCTGTAGGAGTCAATTCTCAAAAGTATTTTTAAAAATTATTTTGATTTTAATTACTGATTTTAAGTGGTGTTATTTTGACACTTCTAAGAAAAATAGAGAGCAATATTAAAAATAGAAAAAAGAATAAGAGCAAATCTTCAAATATCAAAAGGGATGAAGAAAATCAGCAACCACTTTTGGGGAGTGATGAAAGTACGTATAATTTATTTACCGTAAATTTATTATCTTATAACCCCTCTGGGGACATATTTCAACTATTTTTCAACTATACACCAAGATAAACTCTAGTTCAGGAAGGAATTCAGAAAAACATTACCTAATTTTTCATTTTATTAACTTGATTCCCTGACTCTGTTTGAGCCCCGAATCACGTAAAATAATTCTGCTAACTTTTTGATAAGTTATCTCTTTAATAGTTGAAAGCCTAAACATTCTCACTTCATAACTTTTAACCTAAATATTTTTCACAATTTCCAGAGTTCAAAAATGGAACATACAATTCTGATATAGTTTTAACAAAAATCGAAAATGAATTGTCAACAAGAATTGAAATTATCTGGGGAAAATTAATTCAAGTTTTTCTATATTGCCTTTGTTTTGGCCTCATTTTTGCTATTATTATTGTGATTATAACGCTGCTTCGCTTTTTTATTGGCCAATATGTTTTTGATTCTCAGATTACAAGATCAGATTTATTCAAAATTCTATCGATTTTATTTACTGGATTAACATTTCTTCTATCGTCCTTCCCTGTAGGGATTCCCTTATCAGTTTTAATTTCTATCGAATATTCTGCAAGTAAAATGAAGAAAGATAATTATTTAACTAAAAATTTTTATCAATGTGAAACTTTGGGAAATGTAACGAATATTTGTTTTGATAAAACTGGAACCTTAACAAATAAATCGGATGCTGGTCAAACTCTTTGTGATGGTTATTTATTTAAAATTATTTAAATATTTTAAATTATGTAGATGTCCCCAAGACAATTTCCGTTTGTCAGCAAGCGGGAATTGATGTACGAATGGTCACTGGTGATAACATAATCACAGCCCGTTCAGTGGCCATGTCTTGTGGTATTTTAAAGCCTGGAGATGATTATCTCGTTCTAGAAGCTAAGGAATTTAATGAAAGAATTTGCGATATTGATGGAGAATTATCGCAAGAAAAACTTGATCAAATTTGGCCTAAATTGAGAGTTCTAGCTGATGCTAAACCAATTGACAAATATAATTTAGTTAAAGGGATTATAGACAGCAAAATTAATAAAAATAGAGAAATTGTTGCGTTTGTGGGGGACGGGTTGGTATTATGATCAGTGATGGAGAAGTTACAAAATTTCTCTGTAACCAGCTCCAGTTCTTTAACTGCTTTTTTTTCGGTTCCAGTTTCAACTCGGTTCCAGACCCTTACCGGTTCCGCGGTTCTGGAACTGGAATTGGAACTTCTCCATCACTGATTATGATTTCATAAACTGAACAAAATAAAAATTTAAAATTCAGAACAAATGACTGTCTTGCATTGAAAAGAGCACATATCGGTGTTGTAATGGTTTGTTTTTAAGTTCTAAAATGAGGGTATAAGCGAGACCCTCGAAGGACTAATACTGGATCTCTCAAGGATAATTAAAGGTTTAGGCCTACTACAACATTATGACACCCCCTATAATAAAATTCCATCTAATTTTATTTTCTCAAGGCAAAATCAAGTACCTATTTGGCTAAAGAAGCTTCCGATTTAATAATAACTGGCGACAATTTTAATTCATTAATTAAAGCTATATTTTGGGGAAGACATATTTATGATTCGATTACCAAAATTCTTCAATTTAATTTAATTGTCTTTTTTGTCGAAATTGTTTTGGTATTTGGTGGTTCTCTTTTATCTCTGGATATATTGAAGGTCGTTTAATTAATTGACTTGTTCAAAAAGGATTTTTAGTTTAAACAACTTGTTTGGGTTAACATCTTTATTAGTATTATGGGCTCGCTTGCATTGGCAGCAGATCCTCCAAAAGAGGATTTATTAAATAGAAAACCTTTAGGGTGGAAAAGGTTTACAATAAATTTATCAAAGATTACTCCCCCTTTTTAGCCCAATAATTTCAAAAATCATAAAGAAAAATATTATTGGACAAGCAATCTATCAGTTGATTGTTCTATTTGTTTTGATATTTAATGGACATAAATTTTTTGGAATTGAAAGTGATTTGAGGGCCCAATTACGTGCACCGCCTGGACAACATTTTACTATTGTCTTCAATACTTTTGTTATGCTGACACTTTTTAATATAATAAATTGCCGAAAGATTCACGGGGAACGAAATGTTTTTAAGGTCTGTATTAATTTATATACAGTGTGTCGAAAAAAGATATGATATGCAAAAATTAATCTGTGAGCAGATGAGACGGGTTACCCAAAATCCTGCTTTTTTCAACCCGGAACCTAACCCGAGAAATTTTGTTTTCCAACCCTCCACTCGAACCGGACCCGACTTTTCTCTTTAATGTCTCAGATCTATACAAAATATTTTATTTTGACAGATCTATTATCCTCTGATTCGGGCCCTTTCTAGAGTTGCTAATAAAGCTTATATTACACAATGATTTATCCCATATTAATGAATTCATATTTATAGGATCTATCAGAAAATATTTTATTTTGTACATTATGGATAACGGCTTTTATTTTTCAAATTTTATTTATTGAATTTGGTGGGTATGAACTTTATACAGAACCTCTAACCTTGGAGCAATGGCTTTATTGCACTTTAATTGGAGCCTGTTCTCTTGGTGTGGCTCAGGTTTATTTAAATAAAGATTTTAATTTTCAATCTTTTTAAGATTATCAACACAATACCTCCTAAAGATTGAAATATTACTTTAATTAATTCATTATTTTTGTATATCTATTGGGTTGGGGGCCCGGTTCGGTTCTAAAGATCGAATCGGGCGCTATATATCTACTATACCGAGTGACCCCAACACTATATATCTACTATACCGAGTGACATCTTTTGCCATATGTAAAAATAGATTATATACCAAATTTCTATTTACACAAAGTAATAATAAATTTTTTATATTTTATAACACATTTTTAAAGTATATTCTTTTTTAATAAAATACCCTTAATTATCTACATATTATCCAAAACATATTATCCATCACTTCCTGAACCATCTCCACTCCTATAAAATTGTACATTTACAAATACATCTCAAATCCCTTACATATAATTGCAAATATGTGTATCAATTCCCTGTCTGAAGTCACTGATAGCTGGATTACTGCTTGACCCAGCAAACGATGACAAAATTGACTAAATATTGTACTAAAATATGGTTATTTTTATATGGCAAACGTTTTTCATAATATTTCCCATCTGTACAGCCATGTCATTTGGTCCAAACCTTCTACCATTTGGACAAACAACACCTGTTGAATTTGACGATGCTAAAAATGTATTTTAGGCTTAAAAAATTTAAAAGAGTGGACCAGTTGTTGTGACTGGTAAGATTATTGTTGTTGGTGGTGGCGGAGGCGGTGTTGTCGGTGGCGGGGGAAGCGGAGGAGTTGTTGGTGGGAGTGTTACGTTTCTTGTAGTTGTCGGAGGTGGCGGAGGCGGTGTTGTCGGAGGTTGAGTTGTCGGAGGTGGAGGAGGCGGTGTTGTAGGAGGTTGAGTTGTTGGTGGTGGAGGAGGCTGTGTTGTCGGTGGTGGGGGAGGCGGAGGAGTTGTTGGTGGGAGTGTTGTGTTTCTTGTAGTTGTTTGAGGCTGTGTTGATGTAGGAGGCTGAGTTGTTGGAGGTGGGGGAGGTTGAATTGTCGGAGGTGGCGGAGGCGGTGTTGTCGGAGGTTGAGTTGGTGGTGGAGGAGGCTGTGTTGTCGGAGGTGGGGGAGTTGTTGGTGGGAGTGTTACGTTTCTTGTAGTTGTTGGAGGCTGTGTTGTTGTAGGAGGTTGAGTAGTTGGAGGCGGTGTTGTCGGAGGTGGCGGAGGCGGTGTTGTCGGAGGTTGAGTTGTCGGAGGTGGCGGAGGCGGTGTTGTAGGAGGTTGAGTTGTTGGAGGAGGGGGAGGCTGTGTTGTAGGAGGTTGAGTTGTAGGAGGTGGAGGAGGCTGTGTTGTTGGAGGCTGAGTTGTTGATGGTGGAGGAGGCTGTGTTGTCGGTGGTGGGGGAGGCGGAGGAGTTGTTGGTGGGAGTGTTGCGTTTCTTGTAGTTGTTGGAGGCTGTGTTGTTGTAGGAGGCTGAGTTGTTGGAGGCGGTGTTGTCGAAGGTTGAGTTGTCGGAGGTGGCGGAGGCGGTGTTGTAGGAGGTTGAGTTGTAGGAGGTGGAGGAGGCTGTGTTGTTGGAGGCTGAGTTGTTGGTGGTGGAGGAGGCTGTGTTGTCGGTGGTGGGGGAGGCGGAGGAGTTGGTGGGAGTGTTGCGTTTCTTGTAGTTGTTGGAGGCTGTGTTGTTGTAGGAGGCTGAGTTGTAGGAGGTGGAGGAGGCTGTGTTGTTGGAGGCTGAGTTGTTGGTGGTGGAGGAGGCTGTGTTGTCGGTGGTGGGGGAGGCGGAGGAGTTGGTGGGAGTGTTGCGTTTCTTGTAGTTGTTGGAGGCTGTGTTGTTGTAGGAGGCTGAGTTGTAGGAGGTGGAGGAGGCTGTGTTGTTGGAGGCTGAGTTGTTGGTGGTGGAGGAGGCTGTGTTGTCGGTGGTGGGGGAGGCGGAGGAGTTGTTGGTGGTAGTGTTGCGTTTCTTGTAGTTGTTGGAGGCTGTGTTGTTGTAGGAGGCTGAGTTGTAGGAGGTGGAGGAGGCTGTGTTGTTGGAGGCTGAGTTGTTGGTGGTGGAGGAGGCTGTGTTGTCGGTGGTGGGGGAGGCGGAGGAGTTGTTGGTGGGAGTGTTGCGTTTCTTGTAGTTGTTGGAGGCTGTGTTGTTGTAGGAGGCTGAGTTGTTGGAGGTGGGGGAGGCTGTGTTGTCGGCGGTTGAGTTGTTGGAGGTGGAGGAGGCTGTGTTGTCGGAGGTTGAGTTGTCGGAGGTGGGGGAGGCTGAGTTGTTGAAGGTGGAAGAGGCTGAGTTGTAGGAGGCTGAATTGTAGTTGGTACTGTTGCTGGTTGTGTTACTGGCGATGATGTTGTTGAATTAGAAGATCCAATAATGCAATGCGCCTTAAAACATTGTTTTATTTCTACAATGTACTCGAAAAAGTAACTATTTTACTAGAAATTTTAATTTGCTTTATTTTCGAAATTGCTACCTCATTTACAATTATCATCGCATTCGGATCCTGTGTTGTACCAAATCTAGTCCATGATTGTGTTGATCCATTATATTGAATACAATATAGAAGAGCGTCTACTCGTGTAAAGTTTGGGACCCAAGCCATCAAAGATCCTTGGTTTCCAAACTGAAATTAAAGATTTCTCGCTAGCATTATAGGCATATCCCTACCGCCACAATAGCATTTGGTGGAGAAGTACACGTAACCATAAGTTTTGCGCAGCCAGCCGGCGCTGTAAATGCACTACTGCTTATATTCGTTAATCGGGTATTATCAGGTGTCATTGTGAGTTGGCTGGGAACACAGCCTGATGCACACTGCCAAGGACTTGGTGGTAAGCTGTTATTAGCTAAATCAAAAATTTACTTATTTGGGTATCTGTTGAGATAAAAACGAACGCGATGCAGTTGTGGCAATCAATGCTGTTGTTGTAATTACAGACATTGTTGTATTTGTTTGTACAGGCATCATTGTAGTTGGAGGTAAGGTGGTAGGCCCAACAGCCGGTGTCGTAGCTATAGTTGTCAATGGATCATAAGGCCAATTACAGAAATCTTGCTGACAAACACATTCTTGATCATCAGTTTGATTAGTAAGTTTATTGCATGCTATACTCTTCGTGCCTTCCCAGGATGTTGCACAATACGAACGTGGTGCTGCTGATCTTCCTAAGGTCGAAAAAATTCCCTAAGAAGATTCCTTAAAACCCACGTGTTATACAGTATCTTCCGGTACAATACTTTCTCCCATCACACGTAACATTAAAATTTGCCATTCTTCGACTTCCATCGGCATTTCTAATAAGCGGAGTGCCACATTCAAAACAAGTAAAATTTCCAGAATCAGAAGGTCTTGCAATATTGGTAAATGTTCTAAAATAATTTAGAATATTGTAGTCATTAACAACTCTGAACCTATTCAAGGAAGCAACAAAGTTCGGATTATTAGGAGTATTACAAAAATTATCAGTACATTGGCAATACATTGGTTGAGTATTTGGTGAACAAAAAGTTGAAATGTTTGCAGGCAATGTAGTCGTGGCATTTGAGGGTGCTTGACAACTTGATAGCCAACTTCCGTCAGAGTTTATAGCTTGGGAAATGATGGAAAGTAGACATAATCGGATCTCCATGATACTCCCCCCCCCCCTCGCTCTCCAATAACCAAGACAACAGTTTATTATATGTTTACACAAATGGAGGATCTGAGAAAGTAATACCCCTAGTCAGTATACGCCTCATTATAATATCCAAATCTTGGTATCAAAGATGTTATGTCAGACTGTACTCAAATCAGTTAACTACCTAAATAACAATAATTCCCAACACAAACAGTATGCAATCCAAGGGTTGTTCCATTAGTAGGTGAAGAGCCACCGCCCATATAACAATAAACATCGGCCCTTATAATAATAGGTAAAGCTATTAAAATTAACGAAGAAAATAAATTAATATAAAATTTATTCCAAATAATGTATTGTCTCATTTTCATAAAATTTTGTTTTTGAGAGGGAATACGATACGTTGTTAATGCTCTGATATAATTTAAAAAATATTCAGAAAGTACTTTTAAGTGTGTTTATTTAATAAAATAATATTTAATTGGTATTTATAAAATGGAATTTGTTAAAATAATATATTCATTAAATACTCAAAAATGTGTATTAATTGATTATATATCCCTTTTTTTAATCCTACAGCAAAAAACATTAAATTTTAAATTTAATCTAACGTGATAAATTATGCTCTGAAATTTAAAAAAACTAAAATCATACACTTCAATGACTAGTTATTTATTTTTTTTTTGTCAAAAACTAAATTTCATTTGTCAGTCTTAAGGCCAAATATTATAAATGTCGAAGATCGACAATTTTCCAAGATTCAAGACCAAGACACGCACAACAAGACTAAGAAGAAAAAACACCAAGAAAAGTCGAGAGCAAAGACTTAAGCCAAGAAAACATGACGTTCCACAAAATCATTGACTAAATCAAGTGTGTAACATTATTATGAAGGAACCCATAATTTAGGCGTATCTCGACTTTTCCTTCATAATTTTATGAATTCTCAACTAATTTTAAGACCCCTAACCGAAGTCTACTTCTCCATTGTTTTAACATGTAAAAAAATTAATAGCACAGAAACTTTTATACTTGACACAAAGCAAATAAAAAATATAAATGAAGCACAGAGTCAATGTCAAGCAGCGATTTGAAAAGTTAATAACTAAAAATATATAAAAAAGTAAAAAATAAAATAAATGGATGAGGAGGGCACTAATAATTGTGCCAAAATATCAGGATGTCATATATAAATTACTACAAAAAGTATAAAAAAAGACGACAATAAAATACTGTGGATTCAAAGAAAATATTTTTTGGTATATGACAAAAGCTTGGCATTATGTCCAATTATGTTTTCCTTGGGTATTCAAACCTTGAGGAGTAATTTAAATGTAAAAGTAGATTCCAATGAAAATTACTGGAGTTTTAGATGTGTCGAAATACCAAAAAATACCTAAACTACATGATAAACACCGTAATACCTGTTAATAGTCACTATTTTTCCAGATATTTTTCCGAACTTGCTATTAAAGGATGTCATAATAACACAGGTTTTACGGGGTATTTAAAAGAACTAAACATAAAATGCAAAATCAGTTCAGGGATACCATCTTTAATTTGCATATTAAATTTCGAGATTCATTTAATATATATCAATAAACTTCCATAAAAAGATTTTTAATGGTATCCAAGAACAAATAAAAAAATTTCTTATAATTGTAAAGAGGATGAATCATCTTCTAATCCATCAACCAAAAAGGGGAAATTAGTGGAAGAAAAAGAAGTATCTGGGTGATTTTGGTAAAACATTTCATCTCCATCATTTATCAGAACTTGCTCATCATCTACTGTATCCATCATCCATTGTTGTTGTTCTAGACCATAATCAAATGAAGAGTGAGGATCTTGCTGATACTCTTCAAAATCACCTTTAAAGTGAAATGAAAGTACATATAATTCATCCTCAATTTTTTAAAATTCCCTTACCATTGCCTAAACCATTCTTCTGACACAATGGCAACATTGGAGACTCAACATTTTCTTCGTAACACTCCTCATTGATGTCTTGATATTTCTCATAATTGGAGTATGTATTGTTAGCTAAAATGTTGGAAGAGCAGTTATAAAAAGTAGAGAATGAGGAAGCAATAGAATGCGGCTGACGGTACTGTTCTTCTTTGAAGGGGCTTGGCACCTAAAAATTTTTTCCACTGAATAGATCAAGTCTTTTATTAACCTCATGCAAGGCGCCGAGTAAACCGTTATCCGAAATGTAATCGCTGCTTGAGATTGACTGATGCTGTTGGTATAGTGATTGACTTTGTGTGCCTGTGCTTTGTTTGTTGGTATTTTTGTGGTGTTTTTGGTAGTTTTTATGGGTTTGTTGGTTAAATGTTGGTGTCTGAACAATCGTTGGTTGACTGCAATAATTGTGGGGACTCAATGCAGCTAATGCTGCTGAGGAACTATGTGACAATCTTCCTCGTCCGCTGACTCTGTGCTGCTCAGCTCCTCCTCGCTCGATAGAGAAATGCTGCTGTTCATGTATATATTGCTGTTTATCTGTGCCAAAGTCGAATTCCTCCGAATACTTAAAAGAAAGCTTTTTTCAAAATTTTAAGAAAATTAAAGTAACCGTTCTTGCTTCAGACGACTCTTCGACTTTACATTGCACGTCTCTCGCGTGCGCATTAACAAATGTGCCACTAACTGCCGTTGGGGGCTGTTGCACAGACGAAGAAGCTTGGCGTTGTCCATCAACACCATCCTGCGCAGCAATGCCTTCTTCAATGACTTCGTTGCAGAAGCGGTCCACATCGACTGGAACGTCCATTTCTGAAAGTAAAATTTGAATATAGAACAATCAAGTTTATATGCCTTCGAAAAGCTCGTCGAAGATATTTTGCAATCCTTGGACGTCTTCGCCGTCTCCCTCTTCTCGCATACAATCGACCAGAGTGCCGTAAACACCTTGATCAAGCATGCTATCCTGACTGCATTCTGCTGTTGACGACCACTGGCCATTAGTGGCATTTTGCCTCTGTTGTTCTTCATCAACTTGGATTGCATTTTGTCCATAACTTCCCCTGTTTTCTTCATTCCCTCCTCTGGCACAGATTCCCGTTCCCACGGCAGGAGAGCGTTAAAGGATGCTGCAGACCCTAGAGAATCACGATTAAGAGGTGAGAGATTGTTGAGTTTGAGGGAAGGTGAAGACTGATGCAATGAGTTGTTGGTAGTTGATTGATGAGAGGCAATGGATGATTTCACATCAACAGAGTTAGGTAGAGGTTGATTCTAGAATTTGAAGAGGTTACTGTATTATTTGCTAGAATCCCCGGTAATACTTTGGTTTATGTCCCCTTTTTCCGTTCCTATTTTCAAGTGAAGTCGGAATTTAAAAATAATAACAAGTACCATTACTTGTGGCTGTTCTCCACCAAAATTTTTTACATTTGTATTACTATATTGGTATTGTTGTTGTTTATCTTCAACTGTCGCCATTAAAATTTCTTGTTTTGGAAAAATAAGGGGTTTGTGCTGAACAATATTTTCTTGTGGAATATTTTGAACAATTCTTCCATCATTCTGACCATTTTGAGAGGCCAGAAGCTGTGCGTTCTGTGCCTGAAGAAATCTTAATTCTCCGCGTAAACGGCTAATCTCTTGAATGGCACGTTTCAATGATTCCTCCAAGCGTTTATTCGTTTCTTTTTTACGATCACGCGCTGCTTGTGCAGCAATTCTACATATAATAACAAAACTTTTAAGTTATCAAACTCAATAGGAGAATCTACCTATTTTTCTGTTTTCGCCTAAGTAATTTTTGTTCCATAGTTAAATTGCTAAGGCGTTCCCTTCGCCTAGGCTGTTCCAAATCGCTAATACGCTGTCCAGCACTTTCATCTAGCAATCTACAAACTTCTCCAATATCTAATTCATTGTCTTCCTCAGAAAGTTGTTGCTGATTTTGGGAAATATTTTCAGGAATAAACACTTGAGGTTGTTGTGAAGTAAATGATGAATGACTATTGTTACTATTAAGATTTGTCCGCATGGGTTGGAGCGAAATAAAATCAGCATTTGTGGGCGCCGGAGCTATTGGCTGAATCTTAAATGAATTATAAGTATTATTATTGCTAGAGATCAGCACGGGACGGGAACCAGTGCAGGATTTTACCTCTGATCCCTTCCTGGAATCAGAGTTGAGAGCATAAAAGGACTACAGGGATCCCTAGATTTAAATGGATTAAAATCCTGTCCAGCTCGATCTGTTGAGGTTCAATCCATTACGGAATCCCCGGAAACTCGATCTTACCAATCCAACTATTGCTATACTTTAAGATTAATTCCAAAGGGATGCAAGTTTAACTTTCAATCTTCAACTACCTGATAATGAGTCAACGGACTCTGTCCGGGTGCTGCAATCACTGGTGCCAAATAAACACGTCGTGAAGTATCTGTATTCTTAGGGACCTAAATATATTAATATACCAAAGCTAAAATAACATTCAAACCATTCCATGAAGTCGGACAGAGCGTCGGTCATTCAAAATCCTCCCACCAACTGCTCCTGTTCTAATCATTCTTATTGGCCTTTGTCCTTGTAATGTTACTGGAATTTCGGTAGTCGCTGCAAAATTGCGCGGAAGAATGTACACGTTGCTCATAATTTTTTAAAACTTTATTACTCCAATAATATACGTATATTTTTTTCTATTTTTGCTGCCTGCTGTTGTCAGTTTTCAAACATAAAAATATTTTTAAAAAACAAAATGTTCTGCTGCTCTCTCAAAATTGCTGCTATCTCAACAATTAAACATTTACTAAACCCTGTTCCGCGGCCTCAACCGCAGTTGCAGCCAACTCAAATGACACGTCAGCACAAATAAAATGAATGTAAAAAGAATGGCGACTAGGGGATGTCTATATAAAACTGGGTAATATAAACGTGGAATGCTGGGAGGGAGAGATTGAGGCAGAAATAGGGTAAATGAGAGAGAGTAAGAGAAAATGGATACTGTATAAAAATTACTGTAAGAAAATAACGCCAGAGATAAAAACGTCCAAGGACAGAATTCCATAGAGGAAATTGTCCACGGTCATTTTGTCCAAAGGCAAGGTGCCATGGGCGAAGTTTAAGGATCTAATCTACAGTATATAAGTGAATTATGCCTTATTTTTAAGACAAATATTGGAATTTAAAAGCAAAAATTCGAAACCAAACAAAAATAAATATAATTTTATCTATACACATTTTATAAAAATCTCTTTTTTATCAATTGTTTTCTCATAAGCACTTTACGTTCATAACAAGACTTGACGAGTATTTCAATTTCAGAACAGCTTGCTGTAGGTAAATACATTTTAACAAAGGCACAATTATTTCGGACAAATGAAAGTACAGAACTTGGAGATGCACCATATAATTGAGCATAACTTGAAATCTTTAAATTATGATTTAAATTACGAAAGAATTATTTAGAGTACCATTCTGCAGTGTTCAGGGGATAATAGTAATGGACGCCCTTGAGAATCACGAGGCGGCATTTTCACTTCCCTAAGTTTTTGCTGCTGTGGCGGATATGTAACGAAGTTTTGATTTAATAATTCGTTTCTTTCGCTTTGTTTTGCCTTATTTAATGCATTAACATCTTAAATTAATTTTCGGATTCTTGAAAGAACAAGAAAAAATCTACTCACTTTCATTAACATTATTGCGATTCAATGCAACATTGTTCTCCTTACTTGCATATTCTTTAACAACATTTTGTTCTTTTGTGTTAACTATTTGTTTCTTAGGTTGTTGAATTACCGGTTTATTTGTTGTTACTAAACTATTTGTTTGAGTGATTAATTTTCTTAATCCTGGAAATACTCTTGCTCGAGGAGAACCTCCATAACTAGCATTTCTTTGAGGAATTTTCTTTGAAAGATAATTAAATTGGCTTTTACAAATCTCCTAAAAAACCTGCATTTTAGGAATTTGTGGTAATTTTGTAGTAGTTATTGAATTAACATCTTCATCGCTATACAAATCTTCCTCAGATTCTTCTCCCTCTTCTTCCTCAAATTTTTCATTATCACTTATATTTTCATCGATGTGTTGTTTTCTTTGTTTTGCTTCAACAGAAGCAGAGTAGTCTACAGAATTTTGATTATTTACAGATTCTGCTTCATTCATTCGATTAGAATCTTTTGTTGAAAACTTTGCTTGAACCTTTATTTTTTATTTTTTAGAATTATAAAATGCCAGAAATAAGTTAATAGGTATGTTTGGCATAAAACAGATAAATTACCGTATTGCCTCTATGGAATGCCCCTTTTTAGGATGCGTGAAAAATAGAATGCAAGCTCAATTTGAATGCCACCCTCTAATAGAATGCCCCCTTGGAAGGTGATTTAAAATGAAATGCCCCAGCATATGAGGTAATACGGTCTCTTTAATTTCTAAACTAAAGTATCATCTCGAAAATATATGCCAACGGCAATTTTAACTATCAAATTAGAATTTTTGATTAAATTTACTGCAGGTATTGTCTCCCATTCTGTTTCTTTAGTATACGAAGATCCAGATGATACGTGTTTTGAATCAGGAGCCTCATGATGTTCTTTTTGTGGAGAAGTTTCATAATCATCAATATACTATTAAATTAAACTTTCAAAAATCAGTGTGGCATAAAAATTACCTCAATAATAGGTGTTTTAGTCGTTTCTTGTTGATCTTGTTGTTCTTTTTCTAATAAATATTGAGAATTGGTTCCTTCGGACCTTCTCGGATTTTCACTCCTTCCAACATCTTCCCACCCTGAAAATCTTCCAAAATTCTAGAAAGTAATTGAAATTACCCATTATATTATTTTCATTCCCCTCCTTTAAAAATCCAGCAAAATAACTTCGCTGTTCAAGGGCTGCCTTTGCTGAATCTGATAAATATTGTTTTTTATTTTGTTGTTGTTGACCTTCCACAATTTGTTCTTCCTCCTCGTCTTCAATCAAAAAACATTTATATCTTTTCGGTTTCTCCTTTTTAATCCCTTCATTTTCATCGGTTTCAGTCTGCCTTATTAAACGTTGTGATTGTTTGGATAATTTGGGTACTTTTAAAATATTATTAGGCTTTTTGGAGTTAATTGTGTTCATTTGACGATTGATGTTTGTTGAACTTGTTCCTCTAAACAAATCATCATGAATAAAATTTTAGGATATTTATGTTAGAAAATTATCATCAGGGGTGTGCCGAAAATGATTTTAAACAGCAAAAGGCAAAAATACGAGAAAAGCGAAAGATGAAAGGCGCAACTGCCATACCCCTGATTATCATGACCTCTCACCCTGACTTCCCCGTATTTTTCTCTGAACTTTTTTCGAAGCCAAGACTTTCTGAGCTAAATAAATTTTTAAATAAAAAAACAAACAGTGTACTTGCTTCCGTGCAATAATTTGATAGAAAGCAATTTAACAGAATAAAATAATTAACGTAAAAAATAATCAAATTATCTCCATCAATTATTCGCATTCTACACAATCATAAATTTAAATACTTTTATGTTGTTAATTCACAAATTAAAAAAATAAAAATATAACAAATTTCGTGTTCATCAACAATTTTAGGATTAAATATTTAAAAGAAAAACAAGTGTTTTAATGATTAAAAATCAAAAAGAATGCGGAGATTTATCCTTTAGAAGGTTAGTAGTTTCTTCAAAAAAAGAGATCATTTCCCCTCTATTTTTAATCTAAAAGAAACAAAAATAAATGTAGGTGAAGAATTAAAAAAAGCGGCAAGGATTTGTCTATTCTAGATTATAATAAAGGGCAATTGCACTGAAAAGACAGGTTCCGGTAGTTTATTTTCCGATGGTTTGCGATATTATGCAAGTGAAAGTGAATATTAGAAAATAAGGAAAATAAATTGTGAACTTTTCTGACATTAAATGTGTGAAAATAAATTTTAGTTAGATTAATATTTAGATAAAATTAAAAATCAAAACCGGAAAGGTTTAAAGAAATTGTTTCAAGCTAGTTTTTGTCAGTCTAAGGGTTGTTCGAGATTTGCCATTGTCAACGTGCACAAGAATAACGTGTAGCTGTAGTAGAAAGGGACAATGTAGGAAAGTGGATTGAGCTGGACAGTGCGAAAGAGATCAGGGACTTTAAGCTCGGGGACTTTTACCTAGACTAGAAAGATCGAGCGAACCGAGGCTGTTTATCTCGAAAAAGACTTGTATGACTCGACATGAAAAAACCCAAACTCGAAAACGAACAGAATTGAAAAAATCCAAGTTCGAAAAAAATGCATTGATAAACTTGGGCCCGAAATTGAAATGGCAACCCCCTCCCCTAAATAATTTAAAATGTTCAAGAAAACACTAAAACCACTAAAACAAAAATTCGAAAAAAGCTTTATCCTTCTCAAAACAACAATTGCATGAAATCAAAAATATCTAAAGTTTAAATGATAAACAATGTTTAATGAAAAAAGTGTGTTGCAATTAAATAAGTGTAAAATCGAGAAATTATAATTTAATTCATTTTTAATCAAAGAGAAAAATAATTCGAAGAGGAAAAAATTTGAAGAAAAAAATCAAAAATTTAGTATGTATTTTTGAAATAATTTATGTTTTTTGTGTATTTTTTGTTTTTTTAATTTTAATATTTTTTTTGTTTTTTATATTCTATTATTTTTGATTTTTTTTTGTATTTTGAGATGAAAAATTTGAAATAATTTATAAAACGGTGCCTATTGAGGTCAAAAATTGGGATGAAAAATAATTCACAAAAGCAAGAGAATGTTAAGTATTTTTAAAAGTTAAGTAGATTTAAAAATCTAATATTTAAAGGCTTAAATGAAGGTTGGAAAATTCAAAAAAAAATCATAAAATGTGAGACAGATTAATTATTAATCCATCAAATTCCCTTGCTTATGTGAATATTGAGATGGGAACAAAGCAACATTTCTATAGGGTATTGTTTGAAAAGATCTATGTATACTATTTACTATAATTTAAATTTTCTAAAAAGCAAAAAAACACACACATCAAGCCAAAGTTTCAATAAACTTCTTTACAATATTTAGTAAATGCAATTTGATTTTGTCCTTTTCTTCACACGTCTTTCCACATAAATTAAAAGGTGCGTACTGTAAATATAGCTCTACGGCATAGTCTGGGCTTAATAATCCATCCATCAAAGCATTTTTGTCCATAGTAATAAATGATTTGAAACTTTCTGATAATCCTGGGTTTGAACGTCTGCAAGGAAAATTAGATGAAAAATAGGAAAAGTTTGATCTCGAAATGATTGGTTAATCTCTTAATAGGGAGCAGAAAGGAGCAATAAAACGTGAGAAAAATTTAAAATTTTTACAGAATACTTGAGAAAATACGACGGCAAAAAGTTTTATCGTTAACTCTCAGAGAAACGAAGTTTTTAGCGTAAGGCAAAACTTATCAAAGGGATTAATAAAAAAAGTTCCCTAATTATGTATAACAAAAATTAAGAACTCACTCGACATCACTCAATTGATCATTTTGTAATTTAATTGGACGAGACACACAACTTAAATTAAAAAATTATGTTACCTCCTTTCTTCTCATTTTTTCATCTTCTAAAAAAATGAGGAAGTACTTTTTCGAAATTTTACCTCGGACACGAATTAGAACATTAGAGAAAATTATAACATTCGAAAAAAAATTTTTTTGTATGTGTATGTATTTGGAAGTTAGAAAGACAAGATCCGAGTATACTAATAATTCATTATTATTAAAATATTTACTTTTCTCTTATCAAGTCTTTCGCATCAAGGCCTAAATTTTTTGAGTCGATCTTAATAGATACCAAATTTCTGTTAGAACACCTGAAAAAATAAAGGGGAATATATGAAAACGAAAAATAAAGTACTTTAATTTGGACTCCGTAGAACTCTGTTCCCCAATGATTTTGTCTGTTTGTGTTGATTTATCAAATTCAATTTTTGCTTCAAACTCACGAACTGCATTCACCTAAAAATAATGGATTAAATACCCAAAGATAGACTAGAAAGAATACGAAGGGAGGGATGGACATTTTAATAGCACCCATTAAGTATAACGATCTCAACTCTACAACAATAATTGATGTTAGTAACGATCAATTCTGAGTTTTATTAAAATCTCGCATAAAAATTTTAGGAGGGTTTCTATTAGTGGTGGTAATAGTGTCGTTTCAAGTCCACCTAGATGGGGCTGGAAACGACACTATTACCGAGAGTGGGCTTTAAATGGGTCCCCTCGGGTGGGCTTATATTAGAGATGGGATTCTAATAGAGCAGGGTTCATATTGGATCATTCACAGTAATCTCAAAATCACCGAAGGTCGCGCTAATCTTCCTTTGAGTGATCTGATTTTATCCTTGCACTTTCCCAATTTTGTTTTTCTTCTATCAGCTTTTCTCTTCACGTTTCGGTAAATGTCCGCATCAACAACAAATTGCGTTTTTTGTCCATCTTGTGTTGATTCTTCAATAAGGATACAGTTGACGATATTATTTGTAGTGCGCTGCTGTAGACGTTCGTATTTGACCTGTTAAAAACAAAACCATATTACAGAAAAAGCATTCTTTTAGCTGAACAACACCACTATCAATAAAATAAACTGACCTTTTCTCGAGCCAATTCCTCAATTAGATTGGTCTTGTCCTTAAACAGAGCTTTCTTTGATTTTCTAAGACGTTTATTTTCGCGAGTCAATTTTTCAACTTCTAAGTTTGCTTCAGTCAACTTAACAGCATCAGTCTTCTTTTCCTTCGTTAATTTGTTGCATTTCCTATTAAGTCTATCGGCATTGATATGAGAGATAATGCATGGTTTATTAACACAACTCAGCTCCAGTTTGGCTTTTGATTTTTTCTGAACATTGGAATTAGGATGGTAAGAAGTGTGCATTTTAACCTTTGAAGAGAATTTGGCCAAATTTGTTTGGTTTAAGCTTGTCATCTTATTGAAGGTTGATTTTGACTTGGTCCCATACTTCATTGTTGGAATGTTTCTCGGTTTGCTCATTTCACTATCCAATAGATATTTATTATAACAGCATTTACAAAAATGACTTATTCAAACCTACCTGTTTCATCAGCGTCCAATTATTATAGTTATTAATATAGTTCGTGAGGAATAAGTCGGCTTATATTAGATTTAAATTTCAGACCGAAAAATATCCAAAAAGTAAAATAAATACAGTTCGAAATTTTGTTTTTAATTAAATTTAAATTATAAAGAAAAATATTACCAACCTAAATATGCACACGATATTGCTTCAGACAAATCTTTTTGAGAACAGTGATGAAGAATAAAATAGGTGATAATAGAAAATTCCGTTGTTCAAGCGTGTAATAATTTGCTTGAAGATTTTAAGATAGGTCAATTATTAAGAATAAAATATATCAAAATCTAAAATTAAAAAGTTATTAATACATACCCCGCATCTCATTATAAAACATTAATAAAAAAATTCAAATACATCGAATCGCGATAAAATTCTAACTCCGCCCAGACACTTGTGCTGGCTTTTCGACCATATATGAATCGAAATTTTTTCACATTCCTTAAGATTAATTTCCCTATACATTTCTATCTATTTTTGGTTTGTTCTGTAAGGCTATAAACGCAAAAGGATTAATTTTCTTTTAAAAAATAAAATGGTAAATTGGCGTCGACATTTTTCGTTTAATTTTTGTAAAAGCACTGTTGAAATTGATTCATCCCGTGAGTGCACTCGCATTTTGGCGAAAAAATGATTCATGCATGTATGAATCAGTCAGTGACACGTACAGACAAAAAAAACAGACACAACACTGACAGACATGGTCTATCAATCCTTTTGCGTTTATAGCCTTATGGTAGAAAAATAGAGAGAAATGTATAGGGAAATTACCAATTTTATGGAATATGAAAAAATTTCGACTTAGGACTTTCTTTTATATTTTATACTTCTTTATTACGTTGACTTTTCTCACGTATCAAGTTACGTTAATTTGACGCATGGACATGCCATCGAGATTCGATAGTAATAGAATTTTAGAAAATACGGTACTTATGAAGATGGAGGTGCCCTTTCTGCGGACTTTTTTTGCGGACTTTTCCTTTCTTTTTCCCCCTTTTTTAAAAAGGATGTTTCTGCTTGTAGCAAACTAACTGACAAAGGCCATCCCCCTATTATTTTTCTTACCTAAGATTGTACATAAAGGTCAGATTTTCATCTTCCTCTCCTTCCTCTATTTGCCCTGTGGCATATTCAAACAAGAGACTTGATAAAGAGAAGATTAATTTTATAGTCATACACTTACATATTTTTTGCCTCCGAAAACGATGTTAAACAAAAAAAGAATTAAATAAAATTGATTTAGTCTATAACATTATGAATTTATGTGTAAAAACATTACATTCATACTTGTATTTAAAAATATTGAACAACTGAAAAATAAATTGAACTCAATATTGAACAACTCAATTAATTTTAATCTTCTCTTTATCAATGTTTCTTGTTTGAATATGCCAAGCTCAAATAGAGGAAAGAAGGAAATCTGACCATTTTGTACAATCTTAGGTAATAAAAATTATGGGGGGGGGGGGACAAGGTTTGAAATTACCCGCATTTTGATCCACAATCACAAATTCTTTTTCTATGAAGCATTCCGAGATCAGTGATCCATTGTCGAAATTCATCATCGGGTAATTGAGAATTTAGTTAAAGTTAAATTTTTAATTGATTGTAACATTTTTTACGTTTATATATTCAAATTAATCGTGAACACATATTTTTCAAATTGGCATAAAAAATAATCCTTTGACAGTTAATTGCTACGAGCAAAATTTGCTGAAAGAAAAACAACCAAAACATTTAAAAAGAAAGGAAGAAAAGTCCGCAAAAAAAGTCCGCAGAAAGGGCACCTCCATCTTCATAAGTACCGAAAATACATAGTAAAGAAACAAAAAAACGTAAAATAAATTTAAAAAATGGCTGGAGAAAAAATGTTAGTTAGTACAGCTGGTTTGCTCTTGTAATCCTGAACTATGCCAACGCTGAGCATGTTGGTTACACCTAACAATATAATTGTTTTCTATCGTCAAAGTAATATACACATAGTTGATGACTCACGACACCGCTGTGAACCACTGGTCTCATTTCCAGAGCCGAGTAGTTTTAGATTTGGATAATGAATCATAAAACAGGACGCAACGCCCGGGAATAGATTTTGTCGGTAGAAGGAAGGTAGATCCAACAGAAATGATGAAAATAATCCCTAGTCAAACTTTTCCCATTCATATATACTAATTAATCTTTTTGATAAGCCTAAGGAGGATTAAGGGATAGAGATTTGATATTTGACTCGAGAAAAATATCAGGAAAAAGGGATGCCATCCAAAGTAGTGAACGGACAAAAAACACCTGTTTGATATTTGCCTCTCTTATGCTTAAATGTTAAGCTGTTTTATTATCTTTATAACACTGTGCATTCATTTCGATATTTGCAAAGACGCAGAACTAGAATGTGTAGCTTAACATATAAGCACGAGAGACAAATATCGAACATGGGTTTTTCTCCACTCACCAATCCAAAGGTATACTAAAATTGCCCGGGATTATATTTATATTCAAAACCTTTAAACACAACGGCAGGACAGAACAAAGCAGATATGTTTGCATCAATTCATTGCATGCATTTCGCAAGAATCCATAATCCTCACCTGTAAATAAAATAGTAATTGAAAACAGAATTTGATGAGACCAATTACATTGTAAATTTAGGAGAAATAAAGAAAATTCTCCGTTAAATTACTCATTGATCCCATCACTTATTAAAAACCTGAATGATCTGAATGCAAAGACCGGATTATCATCACACCCAAGCATTAAGGACACACTAGAAACTTCAAAGAACCATAAACTGACATAAGAACAAAGAAACACAGGAAACAATAAAGGAAAAATAAAGCCAAGAATGAGCAAAATAATCCTCAACTCGCGCTTAAATAGTGAGGCAAAACGCACGCGTGGACGCACGCATCCAATTCTTTCCAGCTTTTGCAGCATTTTTATATTGTGGTTAGAGAATGTTTGTTATTTTCAAAACAATGTTAGACACTATAAATTGAAGAAGTGTGTATAGAGTAATTTAAAAATCAATAAATAGCAAGCGAAGCGAGACATTTGAGTCTCACATCAATCGGCATGTTCTTAATTTGTCCTAGACTGGATTGGTCACACTAAACAAAAGTCTCAATTCGTCCAGGTGGACAAAACGTACAATTCGTATCATCTCAATTCGTCCATTTCAAAAACGCCCAATTCGTCCCAATAGAAAAAATATCAATTAAACCCAACTTAGTTCGTTCCATAGTAAAATGCCCAATTGACTAGAAATATTTATTTCGTCTCATTATAAATTAAGAAATTCATTTTGTTGAAAAACTTGATCTTTTAAAGAGATAAAAACAAAATCTCTAAACAAAAGTCTAAAAATATTAAGAATAAACTATTATTTAATTCTTTTTCGAAAAAATTTCCTTTGTTAAATTGCTTAACTTAAAATTTTTAAAGCTTTTCGATTGTATTTTTTAATTTAAAAATTTAGACATTTTTCTATTTAAATTATGCCTAGTTGGCATTTAAAAATATTTCCTCAATTTCCTTTAAATTTTATTAAAATTACCAGTTAAATAAATATTAAAAAATTTTATATCTCCATTTTTATTGACAATTTTAAAATTATTAGGCATATTAAAAAAATTTTCTCTAAACTTCCTGTCTCAAAAAGTCTTAAGATCAGCTTTTGTCATGTTGGCAGATAAATTTAGATGAATAAAAAGCGGCAAAAATTTACTTTATTCATCAAAGTACCTAAAAAATTCTAATAATCTAAAATGAAATTCAGCCAATTATTTGTTCTTTTAATAATTGCTTTACAATTTTTGGTTGCTCAAGGGCTCATCTACGATGCGGTTTGAAGACTACTTACAATTTAAATTTTCATAGAAAAATAATTTTTAGAAAGCAGCTAAAGTAGCCGGAAGTGGCACAGGGCGCTGAATATTTGACAACTGTCTAGAACTATGTAATAAACAAACGATATCTTGATGTAATTGGTAAATAAAAATAACCTAAGTATCAAAAAATGTTATATGGGAAATAAAAGATTTATCTTGATGTAAAATCTAATAAATTTGTCAATACTGCTTTTCTTCAATTTATGATTGGATTGGGTACAGGGTTTTTGTTTCCTTGTTGGATATTAACTCCAACAGCGTTTATCGTTGATACACGATTACTTCTTAAAACTTTTTTAATAAGTTTCAGACAATCATTCCTTATCGTTTTGTTCAATGCCAAGTAAATAATTGGAGGAAAGCCTGGAAAATGTTTAAAATTTTAAGAACAAAAATTTTAACTAGCCGTGAATGTGAAGCCTGGAATATTTTTAAAAAAAATTAAAAAAAATTTGTTGTAAGTTACCAAGAAAATTGTGCTAAGATAATCATCCATCGTTCAGGTGTTATATGTTGCATTACAGAATATATAGAACCGCAAATAGTGTTAATTAAGGAAATGACAAAAACTTGAAGGAATGTCTAATAAAAATTATTAAAAATCCTTAAAGCATGGTAAAATTACCAATTTCTCAGCACGACTGATTGTCACAAATCCGTTATTATTTGTACTAGAATGGCGCAAAGCTTGATTCTTTATTAGAAGCGATAAAGCAAATAAAAGATAAATTCCGGGTGAAAGAATGGCAACGGAGAGATCGTGAATAATGTGAAAGTCGTAGTTAAACTTGGAATGTATTTTCAAGTAATATTTAGGTAATATGTTACAACCTCTCCTTTAATATCCTCCTTATATCCAATAAATGGATTGAAGAACCATGCAAAATAAATTCCAGAAAAAACAATTGCCTTCGCAAAAAATAGCCAATATAGAGCATATAGGGAACAAATTGTTAGCCACAAATAAGTGCGAATTCCTTTGAAAAGTATTTCAGCTATCTTAGGTGCTAGAACTTCAAGACAACGATTAATAGCCAGAATCTTAAATTTAATTAAAATAAATTCTATTGGATAATATTAGAGATCGAGCTCCATAAAGCTTACCTAATTGATCCAGACCTTCATTTTTCCTAGATCCAGAGTCAAGATCAAGGTACTTTTCAGAGTTCCTTGATTTTTCTTTGACCTTAATTTCCTTTGACTCGAGGTCAAGAATATGGTCAAGGTCTTCACTTAAAATTAAGGTCAAGGCTTTCTTAAAAACCTTGATCTCTAATATTTATAAGCATACAATATCCGCGGTGCTCTCTGCAATCCATAAAGCTTAAATAAGATTTATAATTTAGAATTATAGATTTAGTAACATAGCGATATAGATCCAACAATATAAATCAGAGAAGGGTACGAGCAAAAGACAGCCCCTTGTAAGGAAAGCCAAGTTTGAATAAATCCAATAATTACTAATGCATTAACATCAATTATCCCAATATAGAAAAGTATTGAATAACAATCATTTTTCCAGTGATGGTTCCAAATTGAGTACAAACATGGCAAATAAAGTAAAAAATATATCGTTGCCAATGTTAAATTAATTAGAGCTAAGGGTGTTGAACGACGCTGTTCTAACGGTATTGTCTCGATTGTTATACTACTACAGTTGTAGAGACGTTGGTATTCGTTGGGTTCGAAGAGAAAAAGCTCCATTTCGAATATGTACTTTTTCTTTTTTTTTTAATTTAAATAAATGTTCTGACAGATGTAAATATTTTTTACGTTAAAATTTTATTAAAATTAATGTAAACAAAGTTTCAACTAGCAATTTTTATTTAATAATCTCCTAGGGGAATTAAATTAATATTATAATTAATGACGACAATACACTTTTGTTTTATTAAAATATGTAAAAAATATTTATTTTTTAAATAGTAATTTTGATTTAATAATTATGATAAAAGTTAGGATTGAAATTATGAAAAATTGGATTTTTATTGATACCGTCGAGAGGAGAATTGTTGATTCAAAAATCTACAGTATTTTTACGTTTGGGGTCATTTAAAAAAACTTGATGTCTATTATTTGACGGCAAATATTTCTATCAAAATTCAGTTCAATTTATTCGAAATCAGATTAATAGATCGATGATATTTAATAGCTGATTAAATCTTTGATTTTAATTAATGATATTTTAAATCCAAAGTACTGTTGATCTAAATTATTAATATATATTTTTATTTTATTAATTATTAGTCAAATTAGTCGATACAATTTATTTCATGTTTTACTTAATAATTCACAAATATTTCACATGCCTTAAATTTTATATTTTGTGTATTAATACATGTTTAATAAAACACAAAGGTTTGCCAACTTCCTTTAAACTTGATTGTGAGTATACAATATACTTTATTTGAGTTATTTTTGGTTTCCTGTAAATTTCTGTATTATGCTTAATTATAAAAATTTTCTTTTAGAGTATTAAACTACATCTGGTTAATACATAAATTATTTATGGCATATAAACTTTTTGCATCATCTTTTTAGACGATATCAAAAGTCGGGATTGATTGAATGATTGAAAAGTTGGATTAAAAGATCTTGGACTCGTGTCTTAACAGCTAGTTTGAAAAATAAAAATTTAAATTAAAAAAATCTTGGTAAAAATTTTCTAAAAAAATATAGAAAAAATTTTGAAATTGTGTCATTCAATTTTAAATAAAGAATTAAAAATCATTTATTGTAAAATTATTTATTTATTTAATGGAAGAATTTATTTTTAATTGATTAAAAAATTAAATTTTTTTGGTAAAATAAATTTTTTGGAAATATTAATTTTTTCAAAAAATATTTTTTATGCAAAAATATTTGTGTAAATTTTATAAAATTGATTGGATAAAATATAAATATGTATTTATATTAAACCAAAAATTAAGGAAATGATCTTAATAAATCTTATCAAAGATTACCAATTAGGGTTTAAAATAAAAAAAATATTTTTATTATTAAAAGGCAAACGTGGCAAAATTTTATTATTATTATTGTCAACTTCCGAGCAGGAAATTGGGCAAACTTTAGATTTTATTTGCCAATAAAAAATCACGTGAATATTTTTAAAGCAGAAATTATAGTGTGTGTCGGATGTTGATTTATCTTTATTTAAAAACAAAAGCTTTAACAGAGGGATATAAAAGTTTTATAGGTACTTTGTGGATATACTGCCCCCATCCTAGTTTGAGTATCAATCATTTTTTCCTTCTTATGCTTATCCATGTTCGAGTAGAAGGAACAAATAAAGGATACACAAATTATGAGGGTAGGGGTATCCAAAAGTAACCTGTTTTAAATAATGTATCACTACAACCAATTATCCTTAGTATTTATCGTTTCAAGCTCTCGTTAACAGGATAATTAATAGATGGATAAACCTTAATGTTAATTAAAATTAAATTTTTAAAATATTAATTTAAATTTTGATATTCACGTGTTTATTTTGCATATTAAAAATTGAAAATAATCTCTGGCCACTTATTAAAAAAGATTTTTAATTTATTTTTTGTTGTTACAACTGATTTTTAAAATTTATTTTCCAAAGTTTTGGCGTTACTTTTTTCTCACCGCATCTCTCAATAATTTTTTAATTTACGTAATAAAAAATTATAATATTTTTTCTTTCTGATTTTTAAATTTTTATTTAACCGTTTACCGCTTAACTCATTAAATATCCACGTGAATTAATGCTGCATAGAGCTTCATAGGTCATATAAAATCGCAACTAAAATCCAAGTTTCATATCACTTCTACATTATTTAAAAATAATTATTTAGTAATAACAATTTAAAATAAATTAATGTTTTCCTTAAAAGCTTCAATCTTGATTGTTATTTCTTCCATTGTTTTTGTTAATATTTTACAAGGAGTGGATGGATTCTTATGGGTTTGTATTGAATTATATCCTAAAAATAATTCCTATAATTTTAAGTTTAACAAGCAGAGCGCTGAGAAAAAGCATCATCACAGCGAAGAAAAGCATTATCATCATCGTAAATACCATCATCATTCCGATGGTTCTTCATCCTCATCTTCAAGTTCATCATCTTCTGAGTCTTCTTCTGATTCATCATCCTCATCTTCATCCTCAGAGCATAGTTCCGAATCTAGTGAGGAGAAAAAATCAAAGAAAACATCAATAAAAACAACAGTATTATCTACAATTCAGGCTAGTACAAGCACTTCATCGCCAACAAACAGCACTCCTTGCCCAACAGCTAGTACTCCTTCCCCATCATCTAGCACTCCATTGCCAGCATCTCGCACTCCATCGCCAACCGTATCAACTACAACTCAATTGCCAACAACGCAACGTTCATTACCAACAATTGCTAAAGAACCAACAACTCTTATGCCTGAAATTGTAACAAAAACAGCAACCGGTATTTAAACAAATTCTTAAATAATTTCATTTTAATTTAATAAATAGATAAAGTAAGCAATTCAACACCATGCCATAAAGAACCAAAGAAAACATCAATGAAAACAACAACAATATTACCTTCTACATCTACTAATCAAATTATTACCAGTACTCCATCGCCAACAACCAGTACTCCACCAACAATACCAACTATTCCAAATGTACGAACAACCCCTCCAAGCTATATAATTAATTCAAATAATAATATTATTAATAAAGTAGAAGAACCAAAAGGAGAAAATAAATTAGGCAAAGACGATCAAAATTCAAATAATCAGCCAAAAAGTGAAGAAAATGAGGACAACGAAGAGGATAAAAATAATTATCTAAGCAGCACAGAACCTTCCTTAACTGGGGATATTGACCTGGATTTGAATGTTATCATTCAGAGAAGGAAAAATAAAATGAATGATATGGTAATTATTTAAATTTATAATTGTAAGGAAGAGAAATTCCAGCTAGCTGGTTTTGCTTCGGTTTAAGATCTATTGAAGAGAAGAGCAAGCAGCACTCCGGTAGCTCTTCTACTAGTGAGCCAAATTGCCGGGTAATAACTGCCAGGAGGTCCGGGATCAATGCCTGATCTATGCCTCGCGGGATCAATGCCTAGCTCTCTCTTACTTAACAATACTTCTACTTAATCAACAATAATGAAAATTAATTTTTAGGATTCTACAGAGCTTCTTACTAAATTTTTTGACGGAATATTCAATGCTTTCATGAATCAATTTGGGTACAATTTTAAACCATCAGAAGATAATTTAAAAGTTAAAGAATTAGTATAATGAAGATTACTGACATAAAATTATTTTTAAATAATTTATTCGATTAACTAAATGAACTGTTAATACCATTCATCTAGCTGTTTTTCTATAAATTTATTTGGGGAAAAATTAATTTTTAAAATTATCCATTTTTATTTTGAACGTTTAACATTTAAAACAGCTGACTTTTGTTTTATGACCTTATAGCTAACATAAAAAATATTTAAGGGCAAATGTCGTCAGAAGGGAGTTTATGACCTAACAAATTTTTAGGAATGCTTATTTTTTCTGAACTTTTGTTTTAATTTATTTTTTTGTCTAAAATTGACGTTAAAAACCTTTCTATGTTAGTAATTCAAAATTGTACAAAATTTAATATTTTTAGATGAAAATTAAAAGAAAAAATTCAACTAAATCCTTAATTCTCAATATAGTTTTTACTTTTTTATTATGCAAATTTTGTGATTTAATTATTTGGGATTTTCAATATTTATTATCAGTTGAAGCAGGTAAGAAAATATTATTTAGAAATATGTATCCGGCTGAGTCTATAACGATCTCAAAATCTTGAAAAGACGGAATATGAAGGGAACCGACCGGACATTATCACCCCTTAATAGTGATTAAACGAGCGAAGGGTATTTCCCCCGATCGGGAGATAAAAGTATAAGAACTTGACTGATTTAACTTGACTGATTGACTGATCTTTTCTTCGCTTATTCCTTGGAACATATTGACCATGGATGCGTGGGTCTCTGGGAAAATTATATTCATATTTCACACTCCTATTTCCTCCTTACAAGTTTTGAATTAAAAAAATTAATTTTAAATTTAATTAAGCAATTATTCCTTCAAACAATATTCAAACTACAAAATTGCCCCAACTCGATTTGAGAGAAAATGATGAACAAGAAAATCAACCTACTCCAATTGTTGAAAGAATAGAAATTAGATTAATTGATAATAAAGAAAATGGATCAAATGAAAAACAATTAATGATTGTATGTCTAACAAAAATTTTTTAAATAATTTTAAAAATCCTATACAGGTTGATGTAGTAAAGAAACAAGGATTAGGTTTATTCTCAATATTTTTACTGAAAAAAATTTTAAATTTAATTTAAGTTGCCGCAACTATTCAGCAACAGAATGAACTTATGGACAAACAAAACACTAAACCTTGGTTATCATTCCAAAAATTATTTAAAAATAATTTTTTTGAAAATTTAATTTAAAGGTTTCTTGTTCGAATCAGACAGCCTTATTACCACTCAAAAATTTCCGAGCCGTTTGATCAGAAAAATGAAACAAGCGAAAATGAGATAAATAATAATTTAATTAATAATGTTGAGGAAAACAATGAAACAGTTGAAATTGGAGATGAAATGTTAAATGATAATTTATTAAAAAATGATAGTAGAGAAGAGGATAAAGATTATTTAGAGGATGAAAGAAATAGAACATTGGTTTTTGACGATAGAGAAGAATGCTTATTAAATAAAGCTAATTTGGAGAAAAAGGTAAAAATTTTCAAGCTTTTCTAATATGAATTAGGTTTAAGTTGAAGTTATGATTGTGTAAAATTCGTAAAATGAAAATTTTTCGATTTGACAGGGTTATATGAATTGTTACCTGAACTAATAATAACCTTTCTAAATTATCAGATAATACAAAGACTCGTAAATGAAAGAAGGCGAATTGTTAGAACAATAAAAAAGATTAATCGGAATCAAAGCCAATTGTGTCGAATGGATAGAAGAAGGAATCAAGAAAAAGTTCTATACAGGTGTGAATAAATATGGCAACTATTGAAAAGATTTTCAAATTTATCACGGGAAGACTTATTTTTAATTTTCAGGAAATGCCCAATGTGGAGGAGGGAAAAATTTTTCCTTTATTATGCCTTAATGAGGATTACTTATTGTGGAAATCACGCACGTTGGCCTGGAGGAATATATTACAATGAATATTAGAAAATTCAAAAAATCTTACAGATAAAAGTATAAGGCTTTGAGAGAGGAAGATTAAAGACATTCTCTGAAGCAATAACCTTTCCATAATTTCTGTAATAGGTTAGAAATTCTGAAGGTTTTGGAAAACGTAGATGAACACAAAAAGAGGAAATTAGATGATTAATACCTAATTTATTATTCTAGCGGAAATGAGTATTTTACTATATTATCAGACTATGTATTATGCATAATAATCATAAAAAATAATGTATTAAAAAATTAAAATATTTATTAAAGGTTTTGATAAATGTTTTGCTTGTAAAATTTTAACCCGACGTTAACCCGTTAATTTAAATAAATTTTAACAAAATTAATAAATTTAACAAAATTATTTCCTTTGAAAGTACCGTACTGCAAGTTCCATTAAGGCAAAAATAACAGATATAGAAAGGAAGAAAATGCTGAAGGTGATGAACTAAAAAAAATTTTTTTATAAAATCCTAAAAACACCCATACCATTTGTTCAATTCCAAGATTTAAAGGACCATTCTTATCAACAAAAAAGAAGGTAAATAAGGTTATGGAAAGGATAGTAACAAAGTTGTTAATGCCAAAAACGAGGCCATAGGCATCAGAATGCATATTTGTTGCTATTTGATTGCTGGAAAATTTATTAAAAATATACTATTTGGTCTGTAGATGGATCTATGGAGCTCTCAAAAATCTCACTCTCAAATAGACTTGGGCCTTCCCCTTAGAGAGATAATGATGATTGGTCTTAATGATGATTGGGTCTTCTCCAGTTTAAAAATTATTTACCTTGCTACAGCTTCCAACACACTGAATAAAATATATAAAAACATATAAAGTATATAATCAGCAAAAATATTCGCAAAATAAATCATTCCAAACAGAAGCAAAGAAAATCCAAGAGAAGAACCTATAAACACAAACGGCCGATAATCCTCCCATTTAATTTGAATAAATTGAAGAAATGTTAAACAAATGGCGGCTGGCATTAAAGAAAAATTTTTATTATACTTTTGTTATCGAAAAATATTTACATAAAATTGTGTTTAAGCTTTCAACAAATCCATTCCAGACCAAGGATTTATCCACTTTACGATGAGCCCATAATGATTGTTCATAATTCATAACCTTAAGTTCAAATAGATCTTGCAAGGATCCAACTAGCAGCATTTAAACGCTTTAGGCGGGGGTTAAACGATCTAAGAAAGGCATTACATTGTTCGGCATGCCGATAGCTCAATTATAGAGCACCTGTGAAGATGCAAGTGAGGTCAAGCGAGCACTAACAGCATCGCCACAGGTTTAATCCTGCCCGTTGGCTAGACTTTTTTTCTGTATTTCTATTACTATCTACGACAAATAATTCCAAAAACTCCTCACCAGAAAAATCCCACAAGTTGTAAGAATTGCAAAAATAGACCAGCATAAAACATTAACATTACGGTAATGCCGAATAAATTTATAAAGAAATATTTCTTGATTAGTTCTAGTGGAATCTTTCCTTGTTCCTTCTAATAATTCAAAGCTTTCAATTATTTTTTTATTTTCTTGCTGATCTTCCTTATTTAGTAAATTATTATGTTTCTCATCTGTTGATGGAAGTATCTTAATTTTAAAATATTGCTTCACAAAAATACTTTCAAAAAGGTCATTACTTGCTCCATTTGTTTACTTTCCTTATTTGTTTTTTTATTCCTTTTAGGTGTCGTCATCGGCAAAAATAGGGAAATAAGCAAAGAAACAAAAAGAACACCCAATGTTATCTAAAAATAAAGATAGTTTATTCTTTAATGGTTACTTTTTTGGTCTATTTTGGAGGCGAGGGTCCGTGCTTAATAACCCAAAAGTTTGAAGTCACTTCGGTAATGACTCATTCGGAAATGGGAGAAAACCACACCCGAAGAGTTACGAATTATTGTCCGAAATTTTTCCACACACCTTCGACTTTGTATCCAAGCAAAGGGTGGTATTTTTAGACAAAAATTTTGAAAACATACTTGATTAAGTAACAAATAATCCCCAATTTCAGTGGATACTAGAAATTGCCCAAAAGAATATGCCGCAAATTTTCCAGTCATTGTAGCCATTCGAATTAAGGAAGTTACCCGTTTATATTTACTTTTACTAACAACAGAATATAGGTAAGAGCTGTAAGCAACATCAGCTGAGGTAGCAATACCTTTTTTAGATTAAAAAAATATTTTAATTTTAGAAGCAGGCTTCTATGAGAAGTCACTACAGTAGGTCAACTCCCAGCAGGTCTACAAATAACTCACTATAATCCACCTTAATTTCCACAACCCTTCCTTATCCGCCCTAATATTTGTAGTTGACCTCTATGGTGTTGATCTACTAGAAGGACCTTCTGGGTTGATCCTGATCATCTATTGAGCTAATTTTTCAAAAAATTTTAATTTACCAAAACATATTTGCATTAATTGCATATGGAAAATTGAATGCCCAAAAATGAGTAAAGCCCATGTAACAGATAATAAAAGGGCTTCGAGAATTATAATTGGAGTAAATCTAAGCCAGTCAATGCACAACGAGATTGGAATCTTGAAAATTTTTTGAGAAAAATTTTTTAAGACTAACCATAGATATTAAATTAGAATAAGCCCAATGAGTATAAATTTGCCCATAAATTTGTTCATTTGTAAAATTTTTAAATTGAGGTGATTTAAGATAGGGAGTAAGAAAAGGTGTTCCTGGACGAAATTTTTTGAGAACTCCGAATATACAAACAAGTCCAACTGTCAATTTCCAATTCATTTAATTAAAATTACCTAGTAAATTTTAGAAAAGAAATTTAAAAAAAATTTTTTTAATAAAAATTCCCTTCCAAATTAATAAAAAACAATTGCAAAATTATTTGCAGAAATCAATATAAAAATAAATTGTGGACATTTAATAAGCAAAATAAAAAGCTAAAAAGTAAAAGAATATTTATTGAGAAAGAAGCTGGGTAAATAAAAAATAATATTTTTTGTTTTTTTCCTTTATTTTATAGAGCATCTTTAAAGAAAACTCACATAACACTTTTTAGTATTTCAAAGAAAATTTTTTTATTAACAAACAATGACTAATTTTTAAGAGGATTATTTAGGCACAATTTAAATATATTTCTTAATTTTTCCCAAGCTGAAAGAAATTTCACAATAATCGTTTTTATTTTACGAAATTTCTCTTTTATTTTTTACTATTTTTTATGCTACAAGTTTGGACATAATATAGTTTCACACAAATTTTATAGTTTCATGCTTAACATAGTTTCATACAAATTTTTTGATTTATCAATGTTATTGAGGTCCGAATGAATTGAAATTTTTATCAGAAACTCCTCTTAGCTTTAAAAACATTACAAAAAAGAATTTCAAATTTAAAGAAAAATTCGAAACACATTAAAATTTTTCTGAAAAATGGGTGACTTTATATGTAAGTATGTACCTAAACTTTATATTGAAAAGCCTAAACTAGATCTTTGTAATTATGGTATGTAGACATTTATGCTATAAATTTATTTCTACAATAATAAAATTTTGTCAATTATTAATCTGTTTCTTTGAAAATATCTATTTTAACGTTTTCCCCATCCATATCCACCATATCCATAGCCATATCCGTACCCGTATCCACCACAACAACCGCCACCCCATCCTCCATAACCTCCATATCCGTAATTTCCTCCGCCATGCATCATCTAATTTTAAAGATTTTTATTAAAAAGCCCAAACTAGAGATCGGACGACCGAGACGATCTCGATCAAAAGTCACGGTAGGTATCGATATCTGATTTTTCGAGATACCGACACTCTCAAGTCCGATCTCTAGCCTAGACCTTTACTAAAAATTATTTAAGTTCAAGATTACCATCCAGCCAATTTGTCCATATTTATAAGGATTGTAAGCATTGGAAATTTGAAATAAAACAAAGACAATAATAAAAGTAAGGGTAAGAATAGTTAAGAGCTTCATGCTAATTTCTTGTTAAATTAGTCACTGAATTTTATCCAAATCTTTCAAAAGGAAATAAAATAAATTTTAATCCTCTTAATTAAAAAATTAACAAAAACGACTTGATTAAAATTTATCTTTTATCGATAAAAGTTTAACCAAAAAGGGCAAATAAATTTATATTTTAAAAACTATTATTTAAATACTAGACACCAATTTAGTGTAATTTTTTAAGTGAATTAATTGTTTTCAAAATATCTTTCTTCTTTTGTTTTTCTTTATCAATATCATTCACTTACTTTGATAAATAATTTAATATTAAACTTTAAATTCAAGTTCTAGTTTTTCTTTATTTCCTCATTCCAGATACTTACCTATTTTTATAATTTAAAATTAAATCTTCAATAAATTCGCCAAATTGGAAGGAAAAATGATCAATTGAAAAATAATCAAAATTAAAAATTGAATTAAAATTGAAATTAAAATTTCCTGAAAACAAACATAACTGTTTACAAGCCGACTTTCCGAAGCTTATTTACTAGACTGTAGCTCTGTTATTTACTGAATCTGTCAATGACTTAGCTTGTAGACGAAGCACACGCACAAAGGTTTACTGAAAGATTACTGAAAATTCCGTCATATCAATCTTAATCCGATTCGAACAAACAATATTTCATGGTTTCTTATAGTTTTCCGATCTTCAGTGGGTACATTTCGTTTATAATTGAGTCCCAAACTTAATTTTAGTCCCCTTCAGATGGCATATTGTCTGTTCGAATCTGTACATGGGTGATATGACGGAATTTTACAATTACTATAGTTGCACTCTATCATTCTTACTATTGCTTTTATTTTACCGACTGTCAATAAATGATGTGGAATTTAAAGCAAAGCACATATTTTGGCGGCAAACATTGCTTTAATCTTTTTATATTTTTAGAGTGCAAATACCAAAAATGCACTTTATTTTTTTAGTGGCACTATAGGGTATATAGTGGCACTATAGAATATAAAGTGCTATCAGGCATCCTATTGCTATCAGGCTTTCATTTTACTTCATTTTATTAAGTTTTTTTATTTAGAAAAAATTTAAATTTTAGACACAATACTTTCTTGGTTAGAAAGGGGGAATTGTAAAACTATTAAAAATTTATTAAAAATCTGAATGAGTAACGATGTTCCTTTTATCATTTTTTTCTTAATTATTTTTGGAATATTTAATAAAGTAAACTCTGGAGGTTATATTTAAATAAATTATTATTCAATTAAAAAATAAAATTTCATAATTGAATATTATTAAAATATTTTTTCCATAGTCATTTTTGGCAAATGTTGTTCAGCAAGCAACAATCCCAATGACACTGATTCAAATATCGGTGGAAGTCATCGCCACGGAAGAGGACATGAAGTATTGCATGGAAGCGAACATGGAGGGCATGAATCATCTTCCCCCAACATAGTTCAGCCAAGTTCAGTGAATGTTGCATCTTCATCCGGAGTCCATGAATTAGATGAATCAGAACATGCTAAGAGACATCCAGAAGGCGCTTAAATTATAAAATATCCTTTCAATAATTATTTATATTTTAGCACCATTTCCATCCATTCAAATAATAATTGAGTCATCGAACGATTTTTCTAAATATTTTGAAAGATTTGTTTCTACTAAAAATTTTGAAAATTTTAATGAAGAAATTACACAAGCTTCTATGGATGATATTTTATTTGGTGTAAGCCCTTTATTTTATATTTGCCAATTTATCATATGTCAGTATATTTATTTTTCAGTATGGAATAGATTTAAATGTCAATCTCCATGACATTACAAATTTATTTGTAGCCAATAAATGTATGGAAAAAGACACATTTTGGAATAGATTCAATGGATATGTTGAAAATAAATGTAAAGATAATCCTTTTCTCGAAACCTGCCGATTTGGAATGTTTCTTTCTGCAAATTTCTTTTTAATAAATCGAGCTTTGCAAATAATAGCTAATAAACCAACAAGTCATAATGATGAAGAAAAATCAGCGGTTTTTAAAATTATCCAGATAAATTAAAATTACTAATTTTCTAAAAATTATTTAAACAAAAAATATAGGAAATAATCTGTAATTTTTAAGCTTAAAAAATTAAAAGTTTTGTACGAAAATCGTTACTGCAAAATATGGAGCATGCATATACAAAACAAACAAAACATCAACACTAATACATCAATAGCTAATGTAAGCTACATAATCCCAATTATTCTAAAAAGAGTTAAGACTGATTTTTTGCTTAATTTAATTAAAAATCCAAAAGTCTAGTCAAAATATTGAGCCAACTAATATTTATATAGAAAAATATATTAAAAAATTCTATTTTAAAGATCTATAAGAATTTCGAACTGGAATCACTTGGGGAAGTAATTGGAAGCTGGATGCATAAATTAGAAAAAAAATATTAAGAACGGACAGAATTAAAACAAAGAAATTTTAGGGAAATTTCCTCCATACAGTGTGTAAGAAATTATAACCCCTTTGAATTTTTTGAATTTCTTTATCTTCCTGTTGTCGGATTGTTCTGAAATTTTTGTAGTAGTCTATTTATTCATTAAATATGTACTATTTAGTTTAAAATAAAATGATTTCTTAATTTATTCAATAGATTCTATCATTTCTTAGATTTATCTCCATAAAAATAAAGTTTATAAAGATAAATCACCATAAAGTCTTAAAAAAAGCAAAGAATTTTGCCAAAAATTTAATAAAATAAATACAAATTACTGCAAAAATATTTAATGATTATGAGAAATGTTGTTTGAGATATAAAAATAAAATTAGCCAAAATTATTAAAACAGATAGATTCAAAATAAAATTTTAAAAAACTTTGGCAAACATTTATGTGCGTAATTTATCGACGAAGCTTTAATGTTTAAGATTTGAAATTCATGGTATTTTTACGTGTATATTTTTGAAAAAATATTTTTTATTTTCTTTAAGCACCTCCAGCACCTCTAATTCTTTTGTTAGTTAATTATAAAATTTAATTAATTTATTCCTTTTCTCTCCTCTTCAATATAATTTCTAAAATATGCTTTTCATGTGGATAAAGCCTTTAATTCTCTCCTTTATACATCTCTCTCAACAAATTCTAAAATAAAATTATTTTTGGCAAATATTCATAATAAATTGAGTTGTTTGATTCTGAAGTAACGCTTCATACTAGAAAAAATGGATAGAGAAAAACTTCCCTTTGATACGTGGTAATAAATTATCTCCCTGCAAAAATATACTTTTTTGCCGCTCTTTAATCTTCTGTCAATTAATAAATTTATTTTTTGTTGATTCAACTGATTTTTAAATAAATTCCCTCTCTTTGAAGCCTTAATACTTAAGCCGATGGGCAATAAGGAGTTTTCAATCCAGCATTGGAATTCATTCATTAACTAATAATTTATTCTCCCCTCTTTATTACCCTTCTTCTATTTACTGGAAAACCCTAACCATAAATAAAATAATATTAATACCTCTAAAATATTAAATCAAAAAAATACTCTAAAAATAAAAATAAACTGCCTAAATCAAGAAAATTATGCATCTTTCATATTTATCGGCAATTTCTTGCGTTTTGTTGGCTATTTGTTTGTTAGAAGTTGAGGGATTTAATCTATTTGTAAGTTTAATAAATTGTTACGGAATAATACATATTATTAAATGTCGTGGTACTTTTTTGTTATACGACCGCAACTTCGTTGACTGTATTTTATCCGGTAGCCGGTTCCAAAGTATTTTGATTCATATATCTTTCGATTCAACCACTCGGTCTAAGTCTAATAGTACCACTATATGTAGAAATGCCTGCATACTGAGATATAGGTCCCCAAAATTTGAAAACCCATAATGGGGCCAAGCTCGTTTCTTGAGTTCAAAAATTCAATTATGCAAATGATAGGCATTCGAAAGAGCTCGGCTAGCTAAGTTAATGTTGTATATTAAAATTATTTTTTGTAAATTAAAACAAAATAATTTTCAATTTACAAGTAAAATTAATTTACAGAATTGGAACGAGGCAAAAAATAACAAACCCAAAGGAGGATCTCATCATCACCGCCACCATCATCATAAGCATGATAAAGAAGCAACGAGCACAGTAAGTCAGCAAAGTTCAACAACTATTATGCAGTCTACTCCTATAGCAGTCGTATCGCCAAAAAAGCCTCCACAACCAGAATCTTCTTCATCTGCTCCGGGTCCATCTCCTCCAGCAGCTGAAACTCCATGTGTGGAGGAAGTGGCCAGCAGTAGCTCACCTGCTCAATCTACTCCTGTATCGGTTGTTTCGCCAAAGAAGCCTCCACAACCAGAATCTTCTTCACCTGCTCCACGTCCATCTCCTCCTTCAGGTGAAACTCCATGTGCGGAAGAAGTGACAAGCAGTAGCTCACCTGCTCAATCTACTCCTGTATCTGTTGTTTCTCCAAAGAAGCCTCCTCAACCAGGATCATCTTCGCCTGCCCCGCGTCCATCACCTCCATCGCCAAGTGGACAAGGATCAACTGCTGGTGCTCAATCTACTCCTGTATCTGTTGTTTCTCCGAAGAAGCCTCCACAACCAGAATCTTCTTCACTTGCTCCACGTCCATCTCCTCCTTCAAGTGAAACTCCATGTGCGGAAGAAGTGACAAGCAGTAGCTCACCTGCTCAATCTACTCCTGTATCTGTTGTTTCTCCAAAGAAGCCTCCTCAACCAGGATCATCTTCGCCTGCCCCTCGTCCATCACCTCCATCGCCAAGAGGACAAGGATCAACCGCTGGTGCTCAATCTACTCCTGTATCAGTTGTTTCTCCGAAGAAGCCTCCTCAACCAGAATCTTCTTCACCTGCTCCACGTCCATCTCCTCCTTCAGGTGAAACTCCATGTGCGGAAGAAGTGACAAGCAGTAGCTCAACTGCTCAATCTACTCCTGTATCTGTTGTTTCTCCAAAGAAGCCTCCTCAACTAGAATCTTCTTCGCCTGCCCCTCGTCCATCACCTCCATCGCCAAGAGGACAAGGTTCAACCGCTGGTGCTCAATCTACTCCTGTATCGGTTGTTTCGCCAAAGAAGCCTCCTCAACCAGAATCTTCTTCGCCTGCCCCTCGTCCATCACCTCCATCGCCGAGAGGACAAGGATCAACCGCTGGTGCTCAATCTACTCCTGTATCGGTTGTTTCGCCAAAGAAGCCTCCACAACCAGAATCTTCTTCACCTGCTCCACGTCCATCTCCTCCTTCAGGTGAAACTCCATGTGCGGAAGAAGTGACAAGCAGTAGCTCAACTGCTCAATCTACTCCTGTATCTGTTGTTTCTCCGAAGAAGCCTCCTCAACCAGAATCTTCTTCGCCTGCCCCTCGTCCATCACCTCCATCGCCAAGAGGACAAGGTTCAACCGCTGGTGCTCAATCTACTCCTGTATCGGTTGTTTCGCCAAAGAAGCCTCCTCAACCAGAATCTTCTTCGCCTGCCCCTCGTCCATCACCTCCATCGCCGAGAGGACAAGGATCAACCGCTGGTGCTCAATCTACTCCTGTATCGGTTGTTTCGCCAAAGAAACCTCCTCAACCAGAATCTTCTTCACCTGCTCCACGTTCATCTCCTCCATCAGGCGAAACTCCATGTGTGGAAGAAATGACAAGCAGTAGCTCACCTGCTCAATCTACTCCTGTATCTGTTGTTTCTCCGAAGAAGCCTCCTCAACCAGAATCTTCTTCGCCTGCCCCTCGTCCATCACCTCCATCGCCAAGAGGACAAGGTTCAACCGCTGGTGCTCAATCTACTCCTGTATCGGTTGTTTCGCCAAAGAAGCCTCCTCAACCAGAATCTTCTTCGCCTGCCCCTCGTCCATCACCTCCATCGCCGAGAGGACAAGGATCAACCGCTGGTGCTCAATCTACTCCTGTATCGGTTGTTTCGCCAAAGAAGCCTCCACAACCAGAATCTTCTTCACCTGCTCCACGTCCATCTCCTCCTTCAGGTGAAACTCCATGTGCGGAAGAAGTGACAAGCAGTAGCTCACCTGCTCAATCTACTCCTGTATCTGTTGTTTCTCCAAAGAAGCCTCCTCAACCAGAATCTTCTTCGCCTGCCCCTCGTCCATCACCTCCATCGCCAAGAGGACAAGGTTCAACCACTGGTGCTCAATCTACTCCTGTATCGGTTGTTTCGCCAAAGAAGCCTCCTCAACCAGAATCTTCTTCGCCTGCCCCTCGTCCATCACCTCCATCGCCGAGAGGACAAGGATCAACCGCTGGTGCTCAATCTACTCCTGTATCGTTTGTTTCGCCAAAGAAGCCTCCTCAACCAGAATCTTCTTCACCTGCTCCTCGTCCATCTCCTCCTTCAGGTGAAACTCCATGTGCGGAAGAAGTGACAAGCAGTAGCTCACCTGATCAATCTACTCCTGTATCTGTTGTTTCTCCAAAGAAGCCTCCTCAACCAGAATCTTCAACTGTTCCACGTTTGTCGTCTGCAGCACCATCCTCAAAAGAATACCCAAAACCCCCTCCTTCCCGAAGTGTAAACTCGACGGTTTCTGCTACAATTAAGCCCAGAACCAAAAAACCTTGTGTTCATAAACATAAACGAACAACACCAACTACTACATCATTACCTACTACAACTGAAGAATGTGAGTGCGAATATGAAGATGATCCTGTTTCAACGCAAGGCCCCGTTCCTAGTGGGAAACCAAAATCGCAGGGCCTTGTAAGTTTTAATTTGACATAAAATTAAATAGAAACAAACGATTGCTGATAAACAAATAATTTAAATCAATTTTATCTTTTATTTTTAAGCGTGAGCTCATTGAGAATCTTTACGGTAAAGTCATTAACAAAGTGAAGAATGCTGGTGAGAAAATTACGAATTGAGGTTCTGGGATTTCAGAGAAAACAAAAAACAAGTTGACTATGAAGAAGAAAGTTTATTTTTATTTAAAAACGGGGAATCACTAAATACCTTTATTTATGGTTCGGGCATGCTTCTGTTAATCTTTCATTTTTCTTATAATTTTCCAGTTAATTTGAATGATTTAAATTATCGTAAATTTTCCATTATGATAAACTTTTTAAAAAATTTTTTAATTAATGATTACGGGCAAAATAAAATTTCTAAGATGTCAAATGCTTTAAGGCTTTTCCTTTCTAAATTTCATTTTTAATTCAATAATTCAATTTATTTCATAATGTTTTTAAAGTTAGAATGACTTTAATAAGGATTTCTATTCAATCGAATCTCAAAAAACTGATAATATCAAGAAAGATTTGTTGAAACTATAATTATGAAGCAAAGCATTTTTTAAATTATTTTGTAATACTTTTTATATTCAAGGTCACCAAAAACAATAACTATATAAAATTTTTATTGCATATAATAAACTTATTTGATCATTAGTTCTACACTTTTGTTTAATTATCTTTTATTGGAATTATTATGGAAACTTATGTGAATTATTGCGACATAGTAATTATAAGAAAGACTTCATCCTTAAACTTTAATTCTTTCTTCCTTTAAATTATTTGTAGACGGCATTTTAAAAGATAAATTAAAATTTCATTTTTGTTAATTTTGTACTTTTCCTTCCAAATCTTTTTATGATTAAACAGCGGTTTTTCTCTTTGAAGAGTTTGTCTACATGTTTTTTCATAAATTAATATTTTTGCTAAATAAAACAGTTTAATTTTTCGTAAATTTTAATCATTCATTCTAAATTACCGAATTGAAAGTTTAGAGTTGTTAGATTGAATTTTTAGAATAAAACCAAAAATTTTCTCACAGGTTTTTAATAGGAAATCTTATCTATTCTTTAACACCTTTTAATATTTGATGAAATTCGTTAATGAAAAATACTTAAAAATATATTTAATTAAATAAACCTTTCAGATTAATTAGAACATAAAATTTTCGGAATATGGGTGGTCTAAGAATTCCAAATTTAATAGCTTTAATATTTATTATAACATTAAAGCATAAACCTAGCGGTGCAAAAAATTAAATAATTTTAAATTAATTAATATTTATGGCTTGTTATCATATCTTTTATTCATAAAACATGCTGCTTTATGTGATTTTCTCACGATTAACGTGTTTTAATTATTAGGGGAATTTATGTATTATTAGAGCTTTGTTAATTATTCATATTGCTTTATTGCATATTTTTAATGTTATTTTCGGCTTGAAGATCTATTTATAATAAAATTTGTGCCAAACGAATTAAATTTTAAAATTATTTTCCGATTAGTTTTGCATAAATGCTTACTCTAAATACATTTTTGTTTTATTTCAAAATATTTTTGCTCATCAAACAAAGTTTTGTTAAAAATAAAATTAATTGTTTGCAAATAACAACGAAACAAATTACAACAGAAAAAGATTTAGAGACGACATTGGAAATAGAAAAAAATATTGGGAAGGATCAATCAATGAGAATCGGCCAAAAAAATTATGTTAAAAGCGAACCCCCAAGTTTAAAGAAATCTAATGATCATCCAACTATTCAAAAGAAAGAAAAAATAGCTGAATTTTATAGGAAAGTCCAAAATGTTCCCATTCAGGATGACCACGCTTTACAACTCTATCAGCATTGTACTTTAGATGTTTTAAATTTAAATAATTTTTTTCCAATTTTTAGGGGCTGAACAAGCATTTTCCAATCTTTTTGCTGTTATCGCCAATCAAAAGTAAATTAGAAAAAAATTTTGCCATTGTAGAACTAATAATTTCAAATTTTATTTAGACTAAAACAATTTTCCAAATCTGTTAATTATGAATTTGGAGAATGTTCAAAACGCGCTTCTTCTGTTCCACTACATGCAAAATGTATATCGACCCTAATTCTTGGCAAGTTCGATGGCAGAACCTTCATTAACTCGGTACTCTAATAAACTTGTCTGATTAAATTTCAGAATAAACAGAAAAATACAAATTTCAATATATACCGTATCAAAAAACGAGCGGATCATCGCAAAAAATTAATGGCACTAAAAGAGATGTCAAAGCGCCATCAGAGAGCGTCTAACCGAAAGCGTTGGGTAGTCTGTAAAATTTTTAAAAAAATATTTATTTGATTTTTAGGTTGGTGGTCTACGCCTTATGGATGAACCAATAATAGACAACGATATACGGAATTCTAGCTATCGTATTTTAACAAAAAAGCCTCTTAAACGTCTTCATATTCTAAACAAAATTTATAAAAAGCATAGGCGTGAACGACGTCAAACCGGAATTATCAAGAAAAATTATTATCAACTTTATAAACCTTCTAAAAGTCGTCTTAGTCCGATTGGCAAATTAGCTAAAAAGATGATGGACGTTGTTCTTAAAGCAAAAGGCAAAAAAGAGAAGGATGTTATTCCGTTGGTTTTTAAATTCTTAAAATGATTCTTTAAAAAAATTCTAGAAAATATTTTAAGTTGGCAACATACTGTAGAACGAATTAAATCAAGCACTCAAAAACGGAATAATATTAAAACGATGCTTGAAGGCTCTGAAATTAAAAATATGGATCAGCTTGTTTATAATGGCTTAAAGCGACAAGGAATCGTTCAGGAAGATGTGAGATTTTAAATTGACACATATGAAAGATAAGCTTTGTTTTAAGTTAAACGATGTAATGGGAAACCCAGAAGAGCTACAACAATTTTTGAAGAGGAAACGATTAGATAAGGAAAAAGCACCTCTTCAACGTCTAGTAAACTTGTTAAGAGATGGAATTAAACTTGGATATGCATTTACTGGTCAGAACTCTACAGAGCTCGATAATAAAACCTTAAAGCTCGTTTCGCCCCGTTTCTTGAGTGTTACACCGGAAGAGGGGCATAACGATACGGTAAATTAAAACAAATTTTTGGAAGAATTTTCCTTATAAAGTTGAATTTTCTTTCTCCCTCGTTGTTCTCTTTACACGGAAATGGTAAAGGAATTGAGGTAACTAAATTCTTATTTTTGCCAAAAAAGGAAGGTTATGTTTAGAATTTAACCAGCATTCCATCTTTGATAAAGAAAATTGGAGGTCCAGTTGGATTCAGTTCTCAAGATCAGCAAATGTGGCTTGATTTTGTATGAGAGATCATTTACACTTTATAAAATAAAATTAAGATAATGGAAGCGGCAGGGGTAATTGAGGATGCCGAAAAAATAGAAAAGGTCCTTTCTCTTTCAAAAAATTTTTAAAAATATTTAAAAACCTCAAGGAACTAAATAATAAAAATTTAAATGGAGTAGACTCAATTTGGAATAAGCATTTTGATAAGGAAAAATATGAAAGGGAAGTCCGCACTAGTGATGGCACACCACTCTACTTTACCAAACAAAATATCAGGCACGGTTTGTAAATCAAAATTGTAGTAAAATACCTAATTAAGATATTTTGCCCATTTTTTAATTTTTCAGTGATGTGTTTGCCGAATCTGAAGTCAAGAAGTTTGACATGTTCGAAGAGTTGCAACGAAAAACAAATATTAATCAGATACGAGAAATGAATCAAACCGGTTATTCTCTTCTTACAAAAGAGCAATTAAGAATGATTTATGGACCAGACTCTCCATATCATGATCCGAAGGTATCGGAATATTTTAATTAATTAGAAATAAAGTTGCCCGAGATTGTTGATAATATTCTGAATATACTACGACGCTCAATTTTAATCTGGATCGGCTTCGATTTTAGTTAAAATGCTTCTTGAAATCAATTTAATATTTATAGCTTCTTCAACGTTTCCTTCTTTTAAATAATTCGGCATTAGCATCACACATTGAAGGCGACATTCACAAACTTGCTACAATTGACTCATTTAAAATTCAGCCAAAGAAATCACAACAAACTAGAAGAAAACGAGCAATTATTCTATCACCTATCAGTTTTAGCCCTTTTGTTTTGGTAACATTTTTTACAAAATTTCTAATAGATTTTTATATTTAAGACATTAATCAACCTAAATCCAGTAATTTTATCCCCTATAATATTTTCTCCGTTAATTCTTGCCCCAGCAATTCTTGGACCGGTAAGAGGAAATATTCTCATAGTTTTATAGTTCATTTAAGGTAATCCTTTCACCTTGGGTTTTTGTGCCGTTGGTTCTATCACCGCGTCTTCTTACACCCTTAATTCTTTCACCACCATTATTTTCACCCTTAATTTTGGTAAATTAAAAATTAAAGTTTCAAAATTTTTCTTCAATTTCAGTCTCCTTTGGCACTTCAACCAGTCATTCTTTCTCCTGGAGCTTTTGCCCCTTTAATACTTTCTCCAGTATTGCTTTCTCCTTTTATTTTATCTCCTCAAGTATTCACTCCTTTAATTCTCTCCCCGTTAGCATTAAATCCATTTATTCTAAATCCATCAGCTCTAAGTCCCGTAATTTTATCTCCTTTTGTATTATCACCTATTATTTTATCACCTGCATTTCTTTCAGCATTAATTTTGAGCCCTTATGCTTTATCACCTCTTATTCAAAGTCCGCTTATTGCATATTCTGTAATTTTGTCTCCAAGCTATCTTAGTTAAAAGATAATAGGTAAGCTATAGATTCTGAATCTCCCTTATATTAAGAAATACATTGAGCTGTTTACTTCTTACTTGTTTTTAACAAATTTTTTTAATAATTTAATTTCTCCTTGAAAATATTTTCAATTCTTACACGTGATTATTTATTATTTAATTATGGTATGACTGTTAATCAATTAGATTTAATAATTTTGGACTGTCCTTATCTCTCTATTCACTTTCTATTTGTAAATAAATATTAGTTTAATAACATTAATCATTTTATAAAATAATTTTTTACTCGTGAGAATATTTTTTAGTTAATTATTATAAAGTTAATAGACCATTTGTCTCGAAAAATTTTTTTCTAGAACTTGAGAAATTCATTATAAATTAAATTTAACTATGGATACTCTAAAAATTGGTTGTTTATTGCAAGGAAATTTTTTGGCAAAACTTCCATGTTATCCACACGAACAAAGAAATAAGCCTAATATTCAACACGCTCCTATCCGTTCTGTTCCTTTAAATAAAGAGGAAATTAAAGTTGTTAAAAATTTATTCTAAATCCAAAATTCAAAATAAATTCTTTAGTTAGCCGTTAAAAATATTCTTCGTTATGTGCCAAGCCGTTTTCATAAAGAATTGGCCGGTGAATTTCTGGAAGAGCTTAAAACTTATGGGCATATTTATGCTTATAGGTTTATGCCTAATTTTGATATTAAAGTAATTTAGTCTTAAATAAAAATTAAAAATAAAAATATCTCAAAAGGCTCCTCCGATCGATCAAATTAAATGCAGCAATCGACAAGCTGCAGCAATTGTTTTGATGATTTTAAATAATTTAGATCCAGATATAGCACAATTTCCACAGGAATTGGTACTTTTTAAGTTAATCTTTAATTCTAATTTAAAAGAAATTAAGGTTACTTATGGAGGTAATGGACAAGTATTTTCAAATTGGATTCAATTTCGTTTAACTTTGAGATATTTGGGTGAAATGGATGAAAATCAAACATTGATTATGAATTCTGGACATCCACAAGGTGTTAAATGGTGCTGGTTAATGGGCTTTTGTTGGCTCTGGCTCCTACCCTTTTTTCAAATCTTAGGACATTTTAAAATCCTGGCTTCGGCCCGGGAGGATTTTTGGAGCCGTTCCATGTTGTCTCTGGGCTCCGGGTGAAAAATCAACAAATAATACATCAATAATGAAAATAAATTTATATTTTGTTAAGGACTTTTTCCTTCACATGCAGATGCTCCAAGAATGGTGATCAGTAATGGAATGGTTCGAATTATTCTTATTGTTAAAAGTAACATGAACATTTCGTTCAGATGATCCCAAATTACTCGACTAAAGAGCTTTATGATAAATATTTTGCATTAGGTGTTACAATGTATGGACAAATGACAGCTGGAAGTTTTTGTTATATTGGCCCTCAGGGTATTGTTCATGGCACTACTGTAAGCATATAGTAGCTATTTTAATAAATCTACAATCTCTCAATAATTAAGATTACCCTAATGAATGCTATACAAAAATATTTGGGTAGAGGAACAAGTCCTTCTGGGAAAGTATTTGTTACTTCTGGCCTAGGGGGGATGAGTGGTGCTCAAGCAAAGGCTGCAGTAATTGCTGGATGTATTGGAGTAATTGCTGAAATAAATGAAAAAGCAATTAAAAAGAGGCATTCACAAGGATGGCTTGACATTTACAGTTCGGATTTGGAAGAAATTATTTGTTGGATTAAGCAAAATAAAGCTGAAGAGAAGTCTTTAAGTATTGGTTATCTGGGCAATGTCGTAGACCTTTGGTATGTTAAAAAATAAATATAGCATACCGTAATGCTAGAATAATTACTATAGCCCAGCTAGGAGGGTAATTATTTGAGGAGGGTAATTATTCGAGTAAAAATTATTATGTTGTAGGGAACGCTTAGTTGCAGAACCAGAAGGAACAATTCTTGTTGAATTAGGTTCTGATCAGACTTCATGTCACAATCCCTTTGGTGGAGGATATTATCCAACTGGTTTAACATACGAAGAATCAAATAAACTTTTAGCTGAAGATAAACCTAAATTTATTGAACTTGTTCAAAAAAGGTCAAAATTAATTGTTTTAATGCAAAAAAACATCGAAATTTTAGCCTTCTTCGGCAGATAAATGCAATAAATAATCTATGTAAACGTGGAATGCACTTTTGGGATTATGGAAATGCCTTTCTTATCGAATGTCATAGGGCAGGTGCCAATATATTAAGAGACGATGCAAAGGATGACAAATCGTTCATATTCCCTAGTTATATGCAAGACATTATGGGGTGAATCTTCAAATATTTGGTCATAGTTAGAAGCTTAACTCCAATTGTTTTAGAGATATTTTCTCGCTTGGATTTGGACCATTCCGTTGGGTTTGTTCCTCTGGTGATTATGAAGACTTGAAAATTACTGATCAGATAGCTATTGAATTACTTGAAAAACTTATAAATTCAACCGAAAGTGAATTAGTTCGAGAACAGTACAGAAATAATTTGGAATGGGTGAAAAATGCAGATGGACATAATTTAGTGGTTGGAAGTCAAGCAAGGATTTTATATTCCGATTTACGTGGACGAATTGGATTAGCTAGTGCATTTAATGCTGCAGTTAGTCAAGGCAAGTTAAAGGTAAATACTTTAGTATTTTATGGGTTCATCCCAGAACCACCAAAATATTTGGAGCGACCAACCAGGTCATTTGAACTGTGTCGATCCCGTTTTATATGAAATGCAGATGATTTTAAGCCCTTTTAGGGCCCAATAATTATTAGTCGAGATCATCATGATGTTGGAAGTGTGGATAGCCCTTTCCGTGAAACGAGTAATATCGAAGATGGATCAGCCTATACCGCAGATATGGCAATACAAAATGCAATAGGCATTTCCTTTCGAGGAGCTACATGGCTGGCTATTCATAATGGTGGTGGTGTTGGTTGGGGAGATGTTGTATGTAATATTCTTTAAAAACAGTTAAAAAATATTGTCAGATCAACGGAGGGTTTGGGATGTTAATTGATGGAAGTATTGAAGTGGAAAGACGTTTAAATCAAATGCTTCATTGGGATGTGACTAATGGAATAACTAGACGTTGTTGGTCAGGAAATTTAAATGCTAATGAGACTATCAAAAAAGCTATGGAGATGGATAGTCGATTGAAGGTTACATTGCCGAATCAGACAGACGATGTTGATCTTGATGAAATAAATTTTTTAATTTGATTTTATCTAAGTTTATACGTCGCGTTTATACAATAATAATGATAACAAAGATAGAAAACAATAGAAAATATCTGATAAAACTTTGTAAAATCTAAAAACCCCTAGCCCCAACCACGAGGGATGGGATTTATAAAGCGGAATGCAGAATGCTGGGGGTTGAAAAAAGCGGAATTTTGAGGAAGACGGAAGCGGAAGACATCCTGGCACTAACCTTATCACTAAATCATCCCTGGCACTAACCAACATCCCTGGTCCTAACCCTTACATTGACTCTATGTTTTCCATAAATAAATAAAAAAATTTTACAATTCCAATAAGTCCTATTAAAATTCATCAACTTTTTCCATTAAATAATTTACTAATTTGTTAGCCAACTGTTCAAAATATTCATCAGATATTAATTCACGTTCATTGAAAATTTTAAGAATTTCTGATTCATTTGTAGAATTAAAGAAATCAGAATCTAAATATTTTTAATATTAATTTTCAATCTCTCCCACAAACCGTATACAGGCAAAAGCCCCGCTACTTCCAAAGCAGCTGGAACAAATGTTGAAGTTAAGGAACCACCAACAAAGAGACCTTCTAAATATAAATTTGAATGAATTTTTTATTCAAAAATAACCTTTTGAAGCCTTTCTTGGGAACAAATAGATGGTAACCAATTCTTTTGGAATCTCATTATTTATTTCGTTTTCTGCTTTATTTAAACGATTGTTGAATTGTTTTGATCTACACATAAACAAATTATGAGCAACGCCATTTTCAATAAGTAATTTTACACAGATATCTAATGTCCTTTAAAAGATATATTTTGTTAAGATATGAAAACCATACTTTGTTATTTTTTCGACATCATTATGATTGTCAAGTTGAAAGACAAATGCTGGTAAATACCAATCAGGCCTTTGCAGAAGAAATAACCAATTCCATCCAGTTGATTTTGGCTAAAATTAAATCAGTTTAGCCCTAAGAGCAGTAGTTAATATCTTCTTCCACCTTTACTGTTTTTTCCAGAATTCCACTTTTACACGGCCAAAACAATGTTTGTAAATGTAAATGATTTACGCTCGCGTGTGCCATTAATCCATTATAAATGATTAAAAAATTATCATCTTCAATCAAGAGTAACAATTCTATAGACATTTTGATTGCCTCAAAACAAAGTATTTGCGGTAAACACTTTTGTGGAGAAGGAATTAATAGTGAATGTCCAACAGAAAGTGGGCTGGCATTAATGGAAACCAATCCTTCAGGGGAATGTTGAGATGAATTCTCTTTAATTCTATCCATATAGAACAAACACTAAAAAATTTTAATATAAAAGTTACGCAACAATTAACCTCTTCCTGTTTCAGTTTTGTAAAGTTCCAAAGGTTTTCATCAAAAGGTTGACAAACACTATTGAATTCCATCGGTTTCCTACGCTTTCTGCAACGATCTTCGTTTAGCTTAAGTTTATAAAATGAAAAGGATTAAAATTTTCCGATGATGATCTTCCCCAGAAATAGTTAAAGAAACCTGTAAACATATTTTATATTGGCCACCCAACTTTCGAAATTTACAATTTCCGACATGATAATTAAGAGTTCCTTTATTCGCAGATAATTCCCATTGTTTTAATAATTTTGATTTATACTAAAAAGTTTAAAATATATTTTTATATTATTTTTCATACCCCGTTCAATTTTCGTTCCTCAGAGCAGTCGGAAAGATTGAACAATAAATCATTAATTGAATATTTTAAGCTGGGAATTGAAGTTGAACAAGTTGTATTTTGTGCAGATTCTTGTTCGGCTACCATTTGAAATTAAACTTCCTTTGACTTTTCTTGTTTTCAACTTCCTCGTCTGAAATTTAATTTTGATTAAACTTAAAAGGATCTTAAGCAGATGTTTAAATATTTTAAAAAATTTATAGCTAATATTAGTTCCTTTCATAAAAAAAGCAAAATTCAATGACCAAAAATGAATTCTTATGTATAATTTCTCTTTTATAAAAATTTACTTCCTTTATTATATGCATGCTAATTTCAAAAAAATTGAATTATAAAAAGCGCAGAAAACTCCTCAAATAATTAATTTCAACCCAAAAATTCAAGTAAAATGCAGTTCAAACTAGCCTTTATTTTATTAATAATTATTTTTCAATTTCTAATTGCTCAAACGTTAATAATTAGAAGACAAGCAAATCAGGTAAATTATTCCAAAATGAAATGTAGAGATGATACTATACCTTCGATTTTGAATCTTTTCTGAATCAAAAGTGATTCCGTTATGCCCGAGAGCAACTCTGCCCTTCCTGAACCCGTTTCTTCCTGAAATTAAAGAAAAATATTAATCAGTACATGCTAAATACCTTATATATTCCAGGAAAATCAGTCAACAGAGGATGATGATGCAACTCTGGAAGCTTTTGATAATTGGTGAAAATGAATTTAATTACGAGAAAATAAGAAATACATATTGTAAATTTAATTCCATAATTATTTTTGTTACAATAAACACCAAAAACAATTACTACTTATTTTTATTCTCATTGTAAAGATGAACGAATAACGATGAACAACTTAAAGGTTATTTAAGCCAAACAATAACAGTTTTAATAAATTTAGAGTAGTGAGGTTTTTTATTTAAGACAAAAAATAATAAACAGAAATTTCAACTATAAACCAAAAAATATTAGCATTATAAAAATATTAAGGGAGGAACAATGTAAAACGAAAACGTGGGTAAATGACCAAAACGTGGTAAAATTTTAGGAAGGCTATCATTGTTTCAAAATAAATTTAAGAACAAACTTAAAACAATGTTAGGTGAATCAAAAACTGAAATGATAGCCTTTCTACAATACTTGTTTAACACAAAATATTTATCTAAAAAGCTCGTATGTGCCTTCTACAAATTTTTAATTTTAAGAATGAATTCAAGAGTAAAAATGAAAATTAATTTCCCCATAACTCCACCCCACAAAAAACCCCATCTAATCTCAAAAATTAAAAAATATCCTTGATTAAAAATTTTTTCAATTCGAATTTCCAACAAAAAAGAATTTTAGTCATTCATTTTTCAAATACACAGGAGTGTTATGGAAGAGGTAAAAAAACATGTTAAATTAAATATTCACTCTTCCTCCTCTTCTTCTTCACCTTCATCATCTTCTCCTCCATCCTCATCATCGTCTTGATCATCTCCTTCAGCGCCAACTAAAAATAATCATGCTCAAAATATTTTTAACAATTTTTAGACGGAAGCTGAGTCTGTCCATTTTTAACCTATGAGGAAGGAAAAAGGAGGAGAGGACAACCTTTACTACCATTTTCATACACCAGCTAACCCCTCCAAATTTTTTTCAATTTGCCTATTTTAAATATTTACACAAATATTCCTCCTTACCAGCATCATCATCGTCTTCCTCATCATCATCCAATACTTCATCATCTTCTTCCTCCTCGTCAACAGCCCCACTTTCAGCATCGCTCTCTTCCCCTCCATCTTCGCGATCTGCCAATTTATTTTCCTCCAATGCTTTTTTCGTTAATTTTGGCTCTGCGGAGATTGCTTCGTTGTCAGCAGCTTCTGACGCTAAAAAATTTAATTTTAGAAAAATATCCCCCAAGGAAATACCTTTTAAGTTATTTTCAGTATTTGCCAAATCATTTTTGTTTATCTATTGATTTTTAAAAATATTTTTTTATTTCACTTTTAAATTATAAACCTCTCCATTATCAACTTTTTTCGTTTTATTTGCGATTCCATCATCTGCACCATTTTCCTCTCCAGCATGAGCCCGCTTTTGTGGCTGTGCTGGTTTCTGTTCTGCATTTGTTGCGCTCATTTTTATTTTAGTGATGGAATAAAGAAAATAAACTTGAAATATTTATGTTAATTTAAAGTTTTAATCGGAGTTAAGAAACCAACAAGAAATTCAATCGAAAAAAATACTGAAGAAACTGAATAATAGAATAACTGAAATTTAATAACAAAAATACCGTAAATACTCTATTTTTCAATAGGACGCTTTGAATGGGCTTCTATTAGAGATGGGCTTCAAATAGAGATGGGCTCCTATTAGAGATGGGCTTATATTTTTAATGAGGTGGGCTTCCATTAGAGGCTTCTTATTAGAGTATTTACGGTATCTATTTTTCAAAGAAAAGTATGTACAAGACTATTTTTACTCGCGATTATATGGACTATGTAAAGAAAAAAATAAGCATTTTTCCCCTTAACGTTTTAATTTTTGTTTGAAATTGATGGAGAGGGGGAATGAAAGACGGGTGAAATAGTTAATATTGGCAGTTGGCCAATGGGAAAAATGAGGAATGTGTTTGTATCGCTATTAAAAATTCCAAGTTGGCGCTTCGCTTTGTGACTTTAAGAGAATAAAAATTGGAAAACTAACAGAAAATGAAAAAATTTAAGTATACTAGAGTAAAATGTAAATAGAGAAATGTGCGAGACTTTTGATCCTAAGCCTTGAATTTTACCGCAAGCTTGTCTTGAAAATAAAAAATTAACTATCTTTCTCGCCAATGCCACAAGCATTAGTCAGTCTATGCCAAGACGAAAATCCCCTATAGCAAGTGTTTGCCTCAATAATATTTTCCCTATATTTCACACTATATGGCATTCCTTTTTCTATGCTATGGGCAGTGAGGACTGAAAGTAGGAAATGTTTAAAAGGGCAGTAGAATTTAAGAGAGTAAGCCCAAAAGATCACCCTATAAAGGACAACAAGGACTCAATAAGGATTCTCAGATTCTCTAAAAATCTCAAATCATTAAAGGAATCCTGAACAATTAGAAACAAGAGGTTAAAAAAGACAAAAGGTTTATTTAATAATGTATGAATTACATATTTTTTTAGGAAAAGCGGAAGCGGAAATTAACAAGAGGGGGCTGCAGAAATTCTAATGAGTGTTACAAGTCTAGTCAGATTCCCGCAAAAACTTGTATTTAAGAATTAAAGAGTTTGGTCTAAAATAAAAAGCACTGCCAATTTCGTGAAATATACGTTGTCTTGTCGACGAAAAGCTTCGTTTTGATGAGAGGAAAAAGTAGATTTCATTGAAAATGAGAGACTTTTCTCTCACATAAAGAGAGAGGGGACCTCTTTCTCCTACAACCAAAAGGCTTCTTTTATTTCATCGTAGAAATAAAATTTTCTATATTGGTGAGTCTTAGAGTAAAGCGCTTTGTGGGCGAAAAAGCTATCGGGGGTAAAAAGAAAGCTCAATGCTGTGGGAATGCTTTGGGGAGAAAATGGAAAGACTCTACTGCTATGGACATAAATGTAGAGTAAGAGAACTCGCATCGTTAAATTCCTCTATAACCCAACGTTCTTTTGCCCTCGATACTTAAATTGCGGACAAAAAATTCGAAAATATGTGTAAGAAGAAATTTGCGGTCATTTTTTGCGGAGAAATTCAAAAAGAAATGATTGCACAATTTAATTTACGTGGGTTTTTGTAATTTAAATTTACAGTCCCTGTCGATCTCGAAAGTCCTGTCAACTTTCGGGGACGGAGAAAAACTAGTAATTAAAAATATTTAGTCAGTTTTGTTTGGTATAAAATTATATGTAAATTGCTTTTTAAAAATGGAATTAGCAGTTTGTTTTGTATTCTCTCATAAAGTGCACATGAAATTTTGTTTCAAAACAGGTAGAGGGGAGTCCGCAAATGTAATAGGCATTGAAATGAGACGTGGTGTAGAATCCGCATAATAATTAAAACGGTTTTTTTATCGTTTTATTATCGAATTCGGTTTAAAATAGAACAAAAAATTTTGAAATCAAAAACATCATTTCTAGTGGGAAAAATTCGAAAATAAATATATCCGCAAATTTAATCCGCAAATATGTCAGCGGTTATATTGACGATGGATGGCTTGTGAGCGTAGAAAATAATATGAAAGTGTGGGGTGAATGTGACACACAAATAGCACTAACAACAACCGCTCAAAAACATACATATGCTCTCCGTGGTGAAAGTAATGGAGATTTGGTCGTTGTGGGGGATGAGGAGACCGTTGAGAAGAAAAATAGTGTGCAAATGGGACGGGCGCCAAGGACAGGACCCACTTAGACGTCGGCCATACTATGCGCCACGTTAGAGTCTTGAAAAGGCAAAGTTCTTTTTATAAAAAGACGCCATTTCTATTAATTTCTAATAGTATATAATATTTTCAATTTCTATAGCTTCTCTCTTAAAAACAATTTATCACTCATTTTACCACAGAGTTTCCCCAAATAAGTTGATGAAATGGGTATAATTTATGGAATGGGGTAATTTTCGGTCATTACTTGTTAGACTCAAACGGCATTGACTCAGATAACAAAAAATTGGTTCTTTGTACTCTTAAAAATCCAAAATTTGGAAAACTGAACTTGTGAAAATTTAAGTTTTTATTTAATTTTAAGGAGAACGTACATAAAAATATATAATGGACACCAACACCATTACTGAGCCTCCAGAATTTATTGAAATTGATAACGAAAAAATAGCTACTCGACATCGGGATGGGAATAATCCAGATGTATTTTGGTTAGGTGGTTATCGTTCTAATATGTTAGGCACAAAAGCACAGGCTATAGATGAATGGACTAAGACAGGGCTCTCATCGACAAAATGCCACTCAAAAGTATCAAAATCTTGATAAAAAAGTATATAGGGAGAAAATTTCCAAATTTAAAGTATACTCAAAATTAAATTGGAAAATATTTGTTCGTGCTCAAATCTTTTATATTTCTCTCTTAAATGAATCTTTTCTAATAATTTCTTGCTTCCATTGGGCATTTTGTGCATTTCAACGCATGACATGTCAAAATTCGCTGATACAAGAAATAAAGCCCTGACAGTCTTAACCTCAAGCTTTCGTCCATTTTCAGCGCCGCAGGCGAAAATTTTTTGAAATTTGGAGCCCAAGTAGTCAGATTTCTCCCATTTTCAGCGCCGCAGGCGAAAATTTTTTGAAATTTGGAGCCCAAGAAGCCAGATTTCTTTCTTTTTCAGCGCCGCAGGCGAAAATTTTGATAATTTCGAAGGCCCAAGGCTAAAAAAATTCACTTTTTTGCCCAATCCCTTCCCCAATTTCATTTTCAATCCAAAATGTTGATTTTAAAGTATATACTTTCAATAAAGTATAAATTCAATTTCTTAAGTATGGAGGTCGGTTTCAAAGTATAATACTTTCAAATAAAGCACGAATGAGAGCCCTGGACTAAGACAAAGAATATTTCTTATACTCGACATGATTATTCGGGTATATTATGTGTTAAATTTAAAAAATTGAGGGAAAAATTTTACAATTCAGACCACGCATGAATATGGACAAAATACTCAGTCCAAGGTTCTGAGCCCCTCTTAATTTTGCTGCCATTCGACTCAGCTCGAAAAGCTCTCTCGAATGACATATTTTGTCAATTTTCATGGGTGGTCTGTATCTTAAAAACTACCAAACTGATTATTTATTTATCGTTAAAGGTCATGGCGAGTCTACAGGAAAATATTTTGAGGGAACAATTTCCAAATGGCTGGCACAAAGTTTAACAGTTTTTCGACGTTATGCTAAGAATAATCGTCAAATATTAATTGGCTCATCTTTAGGTGGATGGATTGCTCTTAGAATGGTTAAAGAATTAAATAAGCAGGTTTTTAGACAACTTTAAAGGAAATTTTATAAGAATTTTCCAACATTTTTTCAGCCTCCATTCCCAATTGCTGGTTTATTGTTAATCGCTCCAGCTCCAGATTTCACTAAAGAACTAATTGAGCCTAGACTTACTGAAGCAGATAAAGAACAGTTGGAGACTAAAGGTTATTTTGAAGAAAAGTCTCCCTATTTTGAAACGAATATTTGGCAAAGAGAGACGCTTGAAGTTGGTTTTTAATGAATAATTTGAATTAAAAAGAATTATAGGATGGAGAGAAAAATAATTTGGTTTTGACACCTAATTTCGATCCAAATTGTCCTGTTCACATAATTTATGGCTTGAAAGATGATGCCGTTCCAATGAAATTAATTGATAAATTGGTTAGTGTATTGCCGAAGGAGCGTGTTGTTAAAACAATTATTAATGACGGGGATCATCAGTTATCTCGTCCAGAGGTGATTTTTAATATTCCTTATTTTAATTTTATTGGGTGCCTAGAAGACCCTTTATCAATCAAACAACATTCATTTTAGGATATCGAAGTGATTTTGCGTTCTTTAGACGATTTAATTAATATCAACGAGAAAGCGCTTTAAATAATTGAAAAGAAATTATTGCATAATTTTGTTCATTATATTGTTCAAGCTTTTAGTAATTTATGATTTTGACTTCAATTAAATTATTTGCATGTTTCTTTAATAATTTTCAAAGTTTGGAATGTTAGTAAAGTTTAATTTACAACTTTCAATTAATACATCATTCCGCATTGTATCAAAAATTGCATAAATTAAAAAACTAGATTCAGTTTATAAAAATCACAGAATGATAAAAAAAACAAGAAAACGAGTGTCTGTAAGGCATATAAATGATATTTGACAAAATCAACGAAGCGAAATATTTCAATTAGGATTGGTCTCTGTAAGAAAAATTCCTGGGAGAGCAACCCTAATAGGTAAATAACAAAACAAACCCGCAAATTTTCTAATATGCTCTGATTAAAAGTCAAATTATTCTGCTTCCTGTTCCTTTTAGGCCATAAACAAAGGCCCCAATTATGCACTGCAATGCAGTAAAAATAAAAACATATGCCCACTGATTGTCCGATGAGTGTAAAATCCAACCGGCCATGTATACACCAATAAATCCGGTTATTGCCGAGAAAGCATTGAAAATCCCTGTAAATAATATTAAAATAGAGAAATTAATCAAATTCTCACAAAACACCCGATAAAGCCCGATTCAGTATAATTAATTCAGCCGTGTGGCCGTAGTTCGGACCGTAAACTTGATTAATAACCGATTTAAATAATAGTTAAATATGTTAAGAATCCAAGTTATAACCCTAAAAATACCTCCGAGACTGAATCGGCCATATTGAATCGCCCCCACCTCAAAAAGACAGAAAGCAAACTATAAAATCGAAGTATAAAAATACCAAAAACAGAGCCAGTATGATCAGGAGCAAAGTCATGTGGATTTACAGAAACACCAGCATGGTGCAAACCTCTAAGAGCCATTGCTAAAGTGAAAAGTGCCAAAGAAATTGTAAATCGTGAAGAAAGGGAGACGAGAAAAAGACAAGTTCCCATTCCAATAAGAGAAACACTCTGAAAACTTTTAAAAATAAATATGAGGCACTAAAAAATTAAAAAACCTCCATAAATCTTCGTGTAAAGGTAATAGAACAGCCATGTGTTAACAACTTTGAGGCAAAATAAGGGGCAAAAAGTGAAGTAAAAACAATAGCTAATGAAGGAACAACATTATACACAAACGCCTGAATTAAAAAAATTATATTGAAAGGTTTCTTTTTAAGTTCCAAATTTTTAAACTAATTTTTAAGAAACAGCATTTACTAGATTACTTCCCCTGGGGAATTAATATTTCAGTTTATCAATGGGATGGGGATTTTTCTGTTCGAAAGGTGCAGTATGGTATTTGGGGTAGGGAATTATTGTTTCAAATCATCCCTGGCATGGGAAATCATTCAAAAATTATTAATGTTAGTTAAGAAGTATAAAATAATAATAAAGTCAAAAACAAGAAGAAAACAAACCGTTGCTTGAGGAAAATTATCAGAGAAATAATAAGGCAACCAACTGGAATAATTGAAAAATTAAATTAATGTTTTTAAAAATTTATAAAAACCTGAACATTGTAAAATAAGCATTTGCTCCACAATATTGCGCTAAAGAAGCGGCCCTTAAATTATGCTTCTGTTAGTAAAAATTCTTTTATAAATTACCAAAAGGAGGGATGTCTAAATAATTTAGACCATGGAACTGCTGTAGCAACAATCACTCCTTTACCAGGTTTTTTCTTTATAAAATGGTCACTTTCAATTAAAGATTCGTCCTAAAAAAGTAGATTAAAAATAAATTTTTAAAGGAGAATAAAAAATTAGAATAACCTGCATAGCATTTCCTCCAGAATCAAAAACAACTCGCGCTCTCCGTCCAGACAAAACACTATCAGTCAATCTTTCAAAGAATAAATACCAAATAAAACTGATCATACCTAGAATGAGTAAATTTGGTACTTTTCCGTTCTGCCACACCCCCCTAAATTAATGGTCAAAATGTCATATATAGTGTAAAAAAAGGTGCTGAGTCCAACGGTACCACTCTTTTTCCCCGGAGATGCCTTTGGACCGAAATATTATGCTCGAAATGGTCAAAAACCATAGCTCAATTTTGAGATAAAAAATTCAAATATGCAAATAATAACTCATTCGAAAGAGCTCGTGGAGCTGAGTCGAAAGACATCAAAATCAACGAAATCTTATTTGATTTGACCGAGATACAGGTCCCTGAAAATTAAAGAACCACACACATTTTTGTATCATAACTTGGTCCAAACTTGTTAGACCGCGGTGATTTTGATGTCTTTCGACTCAGCTCCATGAGCTCTTTCGAATGAGGTATTATTTGCATATTCAAATTTTTTATCCCAAAATTGAGCCTACTCCCCCCTATGGTTTTTGACCATTTCGAGCATAATATTTTGGTCCAAAGGCATCTCCGGGGAAAAAGAGTGGTACCGTTGGACTCAGCATCTTTTTTTACCCTATATATGACATTTTGAGCATTAATTTAGAGGGGTGTGGCAGAACGGAAAAGTACCGTAAATTTTAATAATCCCACATTAAATTGACAAAAAACAAACCAACAAAATGGAAAAGACTCCTCCAACCAAACAGATCGATTAACAAAGAACCAATTCCTCCAGCAACTATTGAACCAAAATGAGAACCTGCCAAACAAATACCAAAGACACGTCCTTTATCAGAAGCAGTTAAATGCCTAGAAACGATGCTAGCCATTGAAGGAAGATGAAAACCTTTTAAGAAAAAATATTGAAAATACCTAATGGAGATAAGAATAGAGGAAATAAGAACTGAGGGTGAAAATTGAATTTCATTCCCTCCTTTTTTCCTTCTTAAAAGGGTCACTTTGCTCCTTCCTCTTCTCGTGTCAGTTTCCCTATGGCACGGGTTACCCGAATCTCGACACGACTTTCTATGTAATTCGTGACAACCCTGCTATGGCTTTAATGAAAGAAATACTTTAAAGAAGGAAAAAGATCCTCGAAATTTAACGAAAGAGGAATTGCACAAAATTACATCGAAAACCCCCGTTATAATTAGTTAAACCTTGCCCAATGCCTGTTAAAACACGTATTGTAATCAGAATAAAAAGAGGAGATCTAGTCCAGTATGCAAAATCAAAAAGTTGAGGTGTAAATAAAGTTAGAGCAGACCAAACAAGTGTGGTAAAAGGTAGAACACGCTCACCAGAGTAGTGATCTTAAGAGAAAATAAGGTAATAGTGCCTCTTTTTCTCGTTATTTTCATCTCCGTAAAAGAGATGAAGTGCTTTTTCGATATTTTAGGTGCTGGGTCCGAATTTAAGTCGCAATTTTATTTATTTCAAATAAAGGACGTAATTCGAATTAAATTTAGAATTCATAATAGAAAAATCTCAAAATATCAAAAACTCATCTCTTCCACTTTTTTCTAGGGGAGATGAAAAATTCGAAAAAAGGTCAAAAATCACGACTATTGCCAAAAATGATTTTAAAAATATTTTTCTAAAATTAACCTGCAATATTTCCGGCAACAACCTGCGTTGCTGCATAACCCCAAAAGAAGCAGGAGAGAATAGTGCCCTGCAAAAAGCAAAAGTATTCAGTCAAAAAATGCCAAATCCCCAAAAGAAAAAATTTTTTCTTACAGAATCAGTAATAGTCCAACCATATTCTCTAGCCATAGCAACAGCACAAATAGGTAGAGATACTCTGGACGCATAAAGTACACAAGTTCCAAAAAAGAAATTGATTGTCCAAAGCTTCGTTTCTGACCTAAATGAGGCTTCTAACTAAAAAAGGTAATAAATAAACAACCTTGACCAAAGCTTTTGATGTGATCCAAAAGACGTTCCAAACCGCCTAATAACGGATGGTGATACTTTTTTAACTTCAGGTTTAATAAAAATGCTCATACTGAGATAATAAATAATTAACAGATTAATATAGCCATATTTAGTAAAATTCTAAAATGCATGAAAAAAATGAAATAATTTTACAAGTATTTATTAAAAACAAGGTATAAATGAAGTCTCTAATGGCCAGCTTTCTTTATACTGAAACGTCCTTTTCCCGCAACAGGATCATTGAGTCCCGCCGGTCTGGTCCCGTGGACATATTTTGGGTCATAACTTTTTCAATTCCAAATCGATTTTGATAACTAATATATCATTCGAAAGCTCTTGATGTAAGGATTACTTTCTATTTCTTTTATGTTGTTCTCTGGACTAAAACCACAATAAATAACACAACTATTCAACGAATACTACTCTGAAACGGCTACTCTAAAAGGTCCCCTACCCCGAATATTTTGTTTAACATTTTGTCGCAAACCATTTTTTCGTTTTTTGCCTTCGTGTCATTTTTGTCAGGGCACATTTTGTTGAACTTTCGATTTTCTTAATTTTTTTTTCATTTGTCTATTTTAGTATTCTTTGAAATTTAAAAATGTACAACAGCGTTGGTTTGTCAACAGCTCGTGGTTCAGGCTTATGTTCAATCAAATGTTGCTAATCTTAGCTTTTCACGGGTATTTTTTAGTTAGCTTCTTCAAAATTCTCTTTATTTTTAGAATACGCTTACAAGCTGAAGAGGATATTGCTCGTGCCGAAGCAGAAGTAAACAAAGCACTTAATTTGGAGTTGTTGGATCATGAATATAAACGGTTAATTGAAATTAAATGTGTGGAATTTGAGACGATGGAAGGGAAGGTTTGAAGTTTTTAATAGAAACAGGCAATTCTTTTCGTTCGGGCTGACGTTCGAGTCATTTTTTTCGGGCCTCATTTTTAACGGGCCGGCTCGACTGAGTTTCTTTGGACCAAAATTCGAGGCCCGACTAGATCTTTCGGATCGGGCCCCCAACCCTAATTCTAATGTTTTGGTGCCTACAGCCACTAGGTATTGGATAGACGTTTGTTGTGAGAAAAAAGTTTCTTTGTTTTAGACCCAATGTATACACGGAAAAAGTTATCTTTGTCACAGCAATTTCTACATGTCCGTCTCGATATTTCCTTACCGTTTGGTCTAGAGTGCTAGTTTTTCAAAATTTTTTGTCGAATAAAAATTTATAAAAAAAAACTTTTTAGACTTAAAAAAGCAAGTACAACAATACTCAAAGAAGCAAATACTACTCAAGATAAAGCTGCACTTGAAAAAGAAATGGAAAAATCTATGATGGAAAAACTCTTGGAAAAAATCAAGAAAAAGCGTGAAAAGAAGAAGGAAATTAAAAAGATGAAGCGAGCAATGCGTCATAAGAAAAAAGATGAAAGCGACGATTCTTCTTCATCTGATTCAGATTCGTCAGGTTTTTTGAATGTTTTTTCTGTTATCTATTGTCTTTATTTTTCAGACTCGTCTTCCACAGATTCTTCAACTTCAACAACAACTTCGACATCTTCAACATCAACTAAAGTCCCCCTGCCTTCGTGCAGGGGGCAACTCAAGTCCCCCTGCCTTCGTGCAGGGGGCAACTCAAGTCCCCCTGCCTTCGTGCAGGGGGCAACTCAAGTCCCCCTGCCTTCGTGCAGGGGGCAACTCAAGTCCCCCTGCCTTCGTGCAGGGGGCAACTCAAGTCCCCCTGCCTTCGTGCAGGGGGCAACTCAAGTCCCCCTGCCTTCGTGCAGGGGGCAACTCAAGTCCCCCTGCCTTCGTGCAGGGGGCAACTCAAGTCCCCCTGCCTTCGTGCAGGGGGCAACTCAAGTCCCCCTGCCTTCGTGCAGGGGGCAACTCAAGTCCCCCTGCCTTCGTGCAGGGGGCAACTCAAGTCCCCCTGCCTTCGTGCAGGGGGCAACTCAAGTCCCCCTGCCTTCGTGCAGGGGGCAACTCAAGTCCCCCTGCCTTCGTGCAGGGGGCAACTCAAGTCCCCCTGCCTTCGTGCAGGGGGCAACTCAAGTCCCCCTGCCTTCGTGCAGGGGGCAACTCAAGTCCCCCTGCCTTCGTGCAGGGGGCAACTCAAGTCCCCCTGCCTTCGTGCAGGGGGCAACTCAAGTCCCCCTGCCTTCGTGCAGGGGGCCAAATTTTGGAGTGTCCATGTGCCGATTTGTACATGGGACCTGTCCCCTGCTTCGGAGGGGGCTTTTAAACATTAAAAAATACATATTTACCCAGTGTTAACCTCTAATCCTTCTGTCTAATACAAGAATAAATAAATATATTTATACATCCGGACAGTGATCACTTTCTCAAAGAATGGGCATCATAAATTGGCAAGAATTTATGTTTATTTTTTCGATTTTTGATTTTATTTTTAAGATTGGCCTAAACTTTGCTTGTCATGTGCCGTATTTCATCCCACTACTACAACGATTTGAATTTGAAAAGGTTTGTAATTTTTACTTTATTTTTTAAGTTTTTATTTTTTTAATTATTTAGCTGATTTCTATCAGCTTCTGGCTGAAGTTCTTCAAGCTCGCATTTTTCGAAGAACGAAGATGGTGAAATCAACGGAGCATCGACAACAAAAACGAACCCAAACGACCATCCTTAGGGCCATAAATTTAATAAGTGGAGCTAGACTTTGTTTTTTTTAAATTTATGATAAAATTTTTAAGTGTTTTTTCTTTATTGTTTTTTTATATCGGAGTAAATTCTGCCGGAGTCTTTAATGGAGTGAAACCGAACCGGATTAGTCCAGAAAACCTAGCCTCCATGCAGCACAAAAATTTTTTCGATGAAGTTTGCGACGTCCCCTTTTACCCGTACTCTGGACCGGCTACTTTAAAACAGCCTACTCTGTAAAGGCTACTCTGAAAGGTCCCCTACCCTCCTTTTCATTAGGACGTTACCCATATTTAGCTAATTCTTTAAGCAGCTAAATAATTTGAGCTATTTCAATTTGTGTACACAAACCAAAGAATTTGCGTAAAATTTTCTAGAGTCCTACTAATCCAAAGATAAAATCAAAACTATTCAATTTATCAAATTAATGGATTATACATAATGTTTAATTAAAAATCGATTTAAGTAATATTTCATTCAGTGGTAGAAGCCTTTAACAATAGCAATAAGTCCATCCTTTAAATAAAAAATATTTAAAAATTAATTTTAACGAATTATTCTCACTTTGTAAGCCCCCGAACAGTCAGATGCAATAGCTTGTTCCAATAATGTACCATAAAGTTGTTGATATGCTGAACGAATATCAGCCATGTCTATCTCAGAGCGAGTAACAACTAGACGAATCTATAAATTATGATAAGTAGATCAAAAAGATCAAGTTTGGGGTATGGAACGAGATAACCCGCGCTACATGAGTCAAAACTGTCAAGCGTAAAATACTCGTAGCACGAGTTTTCACCTACCAAATCAGTATCTCTAGTTCCAAATCCTTTCATTGAATTATAGAGCAACTCAGCAAAGTAGGCAGGACGGTTTTTAATACTTTTAATAATTGCTAACAGTCCATCGCGTATATCACCACTAAAAATTGAAATTTCAAACCAATTTCAAATGCAAGTTACCTAAATTCAGCAGTAATGGCTTGTTCGATCGGGTGACCGCTTACTTTTTGGTATTCATTAAATATCTATAAATCAGTTTAATTAAAATTAAACAAATGTACTTAATTACCAGACGTAGTTGATTATAATTTTGTGCTGAAAGAATGGCAATAAATGCAGACTCGTCCGTTCCAAGGCGAGCTTCACCAGCACGATAAAGTTTATTGGCATCCTAAATCATGTTAGAAGAATGGCAAAAATACAACTTGCGATACCTGATTTGCCCTTAAAGAATCAGTAATCATGGATTCATCACGAGCACCAGTACACAAAGCAACAAGCATACGCTTAAAGTAACCAGAAGTTTCTCCAATCATATCACGTTCTAAATCACTACAATAAAGTTGCGCATAGGCAGAGCGAAGTTGTATGATTTGTGCGTTAGTACGTGTAGTCATTATCCTTGAGTATTTTTAAATTTTGCCCTAGTAAAAAGCAACTAACTCAATCAGGATATGCTCTTTTGTGCCAAGGCCCTCCATAGCCCTCCTTAACTGAGCGGCATCATAATAGGCTGGATGACTCATTAACGCCATTATGAGGTCTTCAAAATCGCCAGAAAGTTCACTTTTTAACTCTTTTATCAAATCCTTGCCGTACATTTGTTTAAAGGAAAGAGAAACCTAAAAAAAAGATTTGATTGTTAAGTCGTTCAGACTCACTCGCTAACAGAGTGTATCCCTCAATAATTCAGAGAAATAAGGTAAAAATCAACCCACCTCCTGTCTTTGTACATTACTACAATTAACAATTGCTTGAATAATTTTGCCCTTATCACATCCAAAACCCTTCATAGCTTTGCGTAGTAACTCTGCCGTTTGTTGCGAGTTGAAGTTTGGATTTGGTCGAATACTTGGTGTAGCCATTGCTGAAAACAATGTATTAAAAATTTTAAATAAACTTTTAAAAATTAAAAACAAAGACAGGAAATATGTACAAAAATGTTTTTATCTAACAATAAGACGTAAGAAAGATTAGAGTTTTCACACCAAAATCGATGTAAACAAAAAAACAAATATTCTTCCGGTCGGGTAGGCAAACAAAAAACACATACTTATAGCAGATGTGCATCATTAAAATGTGAAAAGGAAATTTAAGTGAAATGATGAGTCATATAATTTAATGACAATGTGGAATATCGGAACTATTTTTAACAAATTCCACCATATTTTAACATTGTAAAAATTAAAGTATACTACAATTTTGTAAATCAAGCGCTTAAACAAAATAACTTTTTACTTCATCAGTTTATTTAGATAAATATAGATTTAAAATTCAAAATTTAGTTAGTAAATATGTTGTATTAGGGTTAAAATTTTGGTAAAACATAATAGGTATATCCATTTAAACATCACGTCTTTAGAACCTACCAAAAGGATCACTACCATAAGGAGCTGGTCCAGACATTTTTGATGGCTGGTTTGGATAGCCGCTTCCAAAATATTGTTGCTGTGGTTGTTGTGCCCCAAATCCGCCACCACCAGGATATGGTGCCGAATCTGATAGATTTTAACGAACTCAGTAAATTTATGAATAAGATTTACCCCCATATTGTCCAGAAGCTGGTGGATAAGGAGCATACTGCCCAGCTGGTTGGTTGTAAGCAGACTGTTGTGGATAAGGTGGAGCAGCACTTGACCCACCGAGGTTGAAACCAATAGGTGGGGGAGGAGCAGAATTAGCATTATACATATTGCTTGGTGGAGGATATGCTAAAATTGTTAAAGTATTACGATGATTATTGAATGGTTATCGTAAATAAAGGTCCATATAAACAAAAATTGCCTGATGAATAAGGCGATTGATGCGTTGATGATGGAGGATAACAAGACTGTTGTTCATAAGCATACCCACTGGCATTTCCGCCTTCAACTGGAGGTTGCGACGGATATTGAGATGGATATTGAGGTTGTTGCGGTCCTCCTTTGTCATATGGCTGATAATAACCGCCGGGATTAGTAGGTTGCTGAGGAGGATAACCGCTATTGTTTCCGTACATTTGCTGCTGCTAAAATTTATTGTAAAGGATAGAGAAATTAAGAACAAATGATTTGTGATTGTGAATATTATGATTGTGAATTTTTTAAACAGAACTGACTCCTATTTTACCAAATATCCCCCTAACCAAATGTATTTAAACAAAACTGCAGAATCTAACCTTTCAGGATCGAAATTATCTGACATATGAAGGTAAGTTATGGGAGTGGAGTGAGGTCACTCAAACTAAAACACCCCTTTGGAATGAATTGAGCTGGTGTAAGAAAGGAAATGCTGTCTGAGGAGGCGCTCGAATGTATTATACATATATTTACCTGTTGATGAGTGTTACCACTAGCAGAGTTTAACTTGTTACCAATTGTTGTAGTTATTTTCCCAAAAATATCTCCAACAGGACCGGGAAACTTATGTTGATTATTTGAAGGTTGTTGTTGTTGTCCTGAACGATTTGACGAGTTTGAACCAAGAAATTTGTGTGTAATAGTTGAAGTCTATAATAAAAACGAATTTCGATCTTTAAAAATGTCGGTGACCCTATTTGAATTTTATAGCACTTTTCTATTAAGCATTAATGACATTTTTAAACGGAAATGCTATGGAAACGGCCTAAATAAGGGGAAGGGAGTTTAAGATAAAAACTTTAATACTTACCACGTAGTCTTGCACAGCCGATTTGATCGGATTTGGCATAGATTAAGTAAATCTTACCGTCAAACTATTTTTCTAAATTTTGAAAATGGGTAGATTTATTCTACAATTTATTTATAGTAAATACAGTACATATGTGATAATTTCTTAAATCGACCCTAATAAAACACTTATTTGGTAGTTTTATAACGAATTGGTTAATTTATTATACAATTTTTATAATAATTTATCAAATTGATCTAAATAAAACACATTTATTTGAGGAATAAAAATATAAAACTTGTAAAAGAAATGAATGAATTCACCGAATGATGCATGTATTTATAACTTTATAGAGAGAATTTAAAAATAATCGATCAGAGAATAGTATGACTAATCGCTGAACAAAAACATGTGCAGTGTTTACACCTAGTTTTCCCTCAAAGAGAAAAGCCGTGATAGATTATTTTAAAACTTGGTCTGATTGAAAAAATGTTGAGCGTACGTATAAAAAGTTCAAGAAGTACATGGGCGGCTATTATCATCCTTTTGTAAGTATTTACTTACAAATAAGTATATTTTCAATTTTGTAAGTATGCAGGTCGATTTGTAAGTCAGTACTTCAAATTAAGTACTGACCGGAGCCCTGTTATAAACGTACATATAGATAATATCTAAATTAGGATAAATCATTAGATATTCTCGCATCATTTCTTTTTGGTTCTTCAGCTCCATTTGTTGATTGTTGTTTTTTAGTTAACCAACAAATACTGACACCAATTCCAATACAAATAAATATTAAAATTAATAAAAGTACCAAGACTATAATAATTCCAACAATTGAAATACCATTAGAAGTAGAATAATATTGGGTTTCTGAATACCAAGCCATTTATTTGATTTCGGAAATCGTTTTTAAGAACTAAAAATTAAAAATTTCTAGCTTTGTAAAGTATACAAAACCTATGTTTGTATATGATTTAAGCTTAAAGTAAAAGAAAAAAACTAGTATATTTTAGTTAGGTACAAAATAATACATACATCATTTTGTACGTTTGTTTGCAAATACTTATTGTTTCCTCCCTTATTCATTAAAGCGGTTCAATGTGATAAGATAATCCGAAAGAATTATTTTAAACGGTTTACAAAAATACCCTTTGAAGATCTCAGAGAAGTGTCTTCTAATGTGTTTCAAAAGCCATACCCTCAGAGCGTGTTCTTAAACGCCGTTTTCTGATATTTGTGTCCCGGAATTTCGTGATTTTTAATAGTCACGTGTCGAATACCCAAAGTCCTCGAAGGATAAAGAACGGAAAAAACAGGAATAAATAAATATTGTTGCGTATCAATTTGCATTATCTATTTTATTTTTTATTCTCCCTTGATTTATCTCGCAACAAGATAAAAAGAAAAATATTACGTAAAATCGTCAAATATTTTAATTTATTACTTAAATAAATCCATCGAAATAATACTAAAAGTCAAAATAATAAAAAATTAGCTAATTTATTAATGGTAAAATATAAATTACTTCAAAACAAAGACGAAAGAAATCAAAATTTATTTTACAAAAAATTATTTTATATTATTATTTTTATTCTTTTATTTATTATTTCATTCTATTTTTATTCCCAGCAATATTACAATAGAATTAACAGAAAAATTTATAAATTGGTTTTGCCTTACAATATGCCACAAATTAATAATAATTTTACAACCAGCAAGGTATTGTGGATTTTTAATTAAAATTTTCTTCAATTAAAGGAAGCATTTTCTCAAATGACTCTTATACAAAAACAAATATATCTTAAAAAATTGTTTGGATATGATACATTAAAGAATGTTGAACAGAAACAATTAATAGAAAGACAGGTGGGAACAAATGTAGTAGGATATGGGGTACGAAAATCAAACCGACTTCGTCTACCGCTTGTTCGACTCAGCTTTCTGAGCTCTTCCGAATAACGACATGCTTGAGCTGTTTCGACTACGGGAAAGACGGGCATATAAGTTAAAATAGCCAACTTAAGTACTTGATATAATATCATAGATAAAATGAGGTTTAGATAAAATCTGAATTCAGACTCGTAATCAGCACAGAAATTACGTAAAGGTCTACAAGATTTTTAAATCTATTTCTCGTCAGGACCGCAAAACCGAAGGATGTGGGACTTTGACCTAATCTCTTGATATGATTTAAAGAAATTCCCACAAAAGCATATTGTTACACTTTTAGATAATTAGCTATTTATCAACAGAACATCGCTTATATATCAAACAGAATAATGAACAAAAATTGACAGTTTTGAGTGAAAAGATTCAATCAGCAATAAATTTACTTCAAAATCCTACTAATTGTTCTAATGCAAGCATCCTCGTTTGTCCAGTAAGTATCAATGTTTAGTATTCCTAATATAGAACTGTGAACGATGAATTGGAGAATCGAACTTATTATTCAGCCGTCCTTTTCTCTCACTAAATTACAATTTATAGATGGATGGTCCCGATTGGGGTTTTGGTTTTTTGATTCATCAGATTTGGTAATTTGAGCAAATAATTTTGTGTTAATTTTTTCAATTGACAGCTATTGTTTTTTATTTTCAATTGTGTCAGGACGAACGCTTATATTAAATAATGAAAATGCTAAATTATATAAATTTAATGTTAAATGGAATGAGTTGTTTATGCCAATAACAAACTGCAACTATGCAGAACATGTAACCAATTTTTAAAGCGTAGAACTTGCCTAAGTCGAAGAGAATAGCAGAAGTCTACCCACTTGAAAGGTTTCGAACCATGAGAACGCTGATAGTGCTCGCTTGACCTGACTTATGCAGGTGCCTAACGCTGAGATACCAGGGCACGATAACCCAAAACGACGATTCTCCTTTAAATCTTTTTTATTCTCCTTTTCTCCTTTATTCTCCTTTACTTACAATGTACATATATTTTGATTTTCCTACTTATAATTTCTATTTCAGGCTATGCCATTCCAACCGTTAAAAGAATATATAGATAAAAACGACACAGATAGAATATTAGTATTTCATCCACGTGAAAAAGTGGTAAGATTTTTAGAATTTTATGTACTTAGGTACATAGTAAAGATTTGCAAATGAAGGATTTTCCAGGTAAAACGTGGATTTGATGTTTCTCCAACAGAACTTAAAACTTTTCTTCTCAAATATCATTCAAATCCCACGCTTTGGTTCCGAGGCCAAGTAAAATTTAAAATAATTCTAGATTTCTAAAAAATATAAATTTAGCTAATCAAATATATTTGGAGAGAAAACGAATTAACATTAAACGCGACAAATCAAAGTGTTTCTAGAATTCCATTTGAATGCGGTAAGATAAATTTTGTTAAACTCATTAAGTAAAAAATGCGGTTGTTTTAAATCAGTAAAACCTTAATCAATTTTTCAGTACTCTTACAGGCCCAGTTGTTGGTATTCATGTTCGGAGAACAGATAAGATATCTGAAGCAAAATTTTTCAATCTGGAGGAATATATGGTTCGTGCATATATATTTTATACCTAATCTAAAACTTGGGGAACATGTCTTATATTGAAAATAACTGAAAATACGTCCATAGATATTTTGCTTCTCTAGACATATTTTAGAACAAAAATATATTTCAATACAAATCCAGAACTTACTTATGAGATTAATTCGTTAAATGGTAAACTATTTTTAGACGTGGATTGATTTCTGGTTCGATGTTGTGTGGGGAAATAATCATAGCGAATCGGAACATCCAAACTGTACTACTCGCCGTATGCTTTTTGTTGCTGCAGATCTGCCAATACTTAAAGATATAGTTGAAGAAACTAAACATAAATGGGGAGATAGATATGAAGTTTATCATGGAATATTTAATACACAAAGTATGGATTATTAAAAATATACGATCGGTTTACACAGGATAGTGTTCTTAGTTTTATTGACGACCAATAAGTCACTCGGAACAAGTACCCCAAACTATGGTAGCATCTCGGCCCTTCGATGTCGGGGATCGTGGGTTGTCGTGGTAGCGCCTTTGGCGGTCGTGTCGAGGTTTTTGCCATAAAAATTGTTGGGTTTTTGTGGTCGGATTTTCAGAATTGTTAAGTATAATTGATTTTAATTGCATTTTTCTAGATGATTCTAAAGAAGCTTTTACTGAAATATTAGCTGTATTTCGAATTCTTGCTAAGTGTCAGTTCATAGTGTGCACTTTCAGTAGCAATGTAAGTGTCAAAATATATTTTTTAACTGAATAAATAAAGGCCTGTCAATTAGTTTATGAGCTAATGCAAGTATATCAAGGTGATGCAGTCGAAAATATACATTCACTTGATTATATTTATGAAATGAGTAAGTTAATTTAAAATTTAAATAAGCTCAAGCTTGTATCAGCCAATAAGCTCAAGCTTGTATCAGCCATAAGCTCAAGCTTGTTATCAGCCAATAAACTAGTTTATTGGCATAAGGGATAGTTGCTAAGAAAGGTTCCTCTAGATTTCCTGCTAAGACATTATGTATACAAATAATAATTTAGACAATAATTTAGATAAAGAATTAGAGGCGACCACCGAATACAAACCACCCCAGGGTAAATGTTTTGTTAAAATATTAAAACCATTTTCGAAATCTTAATATATGTATCCGCAAGTTTAGCCGCTATATATTAATCTATTCAGAACACCCAATAATGCCAGAGGAGCTTTGGGCAGAGAAGGGAGATGTTATTGGTATGCTAAAAGTTCTAGCTAGTTTATTTTAAATTTCTAATAATAAATAAAAATATTTTTTTTAATTTCCAGAAGCTTTAAGTCCAGTCCATCAAGATGGATTTATTAGAGCGAAGAATTACCGGTTAAAAAAAGTAGGAAGTTTTCCCATGTATTTGCTTAAAAAACATTTGAAATTTGAAAATTTTTCAATATTTGCTAATATTCAATAAATAAAAATTAAATCAATGGGCGGAAAATCTTCTTATTTTTCAACAAAAATCCAAATACAAAATAAAATTTTTATAAAGGTTTTGTTGGAATACAATAGAAATTTGAGGAGACATTTTGACAGCAAATAAATTTATACTAGTGTTGTTCCCGACATTGTTCCCCACAGGCAAAAATTAACCGGTCCTGAACAACACTAATTTATACCTATATAGCTTAACTAGCAGCTAAAAAATAAATATGTAAAGTAATTTTTAAAATTTATAATAAGTAGAAGGGAAAACTAGAAAAAATAGAATAGGTATATAATATATTTTGACTTAAAAATTAATGATAACCGGTCAATTTTTCTTGTAAATTTTTTATAACACCTTGTAAACGGGCAATTTCTGCCTCTAATTCTCTTTCACGTTTACGCTCATCCTCTACTTGTTGTTCCAAATCCTAAAAATAATGCAGAATTTAAGCTACAATTTATTCAATCTCAAATTTATGAGGATTTAAAAACTACCGCTATTCTCTGAAGCTTTCTTTGCCGACATTTTGAGGCGGCTTCGCGGTTCCGTTCTCTTTTCCTGAAAATAAATAATTGTATACCTAATCCAAAATTGAAAAAGAGCCAAATAAGACTAGAAATAGGTATGATTAACCTTAGAAGCTTCTTCATGTCGTGTTCACTAATTACTCCATCATAACTTAAAAAGTGAAATTTAAATTAATAAAATGTATTTGAAATTTGGCTAAGATCTATAATTTTCCCAAAATATACGTCATTCAACTTTTACGTATTTGAAATCCAAGAAAAAAGGATTTTTTTGAAAAATGAAAAAAATACTTAATAGAAAAAACGTATATTTCGTGAAATAGTAAATTTTATGAGTAACAACTTATTCGTTTAATTTACTGACCCATTTATCGAATTGCCATTAGGGACGACTTGAACTTTTCCATTAACTCTAGGAGAACTTGCACTAGATATACTACTAGAACGGCGATGACTGTCGTGGTTAGAGGATGCACTGCCATTCAAATTAGACTAAATTTAGATTTTAATATAATTGGGGACTTTTTTATGCCATACACCCCTACATTAATGCTAAAAGTGCCTTATATGTAGAAGGTATAAAGGAATCTAGGGGCGGGTGGCAAAAACAAAGTACCCATAATTTTATAACAAAATTTAAGTGGTAAAGTTTGTAGTATAAACTTACCGTTTGCGTATCAACAAGAATGTCCATTTGTTCCTCACTAAAATAAGCAAAAACAGTAAAAGTTGAAATAAAATTTTAATAAAAATTAAAAACCAAATAGAAGATGTGTTAGGCTCCCTCTTTATAAAAGCAGTGTTATGCGTAAATGTTTGAACACCATTGGAGGTTGGTGTGGTTGGAGTAGCTAGTAAAGGTTGCAATGAGGTGGATACAGAGGAAGGGCGTTGATGCTGATGAAAAAAGGAAGAATTTGGTATCAACTCTACGGACGAAGACGGTGAAGTAGCGGAAACTGCTGCTACAGCTTGTCCAAGTTGAAAGTATTCCATATAACTAAAAAGAATAATTATAAACTAAACTGTCTGGTTTTGTTGTTGCTGACTCCTCTATAACGTACCGCTTTGTGATACTGTTTACAGAATTTGATTGGGAGGTATTGACAGTTCCTGAAACAACTGTTTGGTTTTGTTGTTGTTGATTAAGTAATATTTTGGGCAAATCAAATTGTTTTGTGAGTGTTGTTATAGTGGAGGAAATAGGGTTCACAGTGTTACTATTCAAATCTGTTGTGACTGCAGTCGCACCGACACCGTTGTTAACTGTAGAAGCTGCAGCTTGAAGCAGCGATGAATTGTTAGCTTTATTAGCTGAAAACGGTGAAGGAGTGAGAGCAAGAGATAGAAGAAGTTTAACAGCAGCTATTAAAATAAAAATATAATTGCTATTTTTTGAGTTGTTGTTAGGTTTCTAAATAGGCTACGAATGAACTCCTCTTTAACAGAGATTAATACCTTCGGCCCAATTGTGAACAATGGAAGCAGGGGGGAGGGGGATCATTAGAAAATTAATTCCCAAAATAGGTAGGAGAATATAAACGTGAATTTAATCTCGTTTTTAGACCAAGGGAGTTCAGAAAAAAATCTGGGCCTTATTCATTATAGAGAGAAGACATAGAAATCTGGATAAATTATTTTTCCGGCAAAATTTTCTTTATAAAAACGATTCATTTCCTAAAGTTCTCATTTTTAAATAAAATTAAATACAAACAAGGTGAGGTGGCTTGTAATGACTGTAAAGAAGTAGTATCTCTTCCTTGGAACTCTTGTAGAACTTCTGAATAAAAAAAATAAAATGATTAAATTCAAGAAAAATAATAAAAAATTTCATTCACTTTGCCAGCCTTCAGCAAATTTTTCTTGTTCACTAGTAACGTTTTTTGGAAATAAAATTGTCGAAGGAGTAGGGGTTTCAAGTTTTTGTTGTAAGAGATTTTGTGTGTTTTGAACTGTCTGAGATGAACGATTGCCAAGAAGAGGTTGCTGTTGTTGTCGTGCGGCAACTAACAAAAAATTATTAGAATTAAATTCCAACTACGTTAGGAGTGAGCAGGCCAGTACCGCAATCTCAATCTACAACTTCGTTCCAAATTATCGTATCCAGGACACCCTGCTATGGTTCGATGCAACTTGACGAGCTGAATCGAAACATATCAGGGTGTCATGGATTCAATAATTTGGAACGAAGTTATAGTTAGGCGGTAGATTGACTTCGCGGTATATTGGTGTTAGGGGAGTGCCGAGATTTTAAAAATCTAGGCGAAACTGGCACATCCCTGATTGCGTGTAACCCCTTAAGGGTGTATAAAGTAAAATATAATTTAGAAAATATACTTTTCCTAAATTATGTAATATTAAATTTTACTTAATTTTTATAATGAACAATGAAAAAGATGTGAAAAAATATTTCTTGTTTTAGCTAAGAAAAGCGTTAAAAACGGAAAGGTTACCCTAACCTTCAATATATTCTTTGAAATATAGTTGCGAATACATAAATATTCTCAAAAATATGTAGAAATTGATGGTGAATCATCAATTTGAAGAGAGAAAAGAAAAATAGAGGGTATTAAAAAATGCTAGATTTTTTTTTGTTTAAAATAGAGAAAATAGAAAATATTTTTAAATGTATAAAAAATTAAAGTACAGACATAGTATGAATATTAATTTTATAAGGATTTTTTACACCTCCTAATTTCCTAAAAACTAAGGTTTTTGATCCTATGGATGTCTGAGATTTGCCTAAGTCGATGAGCTCCAGAATAACGTTTATCCAAGGTAGTACACGCACCTAAGCGTTCAAGTTTAGCATCAAAAAGTTTAAAAAAAATAAAAAAAAACCAACGTAAAATCTTATCAGGAGAAAGTAGAAGAGAAGCCGAATCTAACAAAGAGAGGGGTAAAGACATTGGAGAGATACCATTGTTATTGTTGCCGCTGCTGTTTCCACCCAGAAACTCACGCGGTTTTAAATCTTTTAAAATTAATTTTGAAATTACAAATTTATTTAATAAAAATCTCCACCTTCCAATTCCAACTTTAAATGTGTTCGGTCTCTATAATTAGATCCATTTTGTTGTTTATCATTCAAATCATTTAATGAGGTAGAGGTAGAATGAGAAGAGGAAGACGAAAATGAAGCTGAGGATGTCGAGGTTAATGAAGAGGCCGATTTTGATGAGGAGAAGAGCATTGGGCTACTTGATTTATTATTTTGAATTTGCTGCTGTTGATTAGCTAAAAATTATTTTTAAATCAGAAATTAAGAGCATAAAAATCTTTTCCCCGAGAAAATAAAGAAGTGACCATCCCTTCATACGTTATAGGTGTCGGGATTGAACTAATCAAACAATAAAAACAGTCGAATTTATATTTATAAGTTTAAAAACGGGTAAATTAAAAAATTCAAAACAGGAATGTTTATTTTTAAATGGGCATATGCATTTATTTTGTTTTTTTGCATAAAAATATTTCCAAAAAATAACTAAAATTGAATAAAGAAATTTCTTTTTCTTCAAAAAATCTCAACACAAATTATTGACGTACGGGGGAGAGCTTATTTTTACATTTAATTAATCCTATGTGCATTAAAACTGAAAAACTATACACCCCTTCCCACTTAAAATATAAAAAATTGGCTTCATTGGTTGCCATAGGGAAGTTTATATATTTAAAGAATATATTATGAAAGATTTGCAAGCAATTTTTTAAAATATTTTTGGAAGTTAGAACATGTGACATTTTTTAGCTTACAAATTAGAATGAATTAATTTGAGAAAATTATAAATTAGAAAAAATTAGAAAAAAATTGTATAGGGCAAATATGGATAAATTATGAATTAGAGATCGAGCTGGATATGGATCCATACTTTGATTTTTTCTTAGCTCCGGAATCAAGGTCAATACATTTTTAAGAGTTCCCAGATTTAGCTTTGACTTAAGGTCAAGAATCTGGCCAACCCCTAATCAAGGTTTTTAATCTCAATCTTTATTATGAAGACTGAATTCGTAGATAGGCCAAAAGGCTACTTTCACACAGCATATCAGCCTGTTACTTTAAGCCGTTTCAGTGGCACTGGAATAAATAAAAATACAGTATCTTTTTCTTTTCCGCTCTATTTCTTTCGCGTGCTATTTCTCTAAAGATTTGATGTGCAACTTCGAGAAGCTTTATCTCGAAAAAAAACTTAGAAAAAAATATTTCATCTTAGTCAAATCGTTAAACAAAGTCTTATCTTTGTTTTAAAACCAATTTCATTGATTTTTTAAACGTTTAAAAAAAGTTTTAAATGGCCGAACAAACCGACCTTAGAAAATGAAAAATAACAGGAAAAAATTATTTTGAAAAAATTTATTTTAATTTAAAATGACATTAAATGTTAATTAGAAATGATATTATCAGATTCCCCTAATATATAATCCATTTTCACTGGAAGGGTTCGAACCTTGCACATACTTCGCTTTAAAGTGGGCGCACTATCCAACTAAGCCATATTCCCGCACTGAAAGGCGAGTAACAGCCTTTGCCTATTTTGATCTGCTGTGTTTCATGTTAAGCTACAACCCATGGTTGAGTCTCAGAATTGTTTCCCTATAGTCAATTCAACGGAGTAATTCCTTCACGTTTCAATAACATTAAGGAAAAATCAGAAAAAAGTCATTAAGTACATACAAACTGAACATTTAATATTTCTGGGTTTTGTAAATCTTTATCTGTAATTTTGTATTGTTGACCGACGACTACATGCTTTTTTCCAATTTCCCTTTTTGACTGACGGAAGAATTATGAATACTCAGATAGGAGGCTTAACATAACAGGAGAAAAGTATTGGAGTTGTAAACTCCTTAAACTATTCAATAATCCAAAAAAGTTAGAATATTCTCTTGAATTGCTTACGTATCTTCCGACCCAAAATTAAAAAAATACATTGAAAAGTAGAAGGATCGCCAGATGTTGAATTTGCCACAACTTCAGAAGACGTCATTCCCCCACTTGCAGAAATCACAGGCTGGGAACAATCAATATTATTGTTTATATTATTATTTTGTTCATCTGTTTTTACTACTAACATTAAAATATAAGAAAAGAATTTAGTTAATAATGCCCTGAAAAAAAATTTTTAGAATAATTTATTTAAAATTTTACAAAAAGAAAAAAAACTCTTTAATTTTTAATCAACAAAATTATTAAAGAGAAAGAACAACGTTCACAAATGCACGAAAAATAGCAAACTCGAATATGACGCAAACAAATTTAATCGATAAAAAGAAGTTGTAAACTGCTTAAATTAATAATACACAGATAAACAATGATAAATAGTGCAAATTTAGTCTTCGGTAAATTAATAAAAAAACGTTTAATTTTTATGGAATATGGTATTTAGAGTCACGCCATTCTAACAACAAAGTTAATAAAAAAAGCCGGTATAGAGGGCAGAAGATGAAGTATTGTGTATTATTGGCGGTTCGTGGGAAATATCAGAAGCGGGCTAAAATCGAACCGAAAAATTTCGTCTATCCGGTCTTTTCGTTTCCGGAACCCGCCATCCTTTTTATTGAGGTATAATCAGCAACTAATTTTTATTAAATCAAAATTCTAGACGTTTGATTCTTTTACATGCTAATTGTAAGTAAATTATAGAGTTGCTTTTATTACAAAGTAGTATGATGACACGTGTCTCAAATTCCCCGACTTTCAGGGACTTATGTATTTAATGGGAACATTATAGTATATGACTCCAAATCTAAATTTAACATTTAACTGAAAAATTTAGAAAAATTTAAACAGAAATTGTATGTATAGCTAGATTATCTACATATATCTTAACATTTCTAAATTTTAAAAATTATGGGATTAGAAAAATGCCATTCAATTAAGTCCTTTGTACTCTATCTATGCAAAAAATTAAGTAGCCTCGTGTTCTGCGCGGAATATAAATAATCCTTTTTTGATATTCTATATTTGGTATCTAAATTATCCATTTATTCCTTCACTCTTTAATACTAATCGACTTACATAATCCTTAGAATAAAAATGTAATTAATTAAAATGTAATTATTAAATGTCGAAATAATTTTTAAAAAATAAAAATTGAATTTAGTTTATTGACAAATAAATTTGTTTCTGACACTTCATGGCTACAATCAAGGCATTTTTCGGGCTTACTACATATTATCGGATCCGGCCAGAGGAGTCTTTTTCGAGCCAAAATCCCGTGCTCGACTCGATCTTTCGGTCCGAGTCTGTCCATTTTGACAACCCATGGCAACTTTATGAATTTCCGAATCTTGATTTGAATCTAGATTTTACATATACACCAATCTTAAACGGAATTTATTCGACTTTACGTTAATATTAATGCAAATATTTATTTTATTTGTTAAAATCTAGCAGACCTTGTAAAAACATAGTACTTGACGAAATATAAAGTAAAAATAATTAGGGAGAAAAACCTGACTTTTGAGAGTAAATTGCTTTAGTATATTTAAATTTAGTAACATTTAACAAACACGTAAGGTAACATTTAGAAATAATTAGATATATGTATATAAATATGGCAAACATTTTGTTTTATTAAAGAAGCCAAGAATTACTTTAAAGGCCAGGTGATTAACACACACTTATTTTAAGCAGCTGCCTCATTCATTCTCACTCACCTTTGTATTATCCAAAAATGGCATCAATACTAGGGAGTGGTGGATTGTTTGTTAAAAATGGCAAGAAAAATTAATTCTAACAATTATTTTACAGGAAATTAAAAGTAACTTTTGGTCACATTAAGAGAGTTTTTGCAAGAAAAATGAATGCAAATGACTTTCGCTTCGAATTGCGCTCGCTTCGCTCGCGGCGCCGTCGTTCTGCTCGAGATGCCTCCGCAGAGGCAAAATTTTTTCCGTGGATATACTAAAATATAACTAGAATAAAAACAGCATAAACCAAAAGTCGAAACAAAAGTAAAAAACAAACCCTCACCTGCCTACATTCAGCTTTTGGCACTCATTGTCAACCGCCCTTGCGACTTTTTAAAATCGACGTTTTAACTCAATCTAGTCGTTTCGACGTTTTGACCCAGTTTGGTCGCAACGATCTTTTGTGAAACGATCTTTGTACAGACGACGAAGTTTTTGGCAAAGTCCCTCTCGGTGTTAGGTTTTTATTTTTCCCAAATATTTTTATTTTAGAAATGTTTAAAATTTTCATATTTTTTTTCTTGATTTTTAGGGAGAATGGCTTCACAAAATTTTGAGAATCAAGGAACTTCTAAAGGAAAATTGAGTTCTACTGCATTACATCTTCTTAAAAATTATGACAAACTTGTCGAACTTCGAGAACAAGGGAAAACATTTAAGGAAATTGGTCAAATGTTTGGTGTTAAAAGAGATACAGTTCAATATATTGTCAGAAAAAAAGAAAATAAATGTCAGGTTATTAAACATTTATTGAATGAAATAATTAAATTTTAAGTCTCGATATCCCAAACTACCAATTTTATCTGATTCGTCTGAAGATGAGATGGATTATGATGATACAATTCAAAAAGTTGATTTAGTAAATAACATAGAGAACCGCCAATTTAGGTAGATTATCGACAAAATTGTCTTTCGAACAAGTTATATACCCCTCAAATCTATGTTTTTTGACTTTTTTGAACGCCTGTAACTCAACTAAAGGATTTTTGTTCGGATCAATTTTGGTGTCAAAAGACTCAGCTAGACGAGCTCTATCGATCTATGACATTTATTAGCATTTTGTGCATGTTAGTCAAAAAATTGATGCGGAGGGGTTATACTTTCCTTCTGAGATGGGGGGGGGGGTGGTTTAGATTTCTTTACGTTAAAAACTAATACATTATTTTTAGAACGTTACAATCACGATTTTATTGTCAGGCAGTACAAAGGTATTACGCTGGCCCAATAACTCCAAAAATTCATTTGACCAGACTTTTTAGATTAAGTTTTCATCAGTCAAAGGTATTCTTAATATATTATATACATAAACAAAGCATTTTTAGGAGAATATATCTCAATCCCGTTTTGTTTATAAATGCATTGATTGTAGCTTTAGTGTACGCAAAATGTATTTTATTCCAATTGTTTATTTAATTATTGATCATTTTCTTGATTGTAAAGAACATCTTGTAATTGAAAATATTCGTAAAGTGTTTCTTGAAGAGAGGTTTGTTGTTATTTTGTTATGTATAATTATCGGTTTTCATGGAAGCTGATTGATAATAGTTTATTGACCTCCCTTTTTTTAATTTTCTGGCCACTTTCCTTTTTTCTTCCAGTGCTTAACTTATTTTTAATGAGACGGAAAAAGGATATTACTTTTGGTATCATACTTCTCTATCCTTGTGAAAAAATTAATTTTACTTTTTTCTTGTGTATTCATAAAAATAAAGTCAGCATGGGCAGAAAAAACAAAAACGATAAGAAAATTAAAAAAAAGGAAAAAAGTGGTCAATCAAAACTATTACCAGTTGAGTTCCGAGGATGTTGATCTATTTCAAAGGTTTAAAAATTTATGTAGCTGTTAAAAAGTCCTGATTATGATTTTTAAACCTATTTTCAAAAGTGATCCTGGTCCTTTAAAATAATTCTCTTTAAACAATTTAATTTTAAGGGAGGCATTTAAAGCTTTTCTTGGTATACATTTCAATCATTTTTACAAATTACCGAAGGAGGCAGAACTAACATTGTTTGATTTTTATTTGTTTTAAATTTATTTTCTAATTCATTCAAGTCATCCAAAAAAATCTGGTTCCGTTTACAGATGTTCTATAAAAATTCCTGAAAATTTGATAATTGAGGCAGAGGATGAATCGAATTTAACTGAACACGATGAAATGGAAGGTGATAATTCCAATAATTCTGATGATGCTCTCGAAAATATTTATTAAATGTTTGATAAATTTTTAAAATTAATATTTATCGTCAGTGGGTCTCAGAAGAGTCAAAGGACATTTGAACGGATTAAAAAGAATTCCGTGAACTCTGTTCTATTTTTACAGTATTTCAAATTTTGGGTATTGATTAAGCTAGCCGATTTAATATTGCTTGCGTGGAAGCATTCGTATCTCTCCCTTCTCTCCAACACTCATTCCCTTAACTATTTTTGATAAGAATATTCTCTCTACACACTATCCCTCCTACATTATCTCTCGGCTTTCACCTTCCCTCCTCGTAAAAGATAAAGCCGTTGTAGTCGCGCATATGCTTGCACTTAATTTATACGTGTACATAGCTTCTTTGAGAGGCGCTTTAACATGCATTACCCCTCACTCCCACCATTTTTATTTGACTAAAATGCGAGGAAGGCATCTTCCACAGAAAATATTAAAAATTGTTTTACTTTTTACATTGGTTACGGTAACGCAGTCCCGAGTTGAAGGGAATTGGTCAGATTATCAGAATGTAGGAGAAAACGTACAGAATTTAAAAAAACACGAAGAAATTCCTTTAGGCAAAAAATATGACAATGGTGAAAATATTGAAAATGAAATGGCTAAAAATGAAAATGATGTTAGTGGAAAAGCTAATGAAAAAGTAAAATCAAGTAATTTAATTGATAAAAAAGGTTTTGAAGATGAGGAAGGAGAGAGTATTAAAAAAATGAAAAATCGAAATGAAGGAAAACAAGGTGGTGGTAACTTTTTAATATTTTTAAATTTCCGTCTAACTGCAAGTTTCTAAGCCTCAGATACATTGTTCATATTTTAAAATATTCATGTGGGTAACATTGACAAAAATAATTTAATTTAGAATTGATAAACAATTTCCCTTTTCTCCGTGATGTACCCTATGAAGAAGTGAAAAAATTTCAACAAATCTCAAATGATCCAAATTTAACAAAGGGAGAATTGGAAGTAGAACGTCAGCAATGGGCAGAGAAACAAAATACTGATGTTATGGTAAAATATTTAAAGATTTTTTGAAACTTGGGTAAATAATATGGTTGTTTACGGCTGGTTAACTTTCCCCTTGTGGCAGCTCAAATGGAGAATAATGAGCATTTGAGCCGCCATAGGCTAAAATTAGCCGATCGTAAACATTAGTAATTTATCCGTCTTGGCGAAACACTTAGTTGAGAATTTTTTAGAATGCTTTCTATGAATGGAAAGCAAAAATAGAAGAAAGCAAAAAACAAGAGAAGAGGAAACTAGAAGATCGTTTGAATTTGTTTACAGAAGGGATGAAAAATATATTGTCAAAAATAGAGGTAATTAAATTAAGAATTTAAATGTTCTGAAGCATTTAATCCATTTGTTAAAGCATTTAATCCATTTGTCATTTAATTTCCAAATTTCTCGATATTTAAAATGCCATTATTATTTTAGGAAATAATAGATGACAAAGGTATTAGCCGAAAGCAAGAGTGCGAAAAGATACGTTCACTTCTTATTGAAAACGAATTACGCAAGGATTTTACAGAAAAGGTTCCAATGCAGTTGGTGGATTTTTGTATGAAAGGGGCTGATAAAAATGAAGAGGTCGAAGAGGAGCAAAATGTGGATCAACCTATTAGGAAGTCTACCACTAAAGACGGAGTATGGCCTTATTCTAAAAATGATAAGGATATGAAGGATGCAACAAATGACAATGAAGAACAGAAAGAAGAGTTGAAGCCTAATCCGCTAAGTAAATTTTTTGGTTCTTAGGTTGTTAACAAGTAATAAGGTCATGATTCTCATTCTTGCACTTTGTCAGGAAAATCGTGATCCTAGTTATTAGTATGTCTGTGAATAGAATGCTAATATAACATTTAAAAATATTAACAAAATTTTAAATTAAGAAGCGGGTTCTAGAAAACCAAATGATAGTAGTTCATCCTCTTCAAGCAGTGAAAATGTTGAAAAACAGGTGAACAATGCAATTAATGAGGAAGAAAAGGAGATAATCAAAAAGGAAAATGAGAAAAAAACTGAAGATAACAAGTTAAATGATGGTATGTAAGATATGTATAAGTTATAACTACTAAAATGTCTCGTTGAATGGATTATTTTAATGTGTAACAGATTTTATTGCTTGAAACTTTATGATAAGCACAGATTCATAATTATAGACCCACTACATTTTAGAGGGTTGACAGAAAGTTTAGCGAAAAATTTACTTGTTTGATCATTTCTTAATTAAATTAATTTTTATATATGTAGTCTTTAATTATGAATGCCTAGTTAATACTATAATTAAGACGATTCTGCATCATCTTCTGGTTCAGCAAGTAGTGTAGAGGAACCGGAAAAAGATAAAAAAGGAAAAGTAGATAGGATGGACAAAAAAAGTAAAAATAAGGGAGGCGGAGAAAAGAAAGAAGATGGATCCTCATCATCTTCAAGCAGTGAAGGAGATGAAGAAGATAAAAAGAAGCGTAATGATAAAGCAAAAAAGGTCAAGAAGAGGAAGGTTAAAGATTCATCGTCATCATCTTCAGAAAACATTGAAGAGGCTGAAGGAAAAAAGCATAAAAAGGTATAAACTTGATAAATTGTTCATTTAGGCTAAAAGACAATGTGAGTCTATTGTTAACATAGCTTTATTTTCCATATATAAACGACGCTATATCAAGTTCTTAATTAAGCGGAAAAACGTAAAGAATAAACATAGTAAGAAGGAAGTGGAAAATAACGAGAAAAAGGTAGAAGATAAATCCTCAAGTAGTTCAAGCAGCAGTGGGGAGGATGATGAAAAAATGATAAAGAAAGCCAAGAAAAACAAACGTGGAAGAGATAAAAATGCTGACGATAAAGATGAGGATGAAAAAATGTTCAAGAAAAAACACAAACATCATAAGAAAGGCAAGGATGATGCTTCATCTTCATCAGATTCGGATGAAAAGACAAAAAAGCATAAAAAACACAAAACGGATTAGAATATTTGAAGTTGCGAAAATTTTTCGAGGGAAGAGATGTGTAATTGATGAAGTGTAATTATTTGTATAAACCTACTATGTCTATTTTATCCTACTATTTATATTTATAAGATACCTACAACTTTATTTTACCTACTGTATTTATTTTATTAAGAGACATTAATATCTTATTACGAGAATTTATTCCAAATGTGTATACCTGATACGATACTCGAAAAAGGCTTAATCGAATAATAAAAAACCGGAACACCACAAATAACGACCAGATATTTAGGCCTGAATAGACAATCCTAATAGGTATATACAAGAACTGTTGCCCTTCTAATTCATGATCAATTAGCCGAATCAACAGCTATCTACTGCTTACTCTTCTTAAAATTTAATTTAAATATAGACTGTTCATATTTGACTTCTCTTAGGCCGATGCGAAACTCCGACAATATTTTAAACTAAATATTAGACCCTGATACATATGTAAATCTCAGAACCATAAAAATGAACAGGTCTATCATTATTTTTTATTTTCACTAAAATAGTGTAGAATCATTATTTTTAGTTTTTTGAATTAGGAGTCAGAATGTTATTACCATAGAATATCTTGAGATTATTATTTTAAAATTAAATATATGTACTATGTATCGATATTTTACTTTATAGACTCCTAGTTCAAAAAGCATTTCACCATTATTATTTGACTAATTTATTATTTTATCTTTAATGATTTTGATTTATGACATTCATCTAATATAAAATTACATTCAATTACATTCAATTATTGATGTATTTAAAAATCATCTTTTTTTTATTCAACATTAAATTTAACTATTTTTATTAATTTTTAAAATTTTTGCTGTTGGCTTGGCACTGATCAAATATTCCCAACAATTCTTTATATTATTTAAGTATTTCTTTATTTATTTAAATATGTACATTCTAATTTCATCGGTATAAAGATTACATACGGTGTGTAAAATTATTATAAAGGAACCCATATTTTAGGACATCTCGGTTTTTAGTTATGAATTTGCGGAATTTTAACATATGCAAAAGAAGGACCAAATCTATCAAAATTTAAATTTTTTATTAAATTCACAAATTTTGTGTAGCATAAATACATATAAGTGAACCCTCGTAATTTTATTTATCAATCGAAAAATCTACAAAAAATTCTCTAATCATAACTAACAATAAATATAGATAGGAAATTTTCTTCAAATAAGGAAATCTTATTTAAATTTCACGAAAAAATTTATGAACCATAATTTTTCTATAAATTTTTTCAAATATGTATTGATAATGAACACCTTTGTGAAAAAAACATTTCAGCATTTTCAAATATAAATGTTGCTTAAAATATTTAATTTAAATACTTGTTATTCGCTGCTTTACAAAGAAATCACTCATTAGAATACCTATGCCAAGTATTATTTAATTTTGTTTTAAAAAAGAATAGAATTAATTTAGGTAAATTTTTTTAGAGCAATTGAAGCTAATTAATGTATTTTCCTTTGTATTTAAAATGAAAATATCAACCAGGAATTTTAAAATATATAAACAATCTAAAAAATTTAAATATGTTTTATTTAGGCTCATTTTCCTTCAATTGTATTTAAAAATTAAGTTAGAAAATATTAGTTATGGAACACCTAAAAAAATATAAAAAATAAATTACAAGAACAACTCATTAGCATACCTTATTTTATTTTTTAAGTGTGAATAAAAAAATTCACGTGATATATTCTAAATTTTTAGAAAATTTAATTACTTATCAGAATCTACTGTTAATTTATAGAAGATTAATGATTTTTTAAACTAAATAACCATATAAATATTTAATCATGATTCTTCCAAGTTTTCCAAACACTTCAGTCACATTTTCTGTAATACAACAAGGATCTACTGAAGAACAAACTAATGGTACTTAGATAGTCATATCAGTAACTTTATAATTATTGTCCATTTAATTATATTAAGATTTCATCCGTTCTGTCTATACAAGTACAGCAATATGCAGTTTCATTCTGGCAATGTTGTTTAACGCATTTTTGATATGGCTAATTGTAATGAAAACACCAGCTCCTATGCTTGTATATAGCAAATTACTTATGGCTCCTTGTTTAATGGTAATTTACTTGAAATATTTATATTTATCAAATAATATTTCATCAATCTCAAACTGGACGTAATATATAGCTGAAAATATATGTACTGTTAAATACATTATTAGAGACCGAACCAAGACGAGATCTTGATCAGAAATCTAGGTTATTGAGATTTTTTCAAATCGTACGATCCTCACAGTCCGGTCTCTACTTCCTACTAGGAATTAATTTGACTCGAAATTCTAAAAACTCTAAGTAATAAAAATTACTATGATCAATTCTAAGGATATTTGTATTGCAACATGCGGATTTCTTGTTCAGCCAATTACGGTGAATATATAATCTTTCATAATTAAAAAATTTACATAATAGATTGCATTTCATGGCTATTTTGCCATCATGCAAAATGGGTTCTTTCGTTTTCTTCCACGTCCATACGACTATACGGTAATTCTTTATATTAATTCATGAAATTCTACAACTTAAATGTCTATTGATAAATTAACGGTAATTTATCAAATCATTTCACGTTATTTATCAGTCATTTTAAATAACATGAAATTTAAGGCAAACGTATTTTGGCTACAAATGTTGCTTCTGTTTGTTTGTTGTACAACTATTCAATTTATTTTTCGCTACTACATGATAAGCAGGTCTAAATAAAAGCCTTGACTGTAAATTCGATTTTGTACATACTAAACTTGCTCGTTAAGTTTGTGTGAAATTTTGGAATGAGCTAGATATGAAGACCAACATAAATTAAAACAAAATATATCTTCAAATTAAAGTATTTTTAAGTGATGGCCATATTCCAACAAAACTTAAATATATAACTGGAATTGTTCTTTGTATTCTTCTTATTGCACATGTTGCTCTTCATTATGTTTCTGATTTTCCTTTTGACGAAAAATTTGAAGATATGGCAATGCTTGCACATTTGGTTGAACAAGAAGTACATATTACAGGTGTTCGGTTCTCTTCATTTACTTATGCGGTAAGTATAATAGAAATATACAACATAAAAATGCCATGGGTTGTGGTTAACACAACCTCCATGCACATAAAGGGAGACACAAATTTGATGCCCGGCAGCTGCTGGTAACTGCTCTAGTGTAGTATGGCAATGAAGATATGGCAATGCTAGCTTTGTTCGTTAATCCAGAGGCAGAAAAGTAATGTCTTACATACCTACTGAGTATACTATAAATTCTTAATACTCCTTACATGCTTAAGTGCATAATTAACTAATTTCATCTAATTTAACAACGGTTTTACAAATTAAAAAAAATATTGAAGCGTACGACATTATGGCTTATCCACTGTGCAATCATGATTTCCATCTTTTTGACTTGTTATGGTATCATTGCGGTAATTAAATTTTCTTATAAAAATACATACTACTCATTTTAAAAATAATACATAGTTTTGCACAATCGGTACACGACGTTATATAGCAAAAACATGTGCTGATATTGGAGAAGGGTTAGATAGCGTTAAAAGGGGACGTATGCGTGAATATAATCAGCAAATAACCACGGCACTTCTTGTGCAGGTGTTTAAAAATTTCAGTATCAAACAATTTCATATTTTCAAAATTATACACAGGCAATCTTACCTACAATTGATGTTTTAGAATTGGCTTTTCAAACTCTATCGCCAATCTTCTTCCCCAGAAATCATGCTATCCGTTATATGATCTATACGGCTATTCCATTATATTTCATTCCAGTAAGATAAATTATATCAGAATTTATATTCATAAATAAGGTTCTCAACCCAATTGCTGCAATGATCCTCGTTAAGCCATATCGTCGTGCTGTTATGAACATAATAGGACTATTAAAGGGGAGAGTTGACTCAATGTGGAGTGCACAACAGCCACGAACCTCAACAGTTGGACCTAAGACTAGTTCAAATGAAATGGTCAAAAAATGAAGAGTATTAAAGAAAAGATGGAACGGAAAAATGATTAACAATATTAAAGTGATAATTCATTTTATTTACAGCCTCTCTAAGGAAACTTGCTCCTTTTAAGAAATAATCTTAAGCTTTTCTGAGAGGGGAATAATAATACTCAAGCTAAAAAAGTTTTCTTAGAGAGTCTGTCAAATCTATTTTATTCAAAATTTATCCTTCTAGATTGTTTGAATGAATTAATTAACCCAAATTGGAATAATTGCTACAGTTTAAGTGTTTTTACAAAAAAATTACGTATTTTTTAAATTTTTTTATGTTATATTGCTCTATAAATACTCAGCTGTCCTAATATTGCATTCTTCTCTTTTATTATTTTTTGTCTCATCAATTTCCTTATCTTTTCACTCTGACGTCATTCGGATTTGCTAAACTAGAAAAAATTAAAACAGCAACATAGCAATGACAAACTGAGTATTGCGCGGTTTTTTGATACGGCTTCTTTACATTTATATATAGGTATATGTATGTACATAGTATGAGATAAAATATAAATTTTATGTTAAATAATATGGTCATATTTTAAATTTTTTATATTTGATGTTTCCGTTTTTTATCAATTTTTAGCGTTATATGGTCGGATTCTGTGATTTGTTTGATTAAATTATTACGTCCACATAAAATTTTATTTTTTAATATTAAAATGCCAATGGATCCAAATGTTCTTTCCGGTCAAGATTGCCGCGGAAATGAACATAGTTCTCAACATAGAGATCAGGTTTATCTATTAATCCAATTATACTTCCAATTCGAGACACCCTTCCTTTATATTAACAAATTATCGTATCTTTTTCAATTTATAGAGAATATCTCTTGGAGTTGAGGAGATTGTCAACGAAGAGGAAGCTCGAAGGAGAAGAGAGCAATTGAATCGCAGACCCTCTTATCGGTTAAATTTTTATTCAAAAATATACATAATTAAAAACACTTGTTTTATAACTTAAACCTAACAGAATTTGTTTCGAATTGTTTTCTACCTTTAGGTTAATATGTATGTTTAGTCGGTTGTTTATTACATACTAGCTCCATATTTTTATTTGGGTTACTAAGTTTCTAGGCCGGGTTTTTTGTCTGTATCATGCATATTTCAAGGCCGAAAATTTTGTTAATTTAAAATAAATAAATTTCTAAGCGATGTTTAATTTAAATGAGAAAAATGAATGAATTAAATATTTTATTTTAGAATGATTCTCAAAGACCTGGAAACTGTTGGCGACAAACCGTTAAAAAAGGAAATGGACGAACCCTCTTTATCTGCCGAAATGCTTAATAATGACGGTGGCCAAGTTCAACAACAAATTTGTTTGTTTTTTATCAGTTGTTATTATTGAATCCATCTATAATAGTTTTGTTCTTAACTTCCAAAGCATTCACCTAAAATTTTACATGGGATTTTCAAAAACCTATGTCATTCAAACGAAAATTTCGTCTCATTTTTCAGCTAGTCAATCACCGGACGAGAGTTCAACAACTTCAAACTTTCTCTCATCAGATAATGGAGTTGCTCATTTAATCAGGAATTTTCCGCCACCCAATAACACGGGACTTAATAATGCTCCTCCTCCACCTCCACTTGCACCAACAGCACGTAATAAATTCTAATACTAACAGAATGTAACAGGAAATTTTATGAAATATCGTCTTATTTACTCAATTTAGACTGGAATTTAGATTGACATTTAGCGGGGATCAAAATATGTATATAATAAGCTTATTGTTAACTTATAAAATAGACGTCTAGAGAGGCGCTACTTACCAGGTACACAATGTATATGCCTTTTAGAACCGACCATTGGTTCTAAAAGGCAGGGATGAGTAAATATCGCCATAGTCCTTAAACATTATGTTATTTTGATCATGTTTACATTTTTGGAGAAAAGAAGTAAAAATTTGTAAAATTTAAGCTCTTTGCGTTGGTGTATCCTCTGCTGCTTCAATTAGTTCAACTCCAAACCCTATAGGAGCTCAAGCACTTCATCTCTCCTCCCCTACTCAAGCACATCTCTCATTAGGACAGTTAAACTTAATTGCTCCACAACAACATTCTAGTGTTTCCCAGAGAATCCAGAGTACAGTGGCGCCAACTGTTGAAATCCCTTCACAGCCTCAACCTCAAATTCGAGCTGGACAACAACCCCTAGTTAGTTGAGAGTATTTGAATTTATGGGATATTTATCATATACTAAAAGTTGAAGTTTTTTCTTTGAAAACGCAGTTACGGATTGATACATTTTGAATCATTTGACTATTTAAAAAATTTTACTCTTTATTTTAACACCTGTATGTCTGGTTTATTTAATTTTTTGTGTCCCAAACTTATTTAATATTTTAAATTATTAATTAAAATGAATTCAATTAATTTAATTCCTCATATTTTTCAGCTTAATGCAGTAAACAACCTTGAAATGCTGGGCTTGAAGACAGGTGCCGTGCCTGAATCAATTTCGACGGCATTCTCTCAAAATGGTTAAAAATTTACTCTCAATACTGATAATAAATATAATTTTTTTTCTTTTTCTATAGATTGGCAGAACAACCTTTTAACAACCTATAATAGACAGCAACATCCATCAGTAGCACCAAATCATTTGTTGCAACAACAGCAAACTCCTCCCTCAAATTCTTCTACTTCAGCTATTACTTTAACTGGCATTAATAGTAGTAATAATAATGCCTCTGTTTCTGGTGGAGGAACCTCTCAGCATGTTGGACCGCCTCAAAATCATGGAGGTCTAGGTCGGGATTTTTTAGTTATCTTTATTTTAAATTTTCTTCTTTAGGCACAAGGCAAGGATCAGCTTCTCTCACTTCATTGTAAGTTATATTAACTATAAAAATTAAATGCGATGCGCTTTCATTCAAATTAGCATCACGCACAGGTCGGATAATGAAGAAACGAACCGAAAAAGGCAGGTCCGTCTACTAAAAAACAGGTAAAATGTTTAACTCGATTGATAGCTAACTAGATATGACTAAGCTTTATGTTATTCAAATGTTTGTGTTTTTAATTTTTTGAAGAAAAATTTATACTAGTTATCTAGTTATGAAATTATATGTTTTAGAGAAGCTGCAAAAGAATGTCGACGGAAGAAAAAGGAATATGTGAAATGCCTTGAGAATAGGGTTTATTATTTTGTTTTCACAATTTAATAAAATTTTCTTTAAGGTGGCAGTACTCGAAAATCAAAATAAGGTACGTGTCATTAGAATATATTTTTTAAAGAACTTTTAAATATCTTTGTTCTGTCTGGTTAGTTAAAATTGATTTATTGTCTAAATTATCCTTTCCATAATCTACTAAATAGGATTAACAAAACTTTTTTCAGGCATTGATTGAAGAGCTGAAAACTTTAAAAGGTATTAAAATATTTTATGCGGCTCTGAGATTTTTGCGCCGCAGTCTTTTTCTCGCCGCAGGCATGAAAATTCAGGACATCGAGTTTTAGATTTTTAGAGCCGTATCCGATAATTCTTGATTTCCGATAATTCTTGATTTTTAGAAGGCTTTAAAAATATAAATCCTCCTATTTATACTAGTTAGTGCCGCATCCGAAAATTTTTTGAGGGTTAGATGGCCATGAAGCCCGATACTTCAATTTTCTGCGCCGCAGGCGAAAATTTTTGAAAATTCATGAATAAATTAGGATTTTTACAGTGTGTGTTCGCCTGCGGCGCTAAAATATTAATTTTTAGCATCTTAAAAAATTTCCAAAAGTCGAAATCAAGACATGACCACAAGGCAATTGAGCGTGATGGCGAAAATGCTCACCTCGCTAATTCCAATTTTTAAAAAATCTAGAATTTTCTATTTTCAGAGCTCTATTGTAGAAAGGAGAAAGGAGGGGAAATGCAATAGTTTAAAAGTTATTGTTTTCTTCAGCAGCATTATAACTAATTACACACAATTTCAAGCAGAGTCATTCAATACATTAATCTTCTAATCAACTCAAAACTCATTCAAAAATAACACTAAATTTCTTGATTTAATTAGTTATTATTTATGTACATATATAGAAAATATTTCTTTAGTTTTTATGTTTGATAGATAAAGCTTTTCTTAATGAGTTAAAGTTGTGGAAATGAATTATTTGGGTATAAATTATGCAATGATTTTATGAATTTATCATTGCCAGATGTTTTTAGTTCCACCGGAAGTTCCGGAAAGTTCCGGGTCCGTGAACCGGAACTCAAATTGGATTCGGTTCCGGCTCCGGTTTTAAGTTTATTGGGCAGGTTTTAAGTTTATTGGCAATCTTTAAGGATTTTGCCCTTATTGGCAAAATATGGGTTTGAGCCTTATTGACAAAATATGGTTTGAGCCTTATTGGCAAAATATGGGTTTGAGCCTTATTGGCAAAATATGGGTTTGAGCCTTATTGGCAAAATATAGGTTTGAGCCTTATTGGCAAAATATGGGTTGGCAAGATATGTATTGGCAAGATATGCATTTTTGCCCCTATTGGCAAGATAAGGAATTTTCCCTTTATTGGCAAGATATGGGTTTTTAGCCCTCTTGGCAAGTCATGAAATTGGCAAGATATGCGGGCACGGAAAATCTAGTTTATATTGTTTTCTACAAGACAGAGTGTTATTGATTTTTTGTATTTTCCCAGAGTAACGATTTTTTACTTGTTACATATTTTCATTTCTTTTGCTTATTTTTTATTTTTGATTCCTTTCTTATTGCTTCCACTCTACTTCCCTATGGCTGATTCGTGAACAGTCTTCAAGGCAATCCTGTTTCGTATCCTAATTCGGTCCTGTTTTTTAATCCTGTTACGGATCCTATAATCCTAATTTCAATGGTTTTTGTCAAGAACGAAATTCGTTCTTTGAGTTAACGAGTTTTCCTTTTCAAAAGACCGAAATAAATTGTCATCAATTTTTCTGGCATTAGCTTAAAATTTTTTAATTTTCTGTCGAATATTCGCGAATATAATGAAATTTTACGCCGTAAGCTATGCGCCGAATTTTTATATTTTTGCTTTTACTTTTCATCGTATTTATTAGACACTGGTCTGATTCTTAAAAGATTTAAGATAATTTTTTGGGTGTCAAAGGATAAAATTGTCGTTTACGCGTCACCCTTTTCCTCCTCATAATTTTTTTCTAAAATGCAGACTCCCTTCTTCAGTTCCATTCTGCTTCCCTATGGCATATTCATGAACAGTCGTCAATAAAAAATTTGAGGACGAAAGCCCGACCAGTATTGACGTGTTAAACAAAAAACTTAGGAAAAAGGGGCCCGTAAACGACAAATTTACCTGCCAAAGCCTTAATATTTCTCGTTTTTTATTTTAGAAATTTATTCTTTATTTATCGAAAAATAAACTATTATTGTATGACTGAAGACAAACAACTTTTCCTATTTGGACATACGCTTCCGGGGAACGAGAATCTTCTGCTTGAAAGTTTAATTTTGTTTTTACTCATCTTATTTCGAAATTTTCAGGATTAAAGAATGCGCAGAAAAACGAAATAAAGGCTATTGCTCTCTTCGCCTGGATCTACTGTTCTTCGCCGCTGAAGATGTTTTGCAAGTTACTGCTGGTCATAATTATGTTGCCTTTCTGCTCAAGGTTTTAGTTCACAGTAGGGTTGTGGGTCAGGTCTTTGGTTCGGCTACGGAGCCTCAAAATTTAAAGTCGGTTCGGATCCGGATTTCTTTGGCTCGGGTACGGATTTCCGAAGATTTTCTAAGAGCCATCAACCTAGTTCACAGTATCCCCACTTCTACTCATACATTTTTAGGATCATCGAGTCTCTCGTCTTCGTTATGAGATTGTTGCCAACACTATTGAATCTTCCGCCCCAACAGATAAAAGTATTTTTTAATCTTTTAATTTTTAAAACGATTCTTTGTTTGAGATGAATCCGGCACTGGTTCATCAACAGCTCAAGCTACCACCACTGCCGGTTCCTCTGATCCTGCGTCAGCTTCTGCAAATGTTGCTGCAAACGCCGCAAATCGGACTGCCAAAATTAGGGTTTATTTCTGTTTTCTTTTGTAAATTTTAGATTTATTTTTAGCGAATTATGATGACACGCCCAGGGACTCGTTCTGGCGGATTTTGCCACACTGGAGTTGTGATTGATAGAAACCGTTCTCGACCTATGATTCCTGCCTCTTCCGTTCCAGAAGATTTAATCGTGCAATGACAGGTTTTTTCTGTCTTTTTTCATGGCTTTATTAAAGTCTTCTTAGGTTGTCCTACAAGGCAAATCTCGTGATGTGATTGTTCGTGAATTACAACGCACTAATTTAAATGTCAACGAGGCAGTCAACAATTTACTTTCTCGCGATGATGATGGAATGGATGATTTGGATGACACAAGTGAGGTTTATCTACACGAAGAGTTGCACGGCAGCTGATGTTTTGCCACTTTCTGTTCGTCCTTATCTACTCAATTCTGAGGCTGAGCGTGATGTATTATTCGCTCTTCCTCCATCTTATCGTACAAGATCTGTGCATCGGGTTTCTTTTAACTTCGATTTTTGTTTTATTTCTTCGTTTTCAGCGTATTGCACTGGAGCATGGTGTTAAATTCCCTGCTCATCATAGCCTTTCCCAGCCTCCATTGTCTTATGCTGATTTGCAAAATCGTCTATTCGGGGATGATGGCTCTCAAACTCAACAAATTGAGTCGTCTTCCACTCACGAGGCTACTAATTCTGATGCTATGGAAATATGCACTTCTACAAATGATGGTGATTCGAAAAAACTGAGCCCTCCTGTTTTCAATGCATTTCAAAAATCTATCGGACGATGGAATCGAACAATTTATTCGTTACAAAGGTAATTTTTTAACTAATATCCGGGGGCGTAGCTGGGAGGGAGGTTTCTCGGGCTAAAGCTCCCCCTTCCCCGGAGTGGGCTCCAGACTATTTCCTTGCTAATATCAATCTTAAAAATTTTTTTAAAAGAATTTCCATGACGATATCACTAAATGGTTTGGTGGTGATTCTTCTCATTCTGTTCTTATTTACAAAACTGGAGGTTTTTTTAAATGTTTTTATGCTTAATTCGGTTCCTTATTATTTAAGTTTGCTCCTTCAATGTTTAAGTTTGCTCCTTCAATTTAGTTTTCAGTGTATGTTTTAATTTTTGGGTGTATTCTATTTATTAATAAATTTTTCAGCAAGTTCCACGTGAAAAGTATGTCCTTCTCCAACAAACCTTTCGACAACTAAATCACCATTATGTTCGTCGAACGAGTGGGGCTAGTGGCACTTCATCATCCACAGCAACCCCAAGTCAAATTACAAATGCAAGAACAAGTTTTGCAAGTGGCCCTGGAAGGACACTACCTCTTGCTTCACATAAGGTTAATTTATCTGTTTTATTTTGTAAACTTCAATTCTCAAGGTAAAAGTAACTTTCCGTGATGAACCTGGTGAAGGTACTTGAGTTGCGCGTCATTTTTATGCCGCTGTTGCAGAGGTTGATTTTGATTTTTTTTTATTTTTTAATTTTATCCTTAAGGCCCTAACAACTGTCAAACATTTGCCTCCGTTGGATAATGTCAATGAAGACGGAACGAATAAATCAGATACAAAAACTCCAGGGAAGTCGGCTTCTGTTGGTCCTGCAACGCCAAATATGCCTAAAGCTGACGATTCTGTTGCTGCTAGTGGTATATAATTTAAATAACGTTTCCTTTAAATTTTTAGGTCGAACTCTTCGAAGTAGCACTACCAGTGCCACTACTACACCAGCTGCTGGAAATGAAGCTGCTTTGATGCCGGCTCCTTCAACTCCTGCACTCAGCACTAGTTCATTCATTCTTCCAACTGGTTCAGACACTCAAACGCCTCTCTTCTACAAAGCTGCAGCAAAAACCTCTGGAGGATTTTATACACCAATTACTGGCTTAAATTGTAGTTCACAACGTCTGAATGCTTTTCGCAATGTGGGAAGGTTTGAATAATTTTTTTGAAGTTTTTTAAAATTATTTTCTTTTTTTAAAGATTGATTGGAATTTGTCTTCAACATATGGAAATTTTCCCTTTGTCGTATTATTTTATATTTTTTTTTCAAAATTTAATTTTTCTCTTTAAAGTCTTTCTCGTTATGTTCTTAAATATATTTTGGGACGTAATATTACTTGGTCGTGTTACCAGCTGATGCATTAATTAATTTAACGGCTGAGGATATGAGAGCCCTCCGGTTTTCAATGCATTTCAAAAATCTATCGGACGATGGGATCGAACAATTTCATTTGTTGCAAAGGTTTTTTATTTAATACATATCGATCCTAAAAAATTTTTTTTAGAATTTTTTGACGATATCACTAAATGGTTTGGTGGTGATTCTTCTTATTCTGTTTTTCTAAATAAAACTGGAGGTTTTTTTTAATTTTTTATGCACCTAATTCAATTCCTTATATTTAAGTTTGTTCCTTCAATGTGCGCTACTCTCAATTTCGAAAGCAGATGGATCGACTCAAAAGTACCCAAACAAAGGATCTAGTTTTCAGTGTATGTTTTAATTTTTGGTGGATTCTATTAATTAATAAATTTTAGCAAGTTCCACGTGAGAAGTATGTTCTTCTACAACAAACCTTCAGACAACTAAATCACCACTATATTCGTCGAGCGAGTGGGGCTAGTGGATGTTATCTGATTGCTCTGGAACTTCAACAGCTACAGCAAGACAAATGTTATTGCGAGAAGTGTTCTATGAGCATTGGACTGCAACAAATTGATGATGATTTGCAAAGACGAGAGAAGCTAAAAAATGTGGCTAAGATGCTACGGCCACATTTAAAGGTCTTAAAGATATTAGAATGAAATATGTTTTTATTATTTTTTAGTGCTTTTCCGTTAGCGTCGATTTTTTCGTTTAGTTTTTTCAAGTACAATGTTATCAAAACAGCAGAATTATTAGACGCAAAAACGGAAAAGCACAATTAAGCCACTTGTAAAAAAAGGATTTTTGCGGATTCGTTTAGAAGAAAGCAAAAATGCCTTTTCTTTACAAGTGGTATTTTTTATCACATTATTTTTTTTGTTGGTTAAAAATGGGTTTGGGTGGGCCCCACTCTCCCTACCCCGGGTTTACCCAACTCTTCCAAGCTCCGAGAGCTTCAGATACTCCTAAACTCCAAAACAATCCAACAAGACAACCTCGTTTTTTCTAAAAATTGAACTTTTTTTTAGAACGAAACTCCCAGATGCATTCCAGACCAGGCTTTCATACCTCCGAGTTATATCCAAAGGCACGGGTTCTTATTCAATAGGTGTAGACAGTAGGGCACTAGGCATAGGCTTCCTTAGACGTTGACCTAGACTTTGACCTTTGAATTACCCCCCCCCCCTTCCTGACCAAAATGTACAATGATCAATTGTCCCAATGATCAAATGTCCCAGTGATCAAATGTCCAGTGATCTCTGTCCCAATGATCATTTGTCCAGTGATCAATTGTCCCTGTCATCAAATGTCCAATGATCAATTGTCCAGTGATCAATTGTCCCAGTGATCAAATGTCCAGTGATCAAATGTCCAGTGATCAAATGTCCTGTGATCAATTGTCCCAGTGACCAAATGTCGAGTGATCAATTGTCCCTGACTGTCCCACACTAAAAATCCCACACTGAAAATCTGGCACCAAAAATGACCGACCCCCCTTTTTTAAAAACCTCTCCATAGGTTCAAGCTTTCATACCTCCCAGTTATATCCAAAGGCACGGGTTCTTATTCAATAGGTGTCTAATATCTTTAAGACCTTTAAATGTGGCCGTAGCATCTTAGCCACATTTTTTAGCTTCTCTCGTCTTTGCAAATCATCATCAATTTGTTGCAGTCCAATGCTCATAGAACACTTCTCGCAATAACATTTGTCTTGCTGTAGCTGTTGAAGTTCCAGAGCAATCAGATAACATCCACTAGCCCCACTCGCTCGACGAATATAGTGGTGATTTAGTTGTCTGAAGGTTTGTTGTAGAAGAACATACTTCTCACGTGGAACTTGCTAAAATTTATTAATTAATAGAATCCACCAAAAATTAAAACATACACTGAAAACTAGATCCTTTGTTTGGGTACTTTTGAGTCGATCCATCTGCTTTCGAAATTGAGAGTAGCGCACATTGAAGGAACAAACTTAAATATAAGGAATTGAATTAGGTGCATAAAAAATTAAAAAAAACCTCCAGTTTTATTTAGAAAAACAGAATAAGAAGAATCACCACCAAACCATTTAGTGATATCGTCAAAAAATTCTAAAAAAAATTTTTTAGGATCGATATGTATTAAATAAAAAACCTTTGCAACAAATGAAATTGTTCGATCCCATCGTCCGATAGATTTTTGAAATGCATTGAAAACCGGAGGGCTCTCATATCCTCAGCCGTTAAATTAATTAATGCATCAGCTGGTAACACGACCAAGTAATATTACGTCCCAAAATATATTTAAGAACATAACGAGAAAGACTTTAAAGAGAAAAATTAAATTTTGAAAAAAAAATATAAAATAATACGACAAAGGGAAAATTTCCATATGTTGAAGACAAATTCCAATCAATCTTTAAAAAAAGAAAATAATTTTAAAAAACTTCAAAAAAATTATTCAAACCTTCCCACATTGCGAAAAGCATTCAGACGTTGTGAACTACAATTTAAGCCAGTAATTGGTGTATAAAATCCTCCAGAGGTTTTTGCTGCAGCTTTGTAGAAGAGAGGCGTTTGAGTGTCTGAACCAGTTGGAAGAATGAATGAACTAGTGCTGAGTGCAGGAGTTGAAGGAGCCGGCATCAAAGCAGCTTCATTTCCAGCAGCTGGTGTAGTAGTGGCACTGGTAGTGCTACTTCGAAGAGTTCGACCTAAAAATTTAAAGGAAACGTTATTTAAATTATATACCACTAGCAGCAACAGAATCGTCAGCTTTAGGCATATTTGGCGTTGCAGGACCAACAGAAGCCGACTTCCCTGGAGTTTTTGTATCTGATTTATTCGTTCCGTCTTCATTGACATTATCCAACGGAGGCAAATGTTTGACAGTTGTTAGGGCCTTAAGGATAAAATTAAAAAATAAAAAAAAATCAAAATCAACCTCTGCAACAGCGGCATAAAAATGACGCGCAACTCAAGTACCTTCACCAGGTTCATCACGGAAAGTTACTTTTACCTTGAGAATTGAAGTTTACAAAATAAAACAGATAAATTAACCTTATGTGAAGCAAGAGGTAGTGTCCTTCCAGGGCCACTTGCAAAACTTGTTCTTGCATTTGTAATTTGACTTGGGGTTGCTGTGGATGATGAAGTGCCACTAGCCCCACTCGTTCGACGAACATAATGGTGATTTAGTTGTCGAAAGGTTTGTTGGAGAAGGACATACTTTTCACGTGGAACTTGCTGAAAAATTTATTAATAAATAGAATACACCCAAAAATTAAAACATACACTGAAAACTAAATTGAAGGAGCAAACTTAAACATTGAAGGAGCAAACTTAAATAATAAGGAACCGAATTAAGCATAAAAACATTTAAAAAAACCTCCAGTTTTGTAAATAAGAACAGAATGAGAAGAATCACCACCAAACCATTTAGTGATATCGTCATGGAAATTCTTTTAAAAAAATTTTTAAGATTGATATTAGCAAGGAAATAGTCTGGAGCCCACTCCGGGGAAGGGGGAGCTTTAGCCCGAGAAACCTCCCTCCCAGCTACGCCCCCGGATATTAGTTAAAAAATTACCTTTGTAACGAATAAATTGTTCGATTCCATCGTCCGATAGATTTTTGAAATGCATTGAAAACAGGAGGGCTCAGTTTTTTCGAATCACCATCATTTGTAGAAGTGCATATTTCCATAGCATCAGAATTAGTAGCCTCGTGAGTGGAAGACGACTCAATTTGTTGAGTTTGAGAGCCATCATCCCCGAATAGACGATTTTGCAAATCAGCATAAGACAATGGAGGCTGGGAAAGGCTATGATGAGCAGGGAATTTAACACCATGCTCCAGTGCAATACGCTGAAAACGAAGAAATAAAACAAAAATCGAAGTTAAAAGAAACCCGATGCACAGATCTTGTACGATAAGATGGAGGAAGAGCGAATAATACATCACGCTCAGCCTCAGAATTGAGTAGATAAGGACGAACAGAAAGTGGCAAAACATCAGCTGCCGTGCAACTCTTCGTGTAGATAAACCTCACTTGTGTCATCCAAATCATCCATTCCATCATCATCGCGAGAAAGTAAATTGTTGACTGCCTCGTTGACATTTAAATTAGTGCGTTGTAATTCACGAACAATCACATCACGAGATTTGCCTTGTAGGACAACCTAAGAAGACTTTAATAAAGCCATGAAAAAAGACAGAAAAAACCTGTCATTGCACGATTAAATCTTCTGGAACGGAAGAGGCAGGAATCATAGGTCGAGAACGGTTTCTATCAATCACAACTCCAGTGTGGCAAAATCCGCCAGAACGAGTCCCTGGGCGTGTCATCATAATTCGCTAAAAATAAATCTAAAATTTACAAAAGAAAACAGAAATAAACCCTAATTTTGGCAGTCCGATTTGCGGCGTTTGCAGCAACATTTGCAGAAGCTGACGCAGGATCAGAGGAACCGGCAGTGGTGGTAGCTTGAGCTGTTGATGAACCAGTGCCGGATTCATCTCAAACAAAGAATCGTTTTAAAAATTAAAAGATTAAAAAATACTTTTATCTGTTGGGGCGGAAGATTCAATAGTGTTGGCAACAATCTCATAACGAAGACGAGAGACTCGATGATCCTAAAAATGTATGAGTAGAAGTGGGGATACTGTGAACTAGGTTGATGGCTCTTAGAAAATCTTCGGAAATCCGTACCCGAGCCAAAGAAATCCGGATCCGAACCGACTTTAAATTTTGAGGCTCCGTAGCCGAACCAAAGACCTGACCCACAACCCTACTGTGAACTAAAACCTTGAGCAGAAAGGCAACATAATTATGACCAGCAGTAACTTGCAAAACATCTTCAGCGGCGAAGAACAGTAGATCCAGGCGAAGAGAGCAATAGCCTTTATTTCGTTTTTCTGCGCATTCTTTAATCCTGAAAATTTCGAAATAAGATGAGTAAAAACAAAATTAAACTTTCAAGCAGAAGATTCTCGTTCCCCGGAAGCGTATGTCCAAATAGGAAAAGTTGTTTGTCTTCAGTCATACAATAATAGTTTATTTTTCGATAAATAAAGAATAAATTTCTAAAATAAAAAACGAGAAATATTAAGGCTTTGGCAGGTAAATTTGTCGTTTACGGGCCCCTTTTTCCTAAGTTTTTTGTTTAACACGTCAATACTGGTCGGGCTTTCGTCCTCAAATTTTTTATTGACGACTGTTCATGAATATGCCATAGGGAAGCAGAATGGAACTGAAGAAGGGAGTCTGCATTTTAGAAAAAAATTATGAGGAGGAAAAGGGTGACGCGTAAACGACAATTTTATCCTTTGACACCCAAAAAATTATCTTAAATCTTTTAAGAATCAGACCAGTGTCTAATAAATACGATGAAAAGTAAAAGCAAAAATATAAAAATTCGGCGCATAGCTTACGGCGTAAAATTTCATTATATTCGCGAATATTCGACAGAAAATTAAAAAATTTTAAGCTAATGCCAGAAAAATTGATGACAATTTATTTCGGTCTTTTGAAAAGGAAAACTCGTTAACTCAAAGAACGAATTTCGTTCTTGACAAAAACCATTGAAATTAGGATTATAGGATCCGTAACAGGATTAAAAAACAGGACCGAATTAGGATACGAAACAGGATTGCCTTGAAGACTGTTCACGAATCAGCCATAGGGAAGTAGAGTGGAAGCAATAAGAAAGGAATCAAAAATAAAAAATAAGCAAAAGAAATGAAAATATGTAACAAGTAAAAAATCGTTACTCTGGGAAAATACAAAAAATCAATAACACTCTGTCTTGTAGAAAACAATATAAACTAGATTTTCCGTGCCCGCATATCTTGCCAATTTCATGACTTGCCAAGAGGGCTAAAAACCCATATCTTGCCAATAAAGGGAAAATTCCTTATCTTGCCAATAGGGGCAAAAATGCATATCTTGCCAATACATATCTTGCCAACCCATATTTTGCCAATAAGGCTCAAACCTATATTTTGCCAATAAGGCTCAAACCCATATTTTGCCAATAAGGCTCAAACCCATATTTTGCCAATAAGGCTCAAACCATATTTTGTCAATAAGGCTCAAACCCATATTTTGCCAATAAGGGCAAAATCCTTAAAGATTGCCAATAAACTTAAAACCTGCCCAATAAACTTAAAACCGGAGCCGGAACCGAATCCAATTTGAGTTCCGGTTCACGGACCCGGAACTTTCCGGAACTTCCGGTGGAACTAAAAACATCTGGCAATGATAAATTCATAAAATCATTGCATAATTTATACCCAAATAATTCATTTCCACAACTTTAACTCATTAAGAAAAGCTTTATCTATCAAACATAAAAACTAAAGAAATATTTTCTATATATGTACATAAATAATAACTAATTAAATCAAGAAATTTAGTGTTATTTTTGAATGAGTTTTGAGTTGATTAGAAGATTAATGTATTGAATGACTCTGCTTGAAATTGTGTGTAATTAGTTATAATGCTGCTGAAGAAAACAATAACTTTTAAACTATTGCATTTCCCCTCCTTTCTCCTTTCTACAATAGAGCTCTGAAAATAGAAAATTCTAGATTTTTTAAAAATTGGAATTAGCGAGGTGAGCATTTTCGCCATCACGCTCAATTGCCTTGTGGTCATGTCTTGATTTCGACTTTTGGAAATTTTTTAAGATGCTAAAAATTAATATTTTAGCGCCGCAGGCGAACACACACTGTAAAAATCCTAATTTATTCATGAATTTTCAAAAATTTTCGCCTGCGGCGCAGAAAATTATTTTAATTAAATAATACAAAGTAACCTATTTTTCGTTCATTTTTAAATTAAATTAGTTGTTTATGCAAATTAAGTAATGCAAGATGATGCATTACTTAATTTCATTATGATTGAAAGTTGTTTAAAAAAATACTTTAGAAGATAAATTAAATGAAAAAAACTTATATGTTCTTATGTTGTTTATATTTTACTGCATCAATATATATAAATTTAAAAAAATTAAGTATTAAATTAACAATAATGTTTGTTGATCAAAATTCCGAAGATTAATAAAGTCATTTGATAGAAAGAAATGAGCACTTTGAGATTTGAAAATTCTCTACTCAAATATCACAACGCTAAATTGCTTGCTTCGACTCTATCTTCCACAGTTGGTTTTTTTTATTTATATGCGGGGGCATAATTAAATTATAATTATTGTAAACTTCAAAATATACTTGTTTTAAACAAATAGTTATAAAAGCAAAATTTTTATAGAATGAAACAAATTATATTATTAATAAAATTATTATATTATTAATAATATACCTAATAATATTAATATTATTATGTTATTAAAAATAAGTCTTATAATTTAAATATATAAAAACAAACATCTTATAATTTAAAAATGATAATATTGTTTTAAAATATACTGCTTATATAAATATAGAAATATTTTTATATTTTCTATGCTAGAATTGTTGTTAAAAATTGTAATTTTTAATTATTAAATGCTATTAATGTATGAAAAATTTTTTGGCGGAAAAATATGATTTTTTCTACATATATAATTTAATAAGAAAATGAATGAAACCATACTTAAAATAGTGCAAGTTTTCACTATTTTACAACATAATCAAAATTTTCTTCATATGTTTTTGATAATATAATTAACTAATCAATCAAAAATGAACTTCAAATTATTATTATCTATTCATGAATAAATTTAATATACACTCATCAGTTAAAATAAGAATTATTTTAATTTATTATGGATTAAATGAGAGAAAAATTTTAATGTATAGATAATTTATCAATATTATTTGAAAAAGTATAAAAACGTAGATTACTGAGTTACTGATTATAGTATCGACGATTCTCTTAATACATAATAAATTTAAAAAACTAATATTTTATAATATTAAAATTTTTAACACATTAAAATTACATTCTAATTTAAAACATATTTATAATATTAATTTTCAGTAGATAAAGCAAATTAATGTAAATATAAAGATACAAAATCATTTTTAAATTAAAATTTATAATTAAATTTTAAAATAAAATTGGACCTGCAAAAAAAGAATGATTTCATATTAAATGATCACATTGATAAGGCAAATAAGATTACTTTTAATTTCCGGATCCTTTAAGATAATTTGTATTTCAATCGTGGTTGAACAAAAATCGATAATTCCAAAGTTTTACATAATAACCTTATTCCATTGTTAGATGCGATGGAGGTTCAGCTTAATAAATAAAAATATATAATTTGATAGCATTCTGAAATAATTTACGTAGAAACATTAAAAATATAAAAGTTTGTATATTATAGTTTTTATCAATTTTATTTACAGAAATAAAAATTAAAATAATCAAATAAAATAAATCAATAAATTTATTCAGAAAACATTTTTTTATTCAGAAAACATTTTAATTTTCAATTTTACAAAAATGACAATAAATTTGCTAATCAAAATAAAAAACTGATTAAAATAAATTGCAATAAAAACAATTACTTTGAGAGTTTCTGGTTTAGAATATATTAATTTATATTTAATAAAATTAAATATTTAGTAATTATAACGTTATTAGATGTCTAAACAACAAAAAATATGTTATAGACTTCTTCTGTAATTACTTGGTCAAGCAAATTAAAATAAAAGTAAATAAATTAAATGCAAGCTAATTAAACATTTTTTGTAAAATTAAAAATATGGAAATAGTGAAAGAATGCTGAAAATTAAAAATAAAATTTTTTTAAATAATATAAAGATAACAGAATTTCAAGAGAATTACAAAACTTGTAAAGAATTCTATAATACCTCATAAAGAGTTCAACGCACACTACGATTAAAACTCATGGAATACATCTCATGTCTCACCAAAAGAAACTAGCGATTTTTGCTAATTTTGGACAAAGGGATGAAATCCATAAAATTGTTCAAAATATATTGATGTATATTTTATATCATACGGAAATAAATGTTGTAGGATTGATACAAAAAGAAGGATAATTTAGACAATAAATCAATTTTAACTAACCAGACAGAACAAAGATATTTAAAAGTTCTTTAAAAAATATATTCTAATGACACGTACCTTATTTTGATTTTCGAGTACTGCCACCTTAAAGAAAATTTTATTAAATTGTGAAAACAAAATAATAAACCCTATTCTCAAGGCATTTCACATATTCCTTTTTCTTCCGTCGACATTCTTTTGCAGCTTCTCTAAAACATATAATTTCATAACTAGATAACTAGTATAAATTTTTCTTCAAAAAATTAAAAACACAAACATTTGAATAACATAAAGCTTAGTCATATCTAGTTAGCTATCAATCGAGTTAAACATTTTACCTGTTTTTTAGTAGACGGACCTGCCTTTTTCGGTTCGTTTCTTCATTATCCGACCTGTGCGTGATGCTAATTTGAATGAAAGCGCATCGCATTTAATTTTTATAGTTAATATAACTTACAATGAAGTGAGAGAAGCTGATCCTTGCCTTGTGCCTAAAGAAGAAAATTTAAAATAAAGATAACTAAAAAATCCCGACCTAGACCTCCATGATTTTGAGGCGGTCCAACATGCTGAGAGGTTCCTCCACCAGAAACAGAGGCATTATTATTACTACTATTAATGCCAGTTAAAGTAATAGCTGAAGTAGAAGAATTTGAGGGAGGAGTTTGCTGTTGTTGCAACAAATGATTTGGTGCTACTGATGGATGTTGCTGTCTATTATAGGTTGTTAAAAGGTTGTTCTGCCAATCTATAGAAAAAGAAAAAAAATTATATTTATTATCAGTATTGAGAGTAAATTTTTAACCATTTTGAGAGAATGCCGTCGAAATTGATTCAGGCACGGCACCTGTCTTCAAGCCCAGCATTTCAAGGTTGTTTACTGCATTAAGCTGAAAAATATGAGGAATTAAATTAATTGAATTCATTTTAATTAATAATTTAAAATATTAAATAAGTTTGGGACACAAAAAATTAAATAAACCAGACATACAGGTGTTAAAATAAAGAGTAAAATTTTTTAAATAG